TTAATTCTTAAATATTTTTTCTTACTTTAGCGAGCATTTTGTAATGTTGGTTATTCAGATAACGAACGAAGTATGATAATTGTCTTATGACCGTATTATCTTTTATACGCCTACTCCAAAAGTTTATTAAGAAGAAATTTTGTAACAGTTTTTATTAATGCAACCGGTTTGTTTGTACTAAAAATAAAAACTTATGAATGGAGTACGTCAAAGACCTCGGGAAAAGTAGATGCTCTAACTTTATAGACTTAACTCAATATACAATTATGTTTCTTGACTTAACTTCAATTATGTTAGAATGATAAGTACTAATCATTAAGCTACGTCAGTGTCATAGCTGTGGCATAGGACCACCGACGACATTTCATCGACAGTCTATTGATACAATATTAAAATAGCAGAATTGAGGCCCTGGTGGCTGTGAGTTCGAATATTTATTGGTACCGGTAGGGTTGGAAAGGTTAAGAAGAACATTGCCTGGTGCCTCAAAGGCCGGCAACGCGCTTGTGAATCCAAGACTTCGATACAAAAACAGTTTTAGTGACGAGTATGTAACCAATGATATATTATAATACGTCATTATATGTAACAATGTAAATTCGTGATGTTTTTCAAAATGAATCGTGACGTCCCACACTGGGGCAGGATACCCTTATAACTGCCATCAAATATACTAAAGCTTTTAGACGTTCTAAAGTGGACCGAGTGTTCTCATAGACATTTGTAATAACAGAAAAAAACAATTCCGGTAATTAACATCATCATTTTTATTGTTTAAAAATAACACATTAAATATTTTTTACAAAAAAAAGCGGTATTTCTCAAGTATAGTTTTTTTTTATGTTAGAGGGGGCAGACGAGCAGTATGATACCTATTGAAGATATGTTAAAGCATCATCATCTTCATCATTATGATCGTCATCGACTGTAGTATTACGTATCGTATTACTCGTATCATCTGAGTTATTTAGAAATGGAGCTTTCAACATGAACAGTGCTTCTTTAGGAATATTTTTCACTTTATTTGTGACTAACTTTTGCTTACTGGTGATTACGGGATCAGAGCTCAGTAAAACAAAAAAATTTTGGGTGCCTGTTATCAATAGTAAAAAGCACCCCACGCTTTTTTTTAAATTTATTTTCTATCTTTTAGTTTGGTTTTCTATAGAAAGCGTGTTTTTTAGTTTTTTAAAAGTATAATTTTTTTAATTAGTGTATCGTCATCGGTCCTCGATATATCTACAAACTTTGAATGAATTCTGACCGTTTAAAGTCAGTCAAAATCACGCCCAAAGGAGTAGGTTACAAACATACAAACAAACATACAAGTGAAGCTAATATAAAGCGTGTAAAAAGTAAAAAATATCCCTATTAGATTTTTCTCTGCTACATTTTCTCGAATTATGCTCTCTATAGCTCTTAAAGTCCTTGTTTCTTGCCTCCTGTGATTCTTCTGTTAATTGTCCGATAGTAGGAAGTGCAAAAGGATATCTAGCAGTATCAAGTGCAAATACCCTGTACTTTCCTGCATCTATATCAAATTCACTTGATATAATAATTAAAATAATGTGGTTTTTTTTATTAAATCTACGTCTATATTAGTTATTTGTGCTGACAAGTCTGTATTTTGGGAAAAACGTCTGGCGGTGTTTCCATCGTTGCTACTGCCGAAACCCGGTTTGGGTTTGTCTATAATTAGGCCTCACTTTTCTCTAAATTCTTTTTGAATTCGGGCTTTATTTTCTGAAACAGTTTGCTTATCCTTCTCTCCACGGACTTCTCATTTTTTTATAGGGAGTTTGTATGCTAAATGTAGTAAACATTCGAAGAATCGAATCCAACCGCGAAGGACAGAAAGACCAAATCTCAAATTATCAGTATTCACCTTTCTTAAAACTATTTTATCTATTTTATTGAAATCTTTTGTTGTTGCACCACACAAAAGGAATTTAATGGTTGAAGTAGTTTCTGTCAGGGCTTAACAAACTTCAAAATGTTTGAGGCTTTTTCTTGTAGAATCATACAAGTAGCATAAACTAATTCTGAAGCTGAAGTTGATGCCCGCAACTGCTTAGACTTGGAACGTTTACTTTTTTCTGATGAATTTTCAAAAGAAGTAAGCGGTCGGCCGCGTTTCATATTTGACCCAATGCATGGGAAAAAAAGTGATGTCTGAAGCCAATCTTTGTTATATTTTTAAAAAAATTCTTTTATTCTACACCTTTCTCCCATTTTGACTTATGTTAATATTTAAAACTACTAATTTTATTATATTTACTCGGCATGACTACTCGTTCGTTTTTCCAGTCTCTATCTTATCTCGTCTCTTATCGTCTCACATCTTATAAAAGATATAAGATGTATATATTTTTGCTCGAAACTATTCCCTTTAGAACTATGCATTTTATTTAAAAGTTCTTGTCTTGTAATAAATAATGTATTCGAGGACATCCCTAAAACGAAATGAATATTTTTTAATAATAATAGCAAATTGGAACAAAATTATTTTCTGTAAATCATGCACTGAAAATTGTTTTATCTCGAAAATTAGCAAAATATAGCAAAAAAAATAAATTGTTTATAAGAGATGATACTATAAAGATTATTTTTAGATAGTAAGCAAAGTTTAATATTGCTTAGAAACAAAATAAAATATCTATTATTTCGTTATTTTCCTGATAATTTTCTACACACCCAAATTTAGCCTGGTCTGCCTAAAACTAATTATATAATAAAGGAAAAAAACATTCTAAAACATAGTTACATACCTGAAGATGAAGGTTCCATAGCTTAATAATCCCAAAAATAAATACTTTTTGTGCAAAACGGCTCTTAAATTGCACGTAAATCACTAATATTGGATAGGGTAGTCTGCAAGGCGTAAGTACGCTTCACTGTAGTAACGAAGTGGGTTTGTTATAGGGCATTTAAATACCGCCAAATAATACCTGAGTTAGTATTCTAATTAATTTATACATGAGGGCTAACAAGTGACATCTTTTTAATTTTTTATTTCCGGCATTTATTAGGGTCTTCTGCCCCAGTGTGCGTCCGTCAGTGTCGAGATTTCGTTAATTTCAAAAGACGCGCTTGTAACTCCTAAGTTGCAGGCGTTTATGGGCGGCGGTAGTTATTTTTCATCAGGTGACCCTTCTGCTCGTTTTCCCCTTGTAACATAAATAAAGCACTGGTTATTACACAGAAAACTAGATTCTTAAAGAAAATGAAAATAATTGTTTCCAAGTAGATATTGTTTTTGGCACAGTGAATTAACATTAGAGTGCGATCAACGGTAAATCAGAAGAGTTCCATTGTCGCCAAGACGCACACATTAACGAAAAATAATATTTTACACACAGAATTTACACCGTAGTGAAGTTAGTATTTTTGCATTTATCGAAAAAAATACGAGAATAATTTTAAGTAAATTATTTATTTGACTGATACTCTGATTTATTGTAAAATAATACTACTCTTGTATACAAAATATGTTATATATTCAATAACTATAAAGAAGAATTAAATATTGTGGTTGAAATATTAAAAATATTTTCTGACCCCAAAATAAGGTATATTTATTGTATATTTGCCGTTTTGTGTCTTTGTGTGCATTGTAATTTTTCAAATTAAAATTCATTTGAATTCTTATGTATTTTTCAATAACGCATTTTATCAGGTAATCACCTATTTGATGAAAGCTTATTTCATTAAATATGTTACTACCTACTAACTAGCGTAAGACTTGTAGAAGTAACCAATTTTCATTTACCATAGTTGGTCAGTTAGTCCTTTAAATTTTTCATTAAAACTAATGCTATGATCAAAAATATTACCAAACTAATATCATTAAAAAAACCCTTCGTTTTTGGTGTCGGTTAAGAATCATAATACAAAAAAAAACAATGTGCTAAACAGAAAATCATTTTAAAAACCAAATCATCGATAACTATAATATTGCGATGTTGAATGAATCCAAATAAGATTGGCTACATCACTATCGGAGCCAAATATGAACTGTGACTTTACCAAATACTTCCTACTACCGATAACGTTTTCGACAAGCAATTATCGTGCAACTCAGCATAGCGATATTTTTTAATGAAGCTGCGTTCCCGGCGAAATCAATACACGAGTACGAATGTTTTCAGAGAATTATACACGTTTGCTCGTAACTCCGGTGCGCCTGCCCCGCCTACATTGCTTTTCTAGTTTATTCACTGTTCTGTGGTTTCTGGTACCTATTGCAGTTATAATCGCTAATCATCGTTACGCATATACAATTAAATATGTTCCAATTCGACTGCACGGATGGCGCAGTGGTTTAAGCGGTCGCTATGCCGCTTACTACTGCGCTGAGTGTTGCGGGTCCGATCCCCACTATTTGTGTAATTCACAAATTATTGTTCTGAGTCTGTGTGTTCTCTGTGTCCGTTTCAAGTATGTTTGTAAAGTCTCCCGCGACACAGGATATATTCCTAATGCGGGAGTTGTCTTTATAAACAAAAAAAAGATTACCTACACTTAAATACCAAAAACTGATATACGACTAATTTGATCACTACTTCGGTTATTTTTTTAACCGACTTCAAAAACACGAAAGAGGAGGTTCTCAATTCGTCTGTATTTTTTTGTTTGTATACGCGCAATCTCAGGACCAACAAAAAACATATTTACACGTGTACAAAAACAATTAATTATTTTGGTAGTTCTGTTTCATATTGCTTTCTTGCCTGCTGCCTTCTCTCTCAATATTACGATTAATTCAGATATCAATTTTATTTAGACACCTAATTGATAATAACTTAAAGTACTTGATTTTATTAAGGTCGACCATATATTATTACCAACATTATTCTTATACAGAACGAACAGGTTATGTCATAATTTTAACTCTTGCATTCTTACGTTGATTTTGGACTGTGTATAAAAGGTTAATACACATGTAGCAAACTATCAGTTTATTTTTAAACGCACAACAGTAAACAACATCTAAAAACAAAATGTTTGCTAAAGTAAGAATCAATGTTTTTAAGTAACATAATAATTTATTTTATGTGTTATACTTATAAATGTGTAATATTGTTTTTTAATTTTCCAGATTTTACTAGTTGCAGCTGTGATCGCTATGGTCAGCGCACAAGACAGTCATCATAAGAAACACGAAGGACATCACGAGGAACAACACGTCGATTACTATGTATGAAAATTAAATTTACTACTCAAGAATAAAGCGTTTCTAGTATTTTGATGTAGTTAGGTGACTAATAAACAAAATGTCTCGCTCCAGGCCCACCCCAAGTACGAGTTCGCCTATGAGATTAAGGACCCGCACACTCACGATTTCAAGCATCAGCACGAACACCGCGATGGAGACGTCGTAAAGGGCGAGTACAGTCTGCACCAGCCCGATGGTACCATCAGGATCGTGAAGTACCACGCTGACAAAAAGAGCGGGTGAGTTACTTTATTTTTGGATGCAGTTTATGTTAATTGTGAAATATACTAAAATTACTCCTAAATTTTTGGCAACAAAAAACCACTTGAATTAAAAGAAAAGTAAAATAATAAAGTTTTACTTTATTATTTTATGTAGTCATGATGAACTGCTTTGCTCTATATCTATAAAATAAGCAACAGACAGACTAATTCACTGACTGATTGATCAACGCACAGCTGTAACCGCTAGGTCTAGAAGCATGAAATTTTGTACAAATGTTCCTTAGGTGACGTAGATGTGCACTAAGAAATGATTTTTTAAAATACCATTGATAGGGTTGCAAAATTGGGATTAGAAATTGAAATGAAACTTAGTTTTTTTTTGGTATATGATGTCGACAACCACATGGACGAAGTCGCCGGCACAAGATAGTAATTTATAATTTAAAAAAAAATGTTGTCACTTCTTCACCATATTGCTTAGTATCTTGGTCTATTTAGTTATTTTTGTTTTACTTAGTGTTCATAAGCATTATTAAATGTAAGCTATATTTTTAAATTTCTATCTGCAGATTCCACGCTGACGTGAAGTACGAGGGCCACGCTAAACACATTGTTCCTGAACATCACCACCACCACTGATTCTGTGATATTACCTATCAAATAGTTAAGACATGATTGTTGATTAGTTAAAATAAGATTAAATTAATACACATTTAAATTAACTTGTATCGTTTTATTTTTATTTTAAAGTAATATTAATCACATCTTAAAGACAACGAAACGTACCATACCAAAATGAAAAAAAAACCACTTATAAGGAGATTTATAAAATAACTACTGTTGTACATTTTTAAAACACACTAGATTCTTTTTTACTTTGTTCAGTTCAAGATTTACTTTAAAAACATAGTTTCAGTCAGAAACAATAATATTAATAATAACATAAATTATTTTTATTACTAGCGATCCGCCTCGGCTCCGAACGGGCGCAATGTAGATACTACTAATGTGGTGACAGTGTGGAATAATTAATTATACTACTATTAGTAATTAATTATAACATTTATGGGCCCGCTCCGCACCCGGGACATTTGTTGTGCCCCTGCATTTTAAACCTCTAATATCTTTTAAACTCTAAACTACAACGTATTTAACGTATTTAATTAGATAAGGAATAATAAGGTATGGTTTAAAATAATTTCGTAAATAACCCAATATTTTTCTGAAATATTAAAAAGATTTGGTTACTGTGGGTTATCGTTAGGAGATAGCCATATACCATTGCAGATTTTTTGTACATATTGTTAAGATATACAATTTCGTATTACATTATTTTGGTCTATCTTGTAAGGTCTTGGTATGAAATATTCGTAGCTTTATTCATTATAGCCATCTTTATATGCAATAGTATATGTACTTTTTCTATAAATTACTGAGTTCAATTAGTCAGTTAAAAATTAAGATAGACCCTAAATTATTCACAATAACAGCATTAAGAATTTTTTCTTATAATAAATAAGTAGATGGTATAACACTATTGCATTGGGCTAAACCTGTAATAATATTTGTTTTTAAAGGAAATAAATAAATAAATAATAAATAAATTATCACTGTATACATTTGTACATAATCCATCGGACTCTACACGCGTAAAAGATTTTGTTCTAATTTTCAATTTTTATAAATAGATGGTGTAGAAACAATCCTCTGGAATTTTTTAAGATGAAATAAATATATAAGATTAGACATGTGGCCTTGTACTTAGGGAGCGTCGATTATTTATTTGTTACATACCTGCACAGACGAAGGCGACATGAACGAGAACACAATTTTTTTGGTACCTAACCTGTTACTTGATGAGGCATTTGTTAGAGTATTAAAGCTTGCAGAGCCGACTAAGGAAGTAAACTACGCAGGAAACCAGAACTGCAAAAAGGTGAGATGAGAGAAAAGAAAACTTGACACAACCCCTCTAACAACCGGTATGGCCAGCATGGCATAGTAGGCCTAAATCTTCTTTTTAAGTAGTGGCCTATATCCAGCAGTGGGCTATTAACGGCTGTTCTTGTGAGATGATGTGATTAAAGCTTTGAATTGCCTCCAAATCTCTAACCATATTATGTACTCGTTGTCATCGAAAAATTATTAAGTTTCATTGTTTGTGAATTCTGATTTTTTTCTGGCGTAGGCAGGTAAACGAGAGGCTCGTGGCTAAGTGGTAACCGAGTATTCTTACACATAGTAAAGTTAACACAAGTTAGTCACAACTGTATTGTCGCCATTTGAGTAATGCTGACTGCACGACACTTTGTGTGATCCACAAATTGTTGTTCTGAGTCTGGGTGTTCTTTGTGTCCATTTCATGTATGTTTATAAAGTCCCCCGCGACACAGGAAATATTCCTTTATTATGCATGATTTGCTTAAAAAAAGAGAAAATAATACAGTCCAACGAATTAGGGGGAGGAGTGGTTGGAGTTCTGGTAATCTTACTCACTCGGTGAGATGCGACGAAAGAATTGTTTAACACCGATTTTCTGTGAGGCCGTCGTATAACTCCGGTTGAACCGTCCCATTTATGTCGAAGCATGGCTCTCCCAAGCAAATTGTTGTGTTGATTTAAAACAACGAGAATAACATTTAGTTTCTTTTTATTATTTTATAACAAATCATTATTTAACAATCTTAAAACAATCAGTCCTTATCAAGTTATCTATACATATTCATTAGTCCTAGTGGTGGTGATGATGTTCAGGTACAATATGCTTAGCATGACCTTCGTATTTCACATCAGCGTGGAATCTAGAATTAAAGAAAAAAGTCGTTTTTAAAAACTGAGGATTACAAGATGTTACAATAAACATTATGTGTGCATGTTGTTGCTCAAGCTATTACGCCTATTTCGTAGAATTTTGATTAACAATTTTCAATATAACTGTACCTTTTCTGACTGAAATAACATTGAACGAATATCAAACGGTTTTTTTTAAAGAGGTTCCAATGGGGCCTTAAAAAGGAGGTCGAATGGGTACTTTTTAGGGTCCAAACTTGGAGGTCCAACATTTTAAATAAAAGGTAAAAATAATAGTAATAACACCATGAATTACACACGGCCGTCTGATACTAAACTAGGCAGAGCCTAGGCAAACCCACGTTTCTGCTATAGAAGTCAGGTTCACCAACCACTAGAGCAACAGGCCAGCCAAACAAGATAATTTTATACTAAAAATAACTCACCCGGTCTTCTTATCAGCGTGGTACTTCACGATCCTGACGGTGCCATCGGGCTGGTGCAGACTGTACTCGCCCTTCACGACGTCACCGTCGCGGTGTTCGTGCTGCTGCTTGAAGTCGTGAGTGTGGGGGTCTTTAATCTCATATTCGTACTCGTACTTGGGGTGGGCCTGGAGTAAAGTTTTAATTTAAATAAGGTCAAGCTACATTATATTGGTATATTATATAATTATGAGTTGATTTTCATACATAGTAATCGATGTCGTGTTTCTCGTGATGTTCTTCATGTTTCTTATGATGGCTGTCTTGTGCGCTGATTACAGCGATTACAACTGCAACTACTACGAGCTGTAGAAAGAAACAAAAATAAATTAAATGCCTAACCTCATGGAGACTAAATGTTATACGAAATAACAAACTCTCAGTCGGTCTTATACCTTAGCAAACATTTTGGTATTTTTTGTTGAATACTCTTAGGGCACAAAGAAGTAACTGATAAATTCCAATTGAATGTGTTCTCTTAAATACACATAAGAGAGTGAACTTTTACGTAATTATTTAAGTTGTTTAACTTGTTTGTTAATTTAAATAAAATTCAGTATTATCAACCTTGATACTTTTACATTTCTCTATACGCGTTCAAATAAACGCGTTTCTTAACCTACTTACTACTTTTACCTCTTAAGACAACTATATTTATATATTCCATTCGTGTCACCAAGTGTTGCTCCAAACTCAAAATCCATGGATTGTGCTATTAGGATGTCAAGTGTATTTTTTTTTGTTCTTTATTGTAAAATAAATCTACAAAATTACCTAAATGGATAGTTTAGATTTAACATTCTGTGGTAGATGATGAATTTTACCATAAATAGAAATAAGATTTTAGGCGTTTTCAGAAACTATGAAACGGTTTTTTTTTTGTTATTATATTGTTGATAAAAACACCGGTGTGTTAAGGAAATTTTTCATTATATTTCTGCGAAGAGTAGGAAAACTTCACACTAACCCTATACCAACCCGTCTGGCCAGCGTGGCGTAGTAGGCCAAAACCTCTTTTTAGTTTACTATTTGTTCCGTGCACTATTAAGGAGTGTTGATGATGATGATGATTCTGTGGTATCGTGAGACGTAATCTTCTCCAGGTACTTGACTACTCTACCTATATTAACTATAAATATTGATAAATATAGTACCAAAGGAATCATTGGTTCATTTGTAGAGTTGTTAAGGTGTTCTTCTCTATCTTTATTTTATTTAAAATCATAACTTTTAGGTTAATATTTTCCAGGTGTAACTAAAAATATTCCATAAAATATCAGAACGGATGTCATAGATTAAAAATGAATGTTAATTAAAGGTATTGTGCATATTATGTATATTTATTACAAATAATAACATTTTCATAAAATTATGTAACAGGTCAAACAACAACTAGTTAATCTTGATTTAATCTTCAATAGTGATAATTGTCATGGTGATGATTATGGTGATGAGACGGATGCTTATGATGATTAGGAACGTGTTTCACATCAGCATGGAAACTGTGAAGAGAAAAAAGGTTATTCATAATACATATATCCTAAAATATTCCTAATGTAGCACACGTTACTGTAGAAGGTAACGTGTTCTACATTATTAGAAGTTTTATGCAAAAAATTATAGTTTTGAAAAACTGAAAAACACGCTTTCTATAGAAAACCAAACTAAAAAATATATTGTTTTTTTAATTAATGTGTTGTCATCGGTCCTTGATATATCTACAAAGTTTGAACGAATTCTGACCGTTTAAATTCAGTCAAAATTACGCCCAAAGGAGTCGGTTACAAACAAACATATAAGTGAAGCTAATATAAAGCGTTAAAAAGAATTACGTAAAATTCATTTGTAAGGTATTGAACCTCATTATATTACAAATTTTGATGCGACGGGGTTAAAAAGTAAAGATCGGATCACTGCAGCCAGTATTAAACTACTTGAATTGTTATTTTGCTTCTTACTTATTAAAAGATTTAACCATTAGGTAGGTATGCGCTACTATATCTATACTTTAGAACAATATGGTCAATACATTACACAGTAAGCAACGTAAGTACGTAAAGAACTTGTAAAAATGTGTTAACCGTTTTGAATGTCTTGTTTTATTTCATTGGCCAATATAACTGGAACTGTCATTTTTAGACTTTTGTGCCATGACAGGACAAAGCATGTATTAGAGTTCTAAAGTTTTAACCTTATACATAATTTGTAACTTGATAGCACTTATTTTTTCAAAATTTTAGCTTCTGCTCTTTTTATATTTCTCTCATATTTTATATTTATGTAAAAGTATGAATGTATTTATATGTATTAACCTGTATTTAAATAAGTATTGCTAGGACTGAGTGCATTGTAATCAACTACTTTTGTTATATACTTTTATCGAAAAAAAAAAGATGTTTGCTGCATAAATATTTTATCATCCTTCTAAAATTTTCTTCACACCAAGACTTTGAATGAATATTTATCTACAGTGGATTTGTCCATCCAAAGGTGGCCTGTATGAAATTGCTTCTTAGCGAAAAGCCACGATTTGTAAATGGTCATTTATTTGATGTACTCTTGTATATATGATGTACCGTACTGAGGTACAATCATTTATTTTTTCAAATAAACATTAAGTTTTCCAAACATGACGTACTTCTTTGAGGGTTATTATTTTAAAAAGGAAAAAGTTTTTTGCTTTATGTATTAATGTGTAGATTTAAGTTTACTTACCCGGTATGTTTGTCAGCATGATAGTGTACATGTCTAACAGTACCATCAGGTTCGTGTAGAGAATAATAACCTTTTACAACGTCTCCATCACGCTCTTCGTGATGCATATGATGATCATGCGTGTGAGGATCTTTCACTTCGTACTTGAAATCGTACTTGGGATGTGCCTGAGGTAAATATCAATATTACTAACAATAAAGCTAACCTTTATCTTCTAAACCCAAACTAAGCATAGTTTTTACTATAGATTCTAAAACCTGATTAATTTACTTATTTTTTTTAATACTAAGTCCCAGATGTTAACTGACTACCACCGCTCATAGCCATCTACAACTAAATAGTCATAATTGTGTCTCTTTTAGACCTCATCAGAATCTGGAGCCCAACACTATAAGACCGCTGTTCTGTGAGGCCGTGATATCACTCTGGTCGAGCCGGCTCATTTGTTACTAAGCATGGGGCTCTCCCACAGTAAATTATGAAATGAAATTTATTTCTGCAGGTAAATCTTTCAATTTTTTTTACAAGTCGCAATTTACAGCTAGAAGGCGCCAGCATTATCTAAGACTTACTCTGGGAAGAAACGCCGTAACAAACCACAGAGGTTTCTTTTTCAATGTTTAATTAAATGAATAAATATTTTAAATATAAATTCATATAGCGGCAATGGAACTCACTAGTTATTTCAATGTTTTAGTTGTGTTCATTAATTTTAGTAAACCAGACAGTATAACTTACGTAGTAGTCAATATGATGATGTCCATGATGATCATGAATGGTTACTTCCTGAGGGTGTCCATCATGTTTGTGGATATGCTGCGATGAATGTCCATATTCCGCTGATACAAACGCGACAGATGCAGCGAAAACAAACATTACCTGTTGCCAAGTGAGTTAAAAGAGTATTAATACTTTTTTCGAACTGCCTCATAGATGAACTATTTTTTAAAATAGAATGCCATTTTTTTAAATGAAATACACCCAATGAATGCAATTGATTTTTACTTTACCTTCCTAAACATTTTGTTAAGGTTGCTTTTATTGCTCTAAGGCTGTAGTAGACTGACATGTCTTTTTATATAAAACAAAAGCAATTAGATTTATATTATTCTGTTTCTCCATAGCCATTGAACGGCCATTAAAATTATTTACGATTATTTTGATTGCGTGTGATCTAAGTGGTTTCATAAAATAAGTTGTTGACATGCTTGATAATTTTGACGGATCTATTGCTCTAGTAGTTACCTGACTACTTAACCAGATGTTGGGGTTCGATTCCCACCCAGGACAAATTATTGTGTGATGAGCACGATCATCTATTTAGAGTCTGTAAATACGAGGGGTGATCAATAAGTAATGATAATCGAGTATTTCTAGAACGCACAAAAACCCAAATTATTTTTTTTCTGCTTGCTTATATATCCACTACTTCAGCTTCAAAAAAATGTATAAATAGGACACCATTACCGGGAGATACATTCATTTGAATACGAACTGTCGAAGAGAAAACATCAAAATGGAGAAAAATGAAATAAGAGCTGTCATCAAGTACCTCTGCCTGAAAAAAATGTCTACCAAAGACATACACAGCGACTTAGAGGAAACATTGGGGGAGTCTGCTCCTCCATATTCCACAGTCGCACGCTGGGCAAAGGAATTTAAGCTAGGCAGAACCTCCACTGAAAAGGAACATCGCGAGGGACGCCCTTCCACGTCCCTTACTGGAGAAAACGTCAAAAAAGTGGAAGATATCGTGTTGGCCGATCGAAGGGTGACCGTAAGGCATGTAGCTGAGGTCACAGGGATCTCCTATGGCAGCGTTCAAAAAATCATTGTCAACAAAATGCATATGAAAAAGGTCTCTGCGCGTTGGGTACCGAGAATGTTAACCGACGAGCAAAAAAAGAAACGAGTCGACATTTCGAGGGTGTATCTTCAAAAGTTCCAGGCCGATAAAGAATTTTTTTTGTCGCGTTTTGTGACCATGGACGAGACCTGGATCCACCACTTTGATCCCGAAACCAAACAACAATCAATAACTTGGAAACGAGCTTCCTCACCAACGCCGAAGAAATTCAAAGTGTCAAGTTCAGCGGGAAAGGTTATGGCGTCTGTTTTCTGGGATGCAGAAGGAATTATTATGGTGGAATATTTGGAAAAGGGGGCCACTATAACAGGCTCTTACTACGCAGGCCAAATAAGAAGATTGCGAGAAGCTATTAAGTCAAAAAGACGCGGTAAACTGCGCGCTGGAGTGCTGTTTCACCAAGACAACGCTCCGGCTCACAAAGCCGCAGTTGCGATGGCTGCCATTGAAGAAACGGGGTTCGAACTGCTCGAACACCCTCCCTATTCGCCAGATCTAGCTCCCAGTGACTTCTACCTCTTTCCTCGGCTCAAAGAACACCTCCGGGGCAACAAATTTGAGGACAATAGTGAAGTGATGGCCGCAGTAGAGGCATTTTGGGAGGGTCAAGACAAAGAATTTTTTTCTAAGGGAATCATGGGCTTAGAAAAAAGATACACTAAATGTATTAACTTGCAAGGAGACTATGTTGAAAAATAAAATACTTTTTTTAATCTAATAGTTCTGTTTCATATTGATTATCATTACTTATTGATCACCCCTCGTATATATGTTTTTCAACAATATGTATGTTTATCAGCAGTATGTTTACCGTAGTACGCCAATTTTGAGATCAAGTGGCAGAGCGTGAGGCGTCTCATGTTATTACTATTAACAAAAATAATTCTATAAACTATGACCATCATTAAAAAAAAAAGTATATTTTATATGTGAAATATTTTACAGTAATATTCTTTACGACCCGAGAAATCCATTATTTTTTCTTTTTTTTAAATAAAATTGTAAGGTTCTATAGGTAAGCCCGGTTAATTTAATTTCTGTTATCTAAGGGCCGTATTTTAAAAGGCGTCCCAGTCGTGAATCTAGTCTTAAAACTATTTTTAATTAGAGATTGTATTATTGAACGTCACTCAAAACGAGATTCACCGATCGTTACTAGCCGCGTTTACACCGGGCGCATGGGTTCGCGCGACCGCCTCGATGTAGTGGCTCGCGAGGCAGACTTGCGAGGCACCTCGGTGACACAGAGGCAAGTCTCGCGAGGCAGGCCGAAACATCAGAGCTCACCGAGCATTCAAAAACGAAAGTTGTGTAATTTCTACTGCAGCTATTGTTCTAGTAGTTTATTGTTTAAGAAAAAGGTAACAATTAAGTTATAAGAAAGGACCAAGACGCTTACGGATCAGAAAACTTTATGAGCGTCGCAATCAATACGGAAATAAATTATTTCAGGATATGAAACATGATAAAACCGTCCATAATTTTATACGTATGTATGATGCGTCCATAATGGACTGCACGGATGGCGTAGTGGTTTAAGCGGTCGCCAGGCCGCTTTCTGAGTCTGGGTGTTCTTTGTGTCCATTTCATGTATGTTTGTAAAGTCCCCCGCGACACAGGATTTATTCCTAATGCGGGAGTTGTCTTTTTGAAAAAAAATATGAAAATAGCCAAAATCACCGTCCACATCGAACGCACAGCGTACACTGAGGCACTTTTGAGCACGTCCTGTTTACCGTACTCCACCACGAGGCACACTTAGCCGAGGCAACGTGTGCCCGAAAAACTCCGAGTCACGTCTACACAGCCTGAGGCATTGGCTCGCGAGGCTGCCGCGCAAGCCGTGCTCGGTTGATGTGCTAATTAAGTGAGTGATAACTTATTACTCAGGCATAGATTTTGACAGATGTTTACTGTTGTTTACATGTTAGCATGATCTCTACTGATCCTGCTATAGTAAAAATCGGTATAAAGATGGACCTAACACTGACCTGGAAACCTGAGGATGGATATAATTAAGCTACTTTTTAATAAGTCCACCTCTATAGATACGAGATGGGAGTCATGATTTTATAAATTAATATGAAGGGAATTTTCATTGAATTATAATCATAGAATTCTAAACATAAATATTTATTTCACTTCAAATATTTTAACTTGAATGATAATCAGGTGGTGGGAGGTCGATAAAAGTCCATCAGCCACCGCGGGCTTCGAATGACATGTTAGTTTTGGATGTTTTTTAAACACTTTTACATAAAGGACGTACAGGTAAGTAAAATTTATGACAATAACAACAAAAGTGATTTAGTTTTAACTTTTAATTTTTCTTAGGTTAGTTTCTACGTGTTCTTAAAAATCGATACAATTTACAGCTTAAATAAATAACAACTGAGAAAAAACGTAACAAACTTTAACTGTGAGGTGGATATTAGTGGTGATGGTGATGTTCTGGAACAATGTGTTTGGCGTGGCCCTCCAGCTTTACGTTAGCGTTGAATCTGTAAACAAAGTTGTTTTATTTTAGACTTGCAATATAGGAAAAAGATTCAATTTTTTTTTTTTAAATATTATTGTCACTCCAGGAATTAGAAACACACAGAGAAATTCCAGATTCAGGAGAAATATATGTACATACAACAAATTTCTGTCCTGTACGGGAATCGAACAGTGAAGGTCTTTAACCGACTTTATTTGACTATCCTTACCTAAAAAATGCATGCAGTATTTTTTAAAATAGTAATTTATACGAGGATCGTATCATGAACTTACCCGCTCTTTTTGTCAGAGTGGTACTCTACAACTCTGACGGTACCGTCGGGCTGGTGCAGACTGTAGACGCCCTTCACGACATCGCCGTCGCGCTGTTCATGTTGACTCTTGATGTCGTGAGTGTGGGGGTCCTTAACTTCGTACGCGAACTCGTACTTGGCGTGGCCCTATAACAAGATATTCTAGTTAAATACATATTTGTACGGTATAAATCAAACTCAAACTCAAAATATCTATAAATGTGAAATTTGTTTGTTGTAACAAAAAGTACTTTTTACAGCAATAACCGACATGCTGCAAGAGCCACGGGTAAGTTGGTATATAATATTTTAGAAAAGCTAATAAAAGGCCAGAAAACATGACAGTACCTTTCCGTAGCAATATTCTCACTTATCTAATTATTCTAGTATATTAAACTGCGATGATAGCGCAATAGTGAGTAGATAAACAACATATTTCTCCGAAAAGAAGATGTGATATTAGAAACATAACTAATTTTTTTAATTTAATTTTTTGGAAGGAAAACAAGCTAAGAATTATGACTCACATCAACGAGGATTTTTTTAGCTTGTCCATGGTGCTGAATAAGTTTTTGCGATGAGTATGCATGTTCCTTGTGTTCGTGTTTTTCATGATGTTCTTGAGGTCGGGCGCTGACTGCAGCAAGTGCAAGAGCGAGCAGGAAAATCTATTAAAAATTATAAAGATTATAATTTAATAAGTTTAATATATTCATGGTCTTCAATAAATTTTCGAAAATGTACTTACTTTGGTGAACATTTTGAAAGGTTCGTTTCTCAGATAATAAAGAGAATCGACTGTTAACTTTTCGAATTAATTTGTCTTTTTATATACATTCGGTTATGGTTCAAGCTTGTATTTTTCGTAATATGTAGTCCAAAAATTGTAAGCCTGTCCATTAATTATAATGAGATTTGCGATTGTTGAATATACAACTTGTAACTGACCTCCTTAAAGTTACGCTGACTTGTTTATCGGTAGATTTTATGAATATTTATTGTTATAAGTAAGTTACAACAGTACAGATACGAAAAGAGTTATTTAAATTTTAACTATCTGCGATTTATTTGAATTCAGCCGTTTAGTTTAAATTTAGTATTTTTTTGTAAATGAGCGGATGCATAGACCAAAGAAATACCTTTATAGTATATTCAATGATTGCTCAAAAGAGTAATTCAAAGAGAATTTTATCGACATTATGTAGTAAAATAGATAAGTGTGTCTGATACATCATCATATACATGTAAATTAAGATAATAAACACACTTAAATGACAACTTATATCTTCGGGGATTGTCTACGCGTAGGTACCCCTGGTTCTAAACAATTCCTTATGATGAGTGTGCAGGTAATTAGCATTTTCTGTCACCCTCTTTTGACGAAACACACCGCGGTGGGTATAACAACAGTGAGGAGGAGGTTATTAATATTAAATTATAAGTAAAAAGCTTTTTAAAAGTTACATTGTTTTTGTTGTACTAATTTAGGAATACATAACGTTTCAAAATATTCTACTGACATGATTCAGATTGACAACTTTTTTTTTAATGAGAAACTTTTTATACTTCTAATAGTTTTACAATTTAGAAATTTAGCTTTACGATGCTTTGGTAAATATATAAAACCAACTTTGAACCAAATTAAAAAGTAAAGAATTTCTGGTGATAGTTTCTTTTTTTTTATTTAAAAACATAACTCCCGCATTAGGAATATATCCTGTGTCGCGGGGGACTTTACTAACACACGTGAAACGGACACAAAGAACACCCAGACTCAGAACAACAATTGGTGGATCACACAAAGTGTCGTTTCCCATGTGGGGTTTAAACCCTCGGCGTAGTAGGAAGCGGCGTGGCGACCGTTTAAACTACTACGCCATTCGTGCGGTCTTCTTAAGTTCTTATCAAATGCTTTGTTGTAAGTTGATTTTGGAATGGACGTTTTAACTGATTAAACTAATAGAAGCTTGAATCTTTTTTCATATTGAGGACTTGAATGAATAAACGAATCCCCGAATGGTAAGTGACTATCGCAGGCCATGAGCACATGCAACTCTAGAGACCTCGGTGCATCGGCAGCACCTGTTGCCTGATACACATTGCATTATAAAGGAATAGTACATATTATTATGGTATTGGTAATACTAGAATATTGTTTAAACCTATTATTCAGTCATTACTTGAATAATTTGTCTGATTCTTTCTAACTCTGTCTTCTAGCATTACTCGGAACACGTTACACATATTGACGTAAAACATTGGAATTTAAATTATATTCCTACTAGATAAGTTGGAATGTCCTAAAATAAAAGGATTAAATCTCTGCCATCCTGTCCCAGTTTGCGTACACTACCAAGTAACGACGCGACCTCAGTTATCAATGTTTTATTTTTGACTTCCAAAAAAACCAACGCGGCTCAAAGGCTCCTCAATCGTTATGCACGGGTTATCGCACCTATTCTACCACACATGTTTAATACTTACTTCCAATCAGGTATCTTTCCCACGTCGTTCAAGAACTATAATTCAAAACATTTTTAAAAATGGAACTGGTAACTTACTAGCTAACTGCCGTCTTATAGTAGTCTTGAGCGCCTTGTGTAAGATACTCGATCGACTTATTAATAAAAAATTAACAGGGTACCTGGAACAGTTCAAATTACTGTCCCCGCAACAATTTGGCTTTCGGTAAAAAAATCAATTTAACAAGTGACGCTATAAGTAACTTAATAACTTACATTGTGCAACGCTCACTATTTTTCCAGATCTTGCGAAGAACTTTGACACTATTTCTATTTCTGCTCTCTTACTTAAACTAAAACATATTGGGGCCAGGGGCCAAAATCAATGCAAGGTGTAATATCTACGGCTCGACTCACTTTGCCTGCAAAAAGACTGTAGCAAAATTCTTACTAGCGTTAAGCTATGAAGAAACCGAATGAAATTTAATTACGTAAAAGGGCACGTACACTCAAACGCGAATACACACACAGACACACACACATATGCGTTGTTGTTTCTCACGCACTAATAAAATCAACCGACATACCAACAGGGGTCCGGACTTTAACTCCTTATCACATACTGCTCAGTAGCCTATCTCATCATCTATTATCATTATCAGCTTATCGCAGTCCACTGCTGGACATAGGCGTCTCCTATTGCACGCCACTTAGATTGATTTTGGGCTTCTTGCATCCAGCTCCTGATAGCCATCTTGCCCAAATCGTCACTCCACCTGGCCTGTGGGCGTCCTACACTACGTTTGCCGAGACGCGGTCTCCACTCAAGAACTCGTTTTCCTAAACGGTTGTCGGTTCTGCGGCTAATATGACCAGACACAGCTATGTCGGTGACCTTGGTTTTCTGTCGTATCACCTCATTCCTGATGTGTTCCCTTAGAGAAACGCCGAGTATAGCCCTTTCCATAGCACGTTGAGCGACTTTAAACTTGTGGACCAGCCGCCAGACCAGTAGCCTATCTAGGAGCGAAGTACTCAGCCAAAGTTTTAGTTAACAATATGAAAATTGTCATCCATTATACTATATACATGTATACTCATTTTTTTTAAATAAATTATTAATTGTATCGTAAATAATTATTTCTATCAAACTTTTAGACTCCATGTCGCACATCGATTCTCACACAGAGTTTATTAAAGTTATGTAGGAGCAAAATAAACATTATTTCACAGAACCACGCCACGGCACTAGTACACATAACTCGATTTCCACCGACTTGCCTATTATTTAACTGCAGAGGAACACATTTTGTATTGAGATGATGAGAGAGATAAGATTGCCAAGATTAGGCTTGATGTTCCACCACTGGGACCACTGGCTGACTGGCTGGTCTGATTCCAAAGTAGGCAGAGCCTATACTGTGGTAACCAGACTGCTGATAAATATACTTATATATTTCTAAATACATACATATTATAGCTTAATTGCACCCAGACACATCACAAATCATCGCACATCGCATCACACAATTATTTGCTCTGTGTGGGAATCGAACCCACGACCTTCGTCTCCTTTGTGCTATCACGTGTCTTTGTGCCTGCGTACAACGAAGCCTTAAGAAAATGTGTCATAAACATGTGTTAAAATATGTAAATGTTATTTATTATACCTTTCTAAATTGTCGTTGCATGAGAAATCATCCATATATTACTACCAGGCACACTGGGCTCAGTCGCAGAAAGGGGAATACGTTAAATAGGTGCACTTTGCAATTATTGCACTTCTCATAACACACACTTCTCAAAAGGAGCTTTTCGCAAAATGAACCTATGACTTAAAGTTTAAAAATTATTCAGTCATCATAACATATACAATAAAATATACTATGATAGTTATAAGTATAATTATAAGGATAGTCTAAACAGCATTTTAACAGAATTGCGAATCTGTCATTCTTTCATGAAAATTCATTGTATTTTCTCATTTTCACGCCAATCGGTGTCAAATATTTTTGTGTATATATTAAAGTGGAGTGGGGTGATAAAGAGAACCGAATTACTGTGATAACATTACACAAAGTAGATATGGATCAACGAAGACAACTCCCGCATTAGGAATAACATATTATGTGTCACCGTGGACTTTACATACATACATGAAACTGATACAAAGCACACACAATTTGTTGATCACACAAAGTGTTGTCCCACGTGGGGATTGACCTCACAACTACCACTAGGAAGCAGCGAGGTGACCACTTAAACCACTACGCCAGTCGCTCTCCATAAGAGCCATTGGCATCGGTAAGATTATTACTTTCAAATTTGCAAGTCTTTTAGTGGGTAACTAGCAATTTTAAAAGTTATTAAGGTTAAAAGGCTATAATATTAATATACAAATGATCTCACGTGCAGCAATAAATGTTACGTGTCGTAGAATAATAAACTGTTTTCCTTGTAAAAATATTTCGGCAAAGATATAAATAACTCACTGTTTGGCCTTTGTTATATCTTCTTCACTTAATGAAATAATGTGTACAACTATCACGTTAACTTGTTTAGTTTATATACAAAGGAATAGGGCACGGAAAATCGGGCACGCCGTCATTGCGGCGGTAAGACCCGTTATGGAGGATTGGCTCGAGAGGCGTCACGGGACCCTCTCATACCGATTGACGCAGGTGATCACTGGGAAGGGATGTTTCGGAGATCACCTGTGTCTGATCCGCAAGGAGCCAACGCCTGAGTGCCACCACTGCGATGGCCGACACGGCTATCCACACGCTGGCAGAGTGCCCGGCGTGGGTTGAGCAGAGGCGAGACCTCGTGGCGGCCATCGGAGTGGGAGTTCTCTCGCTCGATAGCCTGATTGCGGCTATCGTGCGGAGCGAGAGTGCGTGGAACTGCCGTCTCCTTCTGCGAGCAAGTTATGCTCGCGAAGGAGACGGCGGAGCGGGACCGGGAGAGGTTTAGAACTCTCCCGGCCCGCCAGGCCAGGCAGGACGGAGGACGGAGGTCGCAGAACGACCTCCGTCCTCCATAAGCGCAGGCCTGGGGGTGACAGGTGAGGCCATCTGTCACCCTAGCAGAAGCAGGCCGGGGTGGCGGCGAGCGCGTTGCTAAGCGCGCTCGCTTCCAGGGAGCACAGGGAACATGGGGTTCCCACACGGGGGGGGGGGGGGTCGTCTACTCGTCTGTAGATGACCCGAGGTATGTCGGGGCACCAGGGACTTCCTTTCTAGGGTATACCTGGTTCCCCGGCTATTAGTACCCGGCGAAGGCGTGCGGTTTTAGTCGGTTCGAGTCCGACATGCCACCGATAGGTGGTATCCGAGGGGATTTCGGCACGAAAAAAAAAAAAAAAAAAAAAAAAAAGGGCACGGAAAATAGGCAACAAAATAATAAAAACAAATGTTAGGCTTAAAGTAGTGTAATATATTTAAATAATATTTCTATCACATTTTTTAATTTAATGTGTGTTGAATTTGTACAGTTATTTAAACATTAGTGATGATGTTGATGGTGTTCTGGGACGATGTGCTTGGCGTGACCTTCTTGCTTCACATTAGCGTTGAATCTGTCAACAAAGAAATATTTTAGTTTTTCCTTTGTCAGTATATTAACGTTTATTCATTACAATACTAACTACTTCAGACTAAAATATTATTACTCACCCAGTTTTCTTGTCAGAGTGGTACTCTACAACTCTGACGGTACCGTCGGGCTGGTGCAGGCTGTAAACGCCCTTCACGACATCGCCGTCGCGTTGTTCGTGCTGACTCTTTATGTCGTGTGTGTGGGGGTCCTTAACTTCGTACGCGAACTCGTATTTGGCATGACCCTGGCAGATAGTAAATATTAAAATATTAAGTGGTACACATTAGAATTGATAATTCTATACTTACAATTGTTATTATGGGTATTCATTTAAAATTTAAATTATTTCAAATTCAACTTACGTCGACAAGAATTTTCTCTGCGTGTCCGTGGTGCTGGACGATTTTTTGTGAGGAGTATGCGTGTTCCTTGTGATCGTGACCGTGACCGTCTTGTGGACGGGCGCTGACCGCAGCCAATACAAATATGACGACAAGGATCTGTTTACCAACAAAGAGGCACGTGATTGCATTTAGTGTTATAATTATCTTACAGATTACAGAAATAATCAAATCTGTTAGCCCTGGAATAACATCTTTAGTACTGTAAATATCTATAAGACACACAACGCCATGTAGTTTCAAACTAAGCATAGCTTGTACTATGAAAGCTAACGCGACTGATATTACAATATTATCGACTGGTATTTTACCAGATTGACTAATAATAGTCGATAATAATAAATCGATAATATACTTTTTCTTAAATTAAGAATATTGATGTTAATCATATTACTAAATACCTACTTTAGTGTACATTTTTCAAGTTTTCTTAATTAAGACAGACACTGGACTGATAATGTTTAAGTTTTAATTTCTGTTTATATATACGAAAACCAAACGATCAGGAGTTGTTTTTTCGTAACTTAACCAGTTTTATCAGACATCTTACACATACTTTGGGTTAAAAGAAAGTAAAATTTTACTTCAAGGACATAATTTATACACTAATCAAATCACTACGCTCAAAATGGGTCACTTATTTGAACTTACGTACCTAATTAGTACTGATGGAATGTTCCTAATATTTAAAACTGGAATTTGGCAAATAAATATACATATAAATCCATCTTGTGCACTCAAATTCATCTGGGGAAAATCACTACTTTTTTAACCATTCATTCACTTCGAGTCCTCTATATAATCAACCTCATTGCTAAAAAGCATAGAAACATTCTTATTTTCACCAAACGAATATATATGTATATTATTTATTATATTATTAAACTTTAAAAAAATAATTACAAATCTATGTGAAAAAAATTCTTGAAGAGTTATCCTCTAACTCCTAAAGGTCAAGGATCCTTTCATCGTCAGCTCAGCAACATGATATATAGACTACTAAACGCAAATACCTAAATAGCTAAAGACATGCTAACACTGTCACAGATTACTGAATAGTTACTACATATTTTTTATGCTTTCATTTGTTTTCCGCATTTATACACGAAGTTAAAGAAAATTGTGGGATACACACTTGGTTGAATAAAACAAACTCAGTTGTATATTGTAAACCATTAATACAGAACGTCCTTACTATTAAACTAAACTATTTATGAAAAACTTCAATTAAAACTTATTTATTTGTTATATCTACTCGTTTAAAAATTTAGCCACTGACTTTCGACTGTTTAAATATTGTATATAAATATTGTATTCGTTTCTTAAAAATGTTAATGTTTTGCTCCCTGCGGCCACTTAGTTAAAGAACTAAAGAACATCGTTCTAACTAAACTGGTTCAGTAAAGCCATGACTGCAAAACATCGTTCAATAAAGAACTAAATGCCTGCAATAGTAATCTCATAAGGCCTGAAAAGTTTTTGAACCTGAATCATCTGACATGTTAAATGGAAAGCTGCCATGTCAGCTTATACTTCGTTCTGATAGTATAAGTGTAGTTCCCAATAGTTTCTCTCCAGGTCGTTTTGTAAAAACCAAAGTCAAATATCTTTATTTCATAAAAAATATATTTTATATCGTCTCTTATGTAGACTCTAAAGTCACAGATCAACACACACAATAGGAACAATCTGTTATGTCAAATATTTAACAAAATAAATCCAATCCATAATATCCTTGTGGCGATGTACAACCGGCCCGTTTTCAAGTGTTTGAGATTTATGAGAAGAAAGGGTTAACAAAAATTAATGTTGATCATGCCAATAAAGTAAAAGAAAGGGATTGTGATCACTAATGTCAAAGTAAAGATAGAGAGTTAATTGATGATGCCAGTTCTTTTATTTGCAGTATATTGGATTGGACGCGTTAGATAAAACTGTTTTAACTCAACCATTCACATCTTAAATTTTGAAGTTTCTTACATTCTCTTAGTTGTATCGGCTTCATTCTGCAACGTGAAAAGGAACGCGAGAGAACTAGTCCTTCTCCGCCTCGTAAAAGAGGCACCAAGCGCTACAGAGTAAAAACTAGAGTTAAGAGAGTAATAAACGCCTCTCTCAACAGGAGGCGTATTCTGCTGGGGTTCACAGGGATTTCGTTCATTCATAATGATTAAGTTCAATAATTTAAACAAAATGGTAACGTTTGAGGCACTTTAATAAATTAAAATTATTATTTACATTTTTATCACATGCAACTTAAAACTAGTAAATGTTTTCTGTATTTAGTAAATAACTTTAAACACTAGTGATGATGATGATGGTGTTCAGGAACGATGTGCTTGGCGTGACCCTCCTGCTTCACGTTGGCGTTGAATCTATAAACAAAATTGTTTTATCTTAGACTTGCGATAGTAGAAAAACATCCTATTTTTTTCTTGAAAAATACTATTGCCACTCAAGGAGTTAGAGACACACAGAGAAATTCCAGATTCAGAAGAATTATATGTACATACAACACTGTCCTGTACGGAAATCGAACAGGGAAGGTCTTTAACCGATTTTAATTGACTATCCTTACCTATAAAATGCATGCAGTACTTTTTTTAAATAGTAATTTATACTAGGATCGTATCATGAACTTACCCGCTCTTTTTGTCAGAGTGATACTCCACTACTCGGACAGTGCCATCGGGTTGGTGCAGGCTGTAGACGCCCTTGACGACATCACCGTCGCGGTGTTCGTGCTGACGCTTGATGTCGTGAGTGTGGGGGTCCTTAACTTCGTACGCAAACTCGTACTTTGCGTGTCCCTGTAGCAGATAAATAAACTTATAGAATAGGACCATATTAGAACTAGGAATAATGTTGTAATTCAATATTTTAAGATCAACTTACATCGACAAGAATTTTCTCAGCGTGCCCGTGGTGCTGAACAATCTTTTGTGATGAGTATGCATGTTCTTTGTGATCATGACCGTGACCGTCTTGAGGGCGGGCACTAACCGCAGCCATGACAGCAACAATTAGAAGAATCTGTTTAAAATAAACAAAATTGAATTTAAAACAAAAAAAAATAAGTTGAAATATGTTTCTATTGGATGAATTGCTCTTGGTTAAATTTATTATTATACAAAATTATATAATACAAATATTTTCAAACTTCCTTTGAACTGGAATTAAAGGACAAATACTGGCAATATTTAATAAATCTCTAACTAGACACTTTACTAGGTACTTACTTTGCAGTACATTTTCAAAAGTTTCTTTTCTCTGTTAACACGAAGAGACAACTGATACTTCTTAAGTTACAATTTTCGTTTATATACACAAATACTGAAAGTAAAAGATTTGTATTTTCGTAACTTAACCAGTTTAATATAAAAATCTGGCTTGCCAACTTACACTGACCTTGGTTGTAAAGAAAGCCGCGGTTTCGATGATTTTAATGTCTTCTTTTAATTAAAGGACTGGTATGATTTCACTTGATTTTATTACTTACTAATCTAATGATTAAGTTTACTAGAATCTTACTTGTTATAATCGTATCGTACAAAATATATTATATTTACTAAAGCCTGTATCATCGTAATATGGTTAAGCAGAAACGTATTAAATGCCCACACTTTGTCGACTATAATTTTATTTTCTATTGCCATCTTCGGAGCTAGAAAATGGATTTGAAAATTGCGTGATCAATATACGAGTATAAGGCAAACTTGGTAATATGGGGAGGAAATAGTAGGAGAAGGTAGGATAAAGGAAGGTAAAATAAATCCTTTAAAAAAAAGTTAAACCGACTTTATATAATACTAGCAAATGGAACTTTAAATTAAAAAAAAATTACAAATGTTATTGAAAAAAAGCAAAATTTGTGCGACCCTCAATATAAGAGGTAACATTAATATAGCAATAGATACCTTTTACTCTGTTTGAAGATTTATTAGGACTTGTGTGAGGGCCTTTTAAGGTGACAGTGAAAATACATCTATCAAAAAGTAATGATAATGCACTGAAAAGACCGAAACAGTATGAGGTTTGACAAAAACGTGGTCCATTTTACGCTTCCAAAAACTTTTAAACCAATTTATTATTCTTTATTAAATTTAAATATACAAATTGTATATATTTTAATGATTCTCTTTTAATTTTCTTGATTTTGATACCCTACTCGATAAGTTTAAGTTGAGCGTATCAATGTCTTTTTGTGTAAGTGAGTTGCGAATAAATACTTAAAGCTAACACACGTTGTTTCCTTGTAAGAATTGTGAAGACGCTATATTAGACCTTATAACAGCTATATGACGTGCTGTTTGGTTATTTTTTTTATTGACCTATTACTATTTTGTGACAAAAATCCGCCATTTGTTTTTTCCTTAAAAAAACATTCTAAAGACACTTGGGTTTTTGAGACTTAACTGCCGAAATCATTCCAGTCATTCAGTCACAGTCACAAACAAACATACAAAACAAATATTCCTTCCTTGGCAATCGGGTAAAAAACCCTTCTTTCAATAAAGCCAATACCTTAGTAGCCTAAAATTTGATCGCTCCTTGGGGTTGGGGGAGGCCTTCGTTCAGCATGCAGTGAATGGCAATAGGCTGAATAGAAAGACCATGCTTTTTTCGTTGTCCACTTTAGATAAAATGCTTCTAATATTCATTTGTCTGTCTTCATTTAAAGGTAATTAAATTACTTAAATAACATTTTTAGGCCCTAATATACTTAAGTACCCAACTCTTTACTAGTTTTTTTATTAGTGACATATTCGTAATCATTATTTTTCCTAACATTTAACAATACTCATTTATTTATTTTCATTTTTTCTGGCAAATCGTAACGCAAACTGCGAACGCTGCTTCTACGAGTAATACTTCATAGACTACTCAAGCCGGAATACCGCTACAGCAACTCAATGGTTTTACTACAATGTCATTGTTAATTTCACCATAGACTAACAATTGATTCAGTACATACTTCTTTCATTTTTGATCGTTAGCCAAAATAACAGCGAGTTAATAAATTACAGTATGCGGAAATGATCTTTTTTTTAGGTTTTCTCTAAAAGTTACAACAATCATCAAATAATAAAATAATAACCAATTATTACAAAAGTTCACACATCACATCATCACATCAACAGCCTATACTAGTCCACTGCTGGACATAGGCCTCTCCTTAGAAAGGAAGTTTTGGCCTACTATACCACGCTGGCCAGACGGGTTGGTATAGGGTTTGGGGTGCTAGGCTAGAAAACCTCCCCGTGGTGCACCCTGGAAACGCTGGCGATGGTACTGTTTCCTCCTTGTCCTCTTGGAGGAGAGGATTATCGCCAGCGGCCAATATTCTAGCAGAAGAGGTAGCCGTTCATCGGCTCTCGGGCAAGGCCTGGTCCAGCAGGGTGGGCGTGTCTGCCGGTTGCCCTGCTGGCTCTTCGCTCTTCGGAGCATGGAGGAGGAAACCTCGGTAAAAAACCTGATGGCGGGGCCCTGTAGGGGCCACAGTTTCTCCGCTGACAGCGGTGGAGAAAGGAGGACGGGCTCGGCGTGTACTCACACTACCACCGAGCAGGCAGGGGGACGTAGTCTCCCTGTCAACCGTCGGCATATCGTAATCCCGAGAAGAGCGCTGTGGTTAAGTCTCGCGGCTCTGATCGGGGGCGAGGGTCTTGGCTTAACCGCCCGGACCGCGAGGAAGATAACCTCTCTAAAAAATTCCCCGAATCCCGTGTTCTGGTGCGTGGCCAGGGGATGCATGGCTGATGGGAAGTTCAGTCGCGAGCGCACTCCAAGCCGAGGTACCTGCGGACCCCTCGGTTGGGTTAAAAACTTACGCTTGCCCGGGTAATGGGGGATCTCTGCCCGGGTGGACCTTTAGTTCTCCCCCACTCGTGGGATTTATTATGGATAATGATAACCAAAATTTAAGAAAAACGATCGGAAAACCAACCAAAACGAAAAAGGCAAGTCAAACGGACACGACAACGAGGAAGGATAAGAGGATCAGTGGAGTGGATGGGTCGTCCACTGAGGGTGAGGTGGCGTCGGGAACGCCTATCTCGGTGGGGCTCCCAGAAGTCAGTCTAACGCTGGTCTCTGGGAGCCGAAGAGCATCGGATCGTATTCGTTCCGGATCCGCCGTCTCCTCGGATGGCGCGGAGGCCATGGAGGCGGAGCGAAGCGACAGCCGAAAACGCGGACGCTCAGGGGACGTGGAAACCGACACGTCCGGCGAAATGATGCCACCAAAGGTGGCAAGCAGCCGCCGAGGGAGGGCGCGCAAACCGGCCTCGGCCCCGGTCTTAACCCCGTCAGGCTCCGCGTTCTCAAACGCGGAGTCCTACAGAAGTGTACGGGTGTTCTCCTGCTCAAGGTTCGGGAGCCGGTGGGGGGAAATGCCCCCCAGGCTCCCGTGTCCGTGCAGGAGAGGGCGAAAGCGGCGGTGGCCGTCATCAACAAGGTGGCCACCAAATCCGTGAACCTTAAGGGCTCGTTTGTGAGGGCCCTTAAGGACTCCTCCTCCGCTTTGTCGGAGGTCGTGGAGGGCCTAGCGGGCGACGTCTCTCGCCTGCAGGTGGCCAACGAGAAGCTGACAGAGCGGGTGAACGAGCTGAGCGCTCAGTTCGCCCGCTTCCAGGCGAACCTCCCCGAGCGGGAAGCCCCGTCCGCGTCCCAGCCTGCCCCTACCACCAACTCAGGGGCATTTGACTCCCAACTGCGAGAAATCCTCATCGCAGTTGGGAATATGCTGGACGGACGCCTGGCTGGCCTGGAGGCGAGATTGCCTCCTGCGCCGATTATGCGCCCCCCGCTCGCGTCGGCACAGCGGCCTAAGGCCGCCGCTCCGACCGCGCTCCCCGTTGTGGGAGGCCGCGTTTCTTACGCGGCGGCGGCGTCTGCCCCTACTCCATCGGCTCCACAAAAGCCGAGGAGGGGGGCCAAGGCACCGGCCCAGGCGCCGGCCAAGGCACCGGCTAAGGCGCCGGCCAGGGCGCATCCCCAGGCGCCGGCCAAGACGGGGCTTAGAACAGCGCCGAGGAGCGGAGTGGCATTCCCTCCGCTCCCCACTCCGACACCCCTGCCGGGCCCCTCCGCACCTGCCCCCTCCAACGAGGGTTGGCAGGAGGCGAGGGGCTCCAAGAAGTCCCGAAGGCGGGCCAAAAAGGCTGCCCAAAGAGCAGCCCAAGCCCTGCCTTCGCCACCGGTGGCAACGGCCTCTGCAAAGAGGCCGCGGAAGCTGCAGCCGCCCAAAACCGCGGCGGTAGTGGTGACCGTGTCCCCGGAGGCGGCTGACGGCGGGCTGTCCTACGCGGCCGTTTTTAAAAAGGCCCGGGACAGCCTCGCCAACGACTTTGGGACGGTGGGGGTCAGGATGCGCCTCGCCCAGACGGGAGCTCGAGTCCTCGAGTTCCCTGGGGCTGAAGGCGCTAAGACGGCGGACACATTTGCCGAGAAGCTGCGGGGACTCTTTACAGCCACGGATGGTGTAAAGATCGCCAGGCCTACTAAGTGCGCAGAGCTGCGCATCTCGGGCCTGGACGACTCCGTAACGGCCGAGGATGTCCGCGCTGTAATCCGGGAGAAGACGGGGTGCAGCGCGGACAACGTCAGGGTCGGCACCATCCGCCCCGGTCCAGGAGGGCTTGGCGCCGTGTGGGTCAGCTGTCCCGTAGCGTCGGCCAAAGTATTGGCCGACGCCGGCAGGCTGCTCATCGGTTTCGTGAGCGCCAGGATCACAGTCCTGGCGGCGAGACCGATGAGGTGCTACAAATGCCTAGCATCGGGGCACACGCGCGTCAAGTGCGACAGCTGTTTCGACTGCGGCGGACTGTGCTTCCGCTGCGGTCAACCGGGGCATAAGGCGGCAGAATGCTCTGCCGCCCGTCACTGCCCAGCGTGTGCGGCGGGCAATAAGCCCGCCAATCACCAGATGGGGCAGAGAGGCTGCAAGCCTCCCCGCAGTTCTCGGCAGACGTCAGGGGCCAGCCAGTCGACCCAGGCTGCCTCTGATGTAGTACGTGCGTCGTCGTCGTCGCCCATGGAGGAGGTTGTAGAGACGATCCAGTAATGGATCAAGTCTCCAACCTCCTGGTCCAGACGAACCTGAACCACTGTGCCGCGGCGCAGGATCTCTTCCTGCAAACCATGGCACAGTGGTCGATAGGTGTTGCCGTAGTCGCGGAGCCCTATTCTGTCCCTCCCCGTCCAAACTGGATGGGTGACCGGGACGGCTCCGTGGCAGTCGTCGGTTCCACGACGGCTCATTCCCCGCCCTTGTCGCTAAGAGACAAGGGCACTGGATATGTTGCGGTCGAGTGGGGGGGGGATCACCATATATGGTGTTTATTTCTCCCCCAACCGGAGTTTGAACGACTTCGAGGTTTTCCTAATCAGCTTGGAGACCTCGATACGGCGACTAGCGTCTGGGCACGTCCTTGTGCTGGGGGACTTCAACGCAAAGTCCATTGCGTGGGGTTCCCCCAGGACGGACGCAAGGGGCGAGGCCGTAGAGGAGTGGGCGGCCTCGGTGGGCCTCTGTCTTCTAAACAGAGGCTCCACCAACACGTGCGTGCGACAGCAGGGGGGGTCGATAGTGGACCTTTCGTTCGCTACCCCTGCCCTCGCCTCACGAGTAAGGAACTGGCGTGTCCTGGAAGAGGTTGAGACGCTCTCGGATCATCTCTATATCCGATTTGAGCTCTCCCGGACCCAGGACTCCAGTAGGGGTCACGTGGCGCGGCGTTTATCCCGCTTTCCGCGGTGGGCTGTTGCCAGACTGAACCGGGACCTACTAGAGGAGGCAGCCATAATTCACTCGTGGCTGTCTCCTCAGGCTCCGACCGAGGAGGTCGACGTGGGGGCTGGCCGCTTTCGCGATGCGATTACGCATGTATGCGATGCGGCCATGCCCCGCGTTCGAGGTCGTCGGCCTCCAAGGAAGGAGGTCTACTGGTGGTCCCAGGAGCTGGCGGACCTCCGTGCGGCCTGTACACGTGCCCGGAGGTCCTACACGCGCAGTCGGCGGCGTCACCGTGGAGACGGTGAGGAGGACCGGCTTCATGAGGAGTACCGACGGGCGCGGAAAACTCTCAAGCTGGCCATTAGCCGCGCCAAAGAAGAAGAAAGACAGGAGATGCCGGAGGGTCTTAATCGTGACCCCTGGGGTCGCCCTTACCGCGCGGTGCGACAAAAGCTCCGCGCGTCGGGCCCCCCCCTTACGGAGACTCTCCAGCCCAGCTTCCTGCGAGAAGTGGTTGAGGGCCTTTTCCCGCAACGAGCGGAACACACTCCCCCGGCGATGGCCTCCTTGGCCGGAGACGACGGGGAGCACGGGGAGGAAAATGTTCCGCCCGTCCGGGATTCGGAGGTAGGGGCGGCTGTTCTACGGATCCGGTCCAAGAACACCGCCCCTGGGCCAGACGGGGTACCGGCCCGAGTGCTGGCCCTGGCCCTCAACCACTTGGCAGACCGCCTCGGGGAGGTGTTCGACGCTAGCTTGGCGTCGGGACGCTTCCCTAAATGCTGGAAGAGCGGGAAGCTGGTCCTATTGAGGAAGCCGGGACGGCCTGCCGATTCGGTCGCGGCCTATAGGCCCATCGTGCTGCTGGACGAGGCGGGCAAATTGTTTGAGAGGGTTCTTTCTGCCCGCATCGTCCGGCACCTCTGCGAGGTGGGCCCCGATCTGTCGGACGCCCAATTTGGTTTTCGGGCGGGGCGTTCGACAGTCGACGCTGTGTTGCGCCTGAGGGCCGTGACCGAAGAGGCCGTGAGCTGTGGCGGCGTGCTGTTGGCGGTGTCATTGGACATCGCCAACGCATTCAATAGTCTGCCATTCAGCTGCATCAGGGAAGCACTCCACTATCATGGGGTGCCAAAGTACCTGAGGCGGCTGGTGGCAGACTATTTAGAGGAGCGTACCGTCGTGTACGAGGACCGAGAAGGTAATTTGAGGAGTCGGCCCATGTCGTGCGGTGTTCCACAGGGGTCTGTTCTTGGACCCCTCTTGTGGAACATAGGGTACGACTGGGCCCTTCGCGCCGATTTCTCCCCCGGGCTGGGTGTAATCTGTTACGCAGACGATACCCTCGTGACAGCCCGGGGGGCAAACTTCCAAGAGGCGGCGCGCCTGGCCACAGGGGGAGTCTCCCTGGTGGTCGGGCGCATTGAGGCGCTGGGCTTACGGGTGGCCCTAGATAAGACGGAGGCCCTGTTATTTCATGGGCCCCGTCGTGGTCCACCCCCTGGCGCCTCAATCGTGGTCAACTCGGTCCTCGTACCGGTTCGGGCCCAGATGAAATATCTGGGCCTGATCCTCGACGGGAGGTGGCTCTTCGACGAGCACTTCCGACAGCTTGCTCCAAAGCTGGTCGGCGCTGCGTCTGCCCTAGGGCGACTTTTGCCCAATATGGGTGGACCCAGCGTCGCGACAAGACGGCTGTACACGGGGGTTGTCCGGTCAATGGCGCTGTACGGTGCACCGGTGTGGGCGGCGGCTCTGACCGCCCAGAATAGGGTACGCCTCTGGCGCCCTCAGAGGGTAATGGCGGTCAGAGCCATACGCGGTTACCGCACCGTTTCTACGGAGGTGGCATGCGCGTTGGCCGGAACTCCCCCGTGGGATTTGGAGGCGGAAGTGCTCGCCGAAGTTTATCGGCGAGTGGCTGACTTCCGGGCGGAGAGCGGATTTCGCCCTCCGCCCGAGGATGTGCGCGAGTGGCGCGAAGCCGCTCGCCGAGCCACGATGGCTCGTTGGTCGTTCCGGCTGGAGACTCCACGCGCTGGCTTCGCCGCCGTGGAGGCTCTCCAGCCGGTCATCGCCGAGTGGGCAGGGCGGCAGCACGGGACCCTTTCCTTCCGGCTGACGCAGGTGCTTTCCGGGCATGGTTGCTTCGGAAAGTACCTGCACACGGTCGCTAGGAGGGAACTGAGTCCCGCCTGCCACCACTGCGACTGCAGTGAGGACTCGGCCCAGCACACGCTGGCGGTCTGCCCCGCATGGGCGGCGCAGCGCCGGGCCCTCACTGCAGTCATCGGAGTGGATCTCTCGCTACCGGCCGTAGTACGCTCCATGGCCGGTAGCGACAGTTGTTTTACCGCGGTCGCAACCTTCTGCGAGGTAGTAATCTCGCGGAAGGAGGCGGCGGAGAGGGCCCGGGAGGACGACCTCCACTCGGACCCGATCCGCCGCCGGCAAACCGGGCGGCGGAGGCCCGCCTACCACAGCCTCATGCCGCCCTGAGTGTGGCCGCGGGTGGACGGGGTGGGTTTCCCCTCCACCCGCATTAGTTTGGCCAGCCGCGAGGGGGGCGGCGTCCGCGTGTGCCGGACGTCGCCTAAAGAGAGGAACATCAACACTGAGACGGAGCCCGCACCAGGAGCGGGCTGGCGCTAGGAGGGGTCCGGATGTCTTAACAACAGCTGTTCCCGGATCCCTCCTGTTACAGGCGCAGAGTGGCACACCGTGTGGTTTTAGTCGGTCCGAGTCCGACACACCACCCCGCCGCAAACCCCGGAGGGGTGACGGTCCGAGGGGATTTCCACACGTTAAAAAAAAAAAAACAAAAAAGGGTTTGTTTCAAGTTTTCCTTCTCTTTGCAGTGCTGTTGTCCTGCTTAGTTTGCTCCCTTAGTCGGCTCTTACGACACCCACGGGATGAATTGGGGTGGTGACAATTTGTATTCTTAATCCGTCATCACACGGACTTCAAACGGACAAAAGTTCAGTGAATAGGATTTAATTGATTTGTGACGCTTATTGTATAAACAAAGTAAATAATTTAAGAGGCAATTATAATACACATATTAATTTAAATGGAAACTTTATTGTACACCATTGATGACAGAGGAACTTTATTCGAATAGTTAGTGATGATGGTGATGGGGTACAATATGATCAACGTGTGTTGAGTATTTGCTCTCACTTTTGTGTCCGTCGCGATGCTCATGCTGTATCTTGTGGTCACCGGTGTGATGGTCATCCACTTTGTATTCGAACTCGTATTTCGGATAAGCCTAAAAATTTACACACATTTTGACAATTAGAATTAATACGCTTGTAAAAACTATAAATTTACAGTTAAATATCAAATTTTTGCTTTCCTTGCAGTAACCAACTAGGATAACGTCTAAACGAATATTAAAAGATATTTTTTTCACTTCTAATTATCGTACTTAAATCTAATCTGAATCTAAGTACTACACACTTTGGAATCTTGGAACTGATTTGATAGTGAGATCACTAGGTATTTACATAGTGGCTAATAGGTCTATCGAGTTTGGGCACATGTAAATTGTATTGATGAGTCCAATTGTTACAGATTAGTCTAATGATAAAGCCAGAAGACTATAATTGTTATTCTTAACCTGATTATTATTGCAATGGACCGAGATGGATCAAGATAATGATCTAAAAAACACATTTATTTAAAATATGCTTTACAGATTTTTATTAAACAAATCAGGCTTTGACAAGTGATGCCATTAATTTAATCTATCAAGTTTTACTCAAGGGTCGAATACCAAAACTTTATATGTGCATAATACGCATATCTTGCGTATCAGGGTGAGTTCTACAACTCATTGTAATATCATAGATATTGTTGTCCTTTAATTAAAGATCAATTAAAACTCACATAGTAATCAACATGGTGATGTCCATGTTTGTCATGAACTGTAACTTCCTGATGGTGACCGTCATGTCGATGGATGTATTGGGATGAGAACCCGTGTTCAGCAGACACCATCGCGACTGTTACAGCTAATACGAAACAAACCTGCCAGAAATTAGTTTGATTAATAAAATTATCACACTGAGTTATTGCAACCAAAAATTTCAATAGTTTTTTTTGTTTTAACTATTTTTACCTTATAGAACATTTTGAATTGTTGAGATACTTGTACTAATGGTACAAACGAAATTAGTGAACTGATACATTGAAAGACAACAACGGGCCTTTTATATTGAAAGATTAAGCTATCAAGGTAGTACAGGCATCAATAAAGTTTCCAACAATAAAAATATATTTATGACCGTTTAAAATGAAATATATGTATCAGTTACGTAAAATATCAATGTTTCTCGCAAACCTACACTAATTGCCCAATCGACTGCAGTAAGTTAAAACCCCACCACATTTTCTGCAAATAAATATTATTATTATTATTATTAAAAAAATCATTCTTAAAATGGAAATTTATAAGAGGAATAAACCAAGAGGTAGTCACTAGTCAAAAAATGAAAAATAAAGCGGAACGAACAATGGTTACTATTGTACCACAACCACTGAATGAATAATGGTAATTTATCTACCACCAGCAAAACTACACCCTACCCGTATTTTATTTTATTTTGGTAATAAATATAAAATTAGTGACCCCTAATTACCCAAAATCCAAAGCAACTTTTGAAAAAAAAAATGCATACAAGCTCGCGTTTGTTTAAGAGTTAATTTATTTGGCAACAATGGATATTTATGTCAGTTTTGTCATAAAAATGAAAATAAACATTTACAAGAATACGATTACTTGTTACTTAAGTAATTAACTTTGGTGGGCTGGGTCTTTAAACTAGGTCTTTCTCAAATAATTATTTATAAAGATCCTATTTAAATGTCCTTAAACGTCGTAAAAGACTACATATATAATACCATATCGAATTTATTCAAGTTGAATTTTGCATTCTATGCAAAAGTTGCACACATCTTGAGACAGTTATCAGTTTTTTAGTAGAATTTAGAATTATTTACACAACAAAAATCATAAAATATCATTGAACATTATAAATTATTTTAAACATTTGTAAATATACTGTCGTTTTGTTCCCTATCAGTTTATCATCATCGTCATCATCAGGCTATCGCAGTCCACTGCTGGCCTCCCCATCGTCTATATTTCTACCAGAAAGAACCTTCATTTTCAGTGATTCTAGTCTATATATAAATATATTTTAATAATTATAATTGCAGAACAAAAGTTCTGTCATCATAATCATACAGTACGGTACACAAATGGGGAGCGGAACCGTGAGAGGTTTAGAACTCTCACGGCTCGCCAGGCCGGGGAACGGGCCAGGTACCAGGCAGACGACTCAGGCACTGGAGGTCGCTGAACGACCTCCGTCCTCCATATAAGCGAGGGACTGGGGCTGACAGATGAGGCCGTTTGTCACCCTTGAACATGGGGTTCCCACACAGAAGGGGGTCATCTACACGTAGTAGATGGCCCGAGGTACGTCGGGGTACCGGGGTTTTCTTTCTATTATACACGTCGGTATATTATTATTATTCTTTTCTATTATACAGTACAGGTACCCGTGACTGCGAGCGGTTTATGGTCTATTCAAGTCCGACATGACCACCCCAGCTGTGGGGTAGTATCCGAGTTGAGAAAAAAAAGGTAGACAAAGAAAACTGAATGAAAAAAATGAAAATGAAAACACGCATAAAACTGTCATATCGTTGTGAAGCGTACGCTTAAATTTGCTAGATAACTTTTTGGATAGGTACGTCACAGTTTTAATACAGAATGATGCATTTTAGATTGGTTTTCATCTTCTCACCCTTTTTCCAAATTCATTTGGGGTCAGCGCAATGAATTTTTAGTCTGAGTCTCAACAGATCACTGCATTCTAATTTTCTAACAAAATCCTCTTTCTCATAGTGTTTCTTAGTAAAATATTTTGGTTTCTTTCTTTTAAGTAACTTTTAGTTTTAAGTTTTAAGATTTTAGACAGTATAATAAAATTTACTTACATAAAAGAAATTAGAGTAATCTCAACCTATTTTATGAATAAAATATATAACTGTATGTGTGTCCCTTTCTGTTGCACTAGAATTAAGCTTTGGTTGTACATACGGATATCTTCATTATGATAAACTTTTAATATCAATACAATATTGAATATGCTTTCATACATAAATCATATTTTATATAATATAAAATAATCTTGAGATGCTACCATCATGACACTAATTTTAAATTTATACTTCATTGAATCTCTAGACCTTACGTTGTAAATCGTTCAACAAAAATAGATTTCATGTCGACAGCACTTTCCCAGAGAAAAATAACGTACGAGGTAATACTATGGAAATAACGATTCTTGTATGTGAGTTGATATAACGGTAATAATTATTAGGTGTCCGTTACGGTTAATTTGCGTAATGCAATTGATATTTCGTACAAACTGCGTAAACACACACAATGCCATTATGAACAAAGTTACATTTCCGTTGCATGTGTACAATAATGTAATTTTTTACGAAATGATTACAAATTGTTCATATGGAGTATATTGTGAGCATTTTCACTTAAAAAGTGCAATTAGTTTTACCTTGATAGTTTTATTTTCACTATATAAACCTCGATTTTATAGATATGTATCAGTTCACTCATAAGCGCAGTAGAATCACCAGCATTCAAAAATGTTTGTCAAGGTTTGTAATTCAAAGATCCACTCATTGCACAAAGACAGTAACTATTTAAAAATAGCCTAAATTAATTAGGGAATTACAATAAACGTTACATTAATAAATGTGATCACTTTGGCTGTTTTCAGATTCTATGTGTACTGGCTCTAGCAGCAGTAACATCAGCAGAGCATGCTCACTCGTCGCAGCATATCCACAAATACGATGGTCACCACACGGAAGTATCCTCCAAAGATCATCACGGACATCACCACTACGACTACTATGTAAGCTATCTCACCATACCGTACGTCGACTGTATGTATCTCACTCTTTGTAACATGACTAACACAGTACTGTTTATCTACAGACGCCACCGAAATATGACTTTAAGTACGAAGTGAAGGATCCTCATACACATGATCACAAGTCGCAGCACGAGGAGCGCCACGGTGACGCCGTCAAGGGCTATTACGCGCTGCATGAGCCAGATGGTACTGAGAGACACGTACACTATCACGCTGACAAACACTCTGGGTAACTACTTATACATACTAGCTAACTTTAAGTTAATACGATCAGTATATGAATTGCATAAACATTTTCTTTATTAGACTAATGGATATAATGTTTCATTTGTCTACAGTTTTCACGCAGATGTGAAGCACAGCACTCATCACATAATACCAAAACATCATCATCATAACTAGACACCTGCAGTATTTTACCCTACAGCTATTACTGTTGTCATTGTTTTTTATCGATTGTATACATATTATTGTTATTAATCTCATGTTAAATTATTTTAATAAAAGCTAATTACAACTTTGTATTTGTTGCTATCCCTAAAACGCTATTCTAAATTTGTTAAGATTTCAACAACTAAGTGCTTGAAGAGCATTGAAAAGTCATACATTTTTTGATAATATAACTTCTTAAACTAATTCATTATGATTTTACAATAACCTGGCCAGTTTATAAATTTCTGTTTGTCTGAATTATTCCTGACGTTTGAGTTCAATTCCTTCACGAGAACGAGAACGAGAACTTTCGATCAGTTGTTAATCTAGTTGTTTATACATACTCGTAGCACGAGCACTCGGATCCCATGTTCAAAAATGTAATTTCCTACAAAGTTTTGGTATTTACGCCGTTTGAGGATTCCTGCAGATGCAGCAGCAACACCGAAATAACCAGCTGTGCTTGAAAGATGATGATGATGGCACAAGGGTGTCGACGTAAGTTGCGTCCCACACCAAAGACTTACCATAATCTTACTTAATCTTCCATAGCAGCAACGATATACCGTCTGGTCTCTTACTATCGTTTCGTACCAGACCATTAGGTTCACGTACATCTGGAACGACGACGAGAGCACGACGGATAATGTCGTTAATATTGGTATGTCGAGATATAAGGCCAGGGCTTCTGCTCAACAGCTTCTCCGCAATGATTAAGATGCGGAGAAACACAAGCTGCACCTAACCGAAGTAAAAAGGATAAATGTTGTAAATATTTTAATTACATTATAATATGTTTCTTTTTCATTGTAATAATTAATAAATTTTAAATTTTTTGCTTTTTTTTTCATACTCACACTCACTCGTCTCTTAAACTGAAACTATTTTTCTTATTGTTCATTATATAACAATATACTTGTTACTCGTTATCAATATAAATAAATAGCCTAAAAATGTCTTAGCTCGTTATATTTAAATTCTTTCTTTCTTTTTTAAAACACATCTCCACTTTTCAAATATATGAAACGGATACAAAGAACACCTGTGAGTCACACAGGCTAAGAACAACCATTTGTGGATCACGCAAAGTTTGTCTCATGTGTGGGTCGAACCCACAGCACTGAGCGCAGTAGCGAGCTACGAGGTGACCGCTTAAACCATTAAGCAATCCATGCAGTAGGCAATTAAAACCTGTTACTTCATCATTGCCGATAGTATTAGCGACAGTTCAATTTTCATCCAAGTTACATGTAAAGGGGATAAGTCTGTAGACCTACAAGGTGCACGCAATGAACTTAGAAAGGCAGAATGATTAGTTAACTCAACCAGAATTTTGTATCCCATCGGATTTGAAATGGAAATGCACACTTTTATACGATTATTCACCTGCCCTATTAAAATTTCACCTCAACGCCTTTTAATTAACTCTCCCCGATCAACGCAACCTAGTGAGATGGTGATGAAAGCTACAGAATAGGCTTGCAGGATGTGCAGTGCGAAAACAGTTACAGCCAGGCACTTACTGACAGGTTTCTAAGGCGCGCTTAGACCGGGGTCATTATTGAAGTCGCTATGATAGGGTATTACAAATACGTGAAGCTATGAGTTTATCACTGGTGAGAGAGAAAAAAAAAGAAAAACAAACATTAGAACTAACATCGAGTTTGTAAAGGAAAGCTCAACAAAACAAACTTATACAAACAATACAAAACAAATATTAAAAAAACTCATGTTTTTAAAAAGCTGAATATAATACGTAGCCCATATCAGCGGGCCAGTCTTGGGAACCAATGGAAAAAGGATAGAATCATGTTAAGCCACAGGTAGTCACAAGATACTAAGAGGCTTTTATGTCATTCCTCAAAAGCGTTGCCGTTCTTTGAGGGCCTTCTCTTCTTCACAGACTCTACTCACATATATGAGTACCAATGACTTTTTTCTTACACATTATTCATTTCCCTTAACCAAATCTTCAAATAATTTTACTTTCCTGCTATAGCTCTCCGCCAGGGAATGGACTATATAACTCAAAAATAAGTTTTTAATTAGGTTATTAGATCTAGACATTAAAGCCAGAAACAAAAAAAAAACACTGAAGCTTTATTATATCACTAAAAATCATTGACTACTAACAAACTTTTGCGTGTTTATAAATAAAACCGAAGAAATGGTAACAAATTCAAACAACAAAATTATAACGAATTTAAGTTTATTTATAAACCATTATTATTTTTAACTTATTATGAAATCATTAATAAGTAGAAAGATAAATTATACAATAAGAAGACTTGTTTGTGAATTACTCATTGCGATGTTTCTGTACCGCTATATGTTTAACATGTAGCGAGTAGTCACTTTTGGTGTCGTGTCCATCATTGTGCTCGTATTGCTGCTTATGGTCGCCAGTGTGTGGGTCGTCTACTTTATACTCGAACTCGTACTTAGCATGCGCCTACAATGAAATATAAGGTTGTTTTAGCACGAATTTTTTATTTAAAGAAACTGGAATATATTGTGAAAATTATTTTATATCTGATATTGTCTGACGTTCGATGTTCATTTTTTTTTTTATTGTAGTCCACCTTTATTGAACCATTTCAAACATATATCTAAGTTCATCATTTTCAGTATATTTTAGTGAAAACTGTCATTGCATATAATTTCCACACAATAACAAGACATATGCATTTCAGTTAAACTTTCAGAATAAAACTGATTTTTTTTAAAGTTTCGCACTTCTAAGTTATATACTACCACAATTAATTTAAACTTAGAAATTTATTTTTTCTATGTTCGGAGGTTTACCTTAGTAAAGAGGTAGGTATAAAGAGCCGTCTCGTGTAATATATATACGAGTATTACAGTACAATCACAAAATATCAGATTTTAAAAGTGTAATTATTTGGCACTTAAAAATACTAATTACTTAACCTTATCTAATTTGAACACTGTTAATATCATTACTTACATAATAGTCCGCTTGATGTTCTTTTCCTTCATGATGCTGTTTCAGCTTTTTGTGATGCGTCTGCTGTTGTTTCTTATGGTCTTGTTTCTTATGTTCATGTTTGTGTATGTTAACCGGTTGAGTAAGGCCGTCATGTCGGTAAATATGTTGTGAAAATTGAGCAGGTTCTTTTTTTTCAGGAACATATTTAGATTCATCGTGATGGTATTTAACTTCTTTGTGGTTATGTTTTGATTCTTCGTGATGTTCTGGTTTTTCATGATGCATCTGTTGTTCTTCCTTATGTTGTTCATGCTTGTATATGTAGACGGGGTGTTCGGGACCATCATGTCGATGAATGTATTGTGAAGATTGAGCGGGTTCCTTTTTTGCAGAATGATGTTTTGGTTCATCGTGATGATGTTTTGATTCTGTGTGATGATGTTTTGATTCTTCGTGGTGGTTTGGTTGTTCGGGATTTGTGTGTTGGTCTTCTTTCTGTTGTTCATGCTTGTGTTTGTAGACAGGGTGAGCAGGACCGTCATGTCGATGAATGTATTGTGAAGATTGAGCAGGTTCTTTTTTTTTCAGGAACATATTTAGATTCATCGTGATGGTGTTTAACTTCTTTGTGATGTTCTGGTTTTTCATGATGCATCTGTTGTTCTTCCTTATGTTGTTGATGCTTGTGTATGTAGACAGGCTGAGCAGGACCGTCATGTCGATGAATGTATTGTGAAGATTGAGCAGGTTCTTTTTTTTCAGGAACATATTTAGATTCATCGTGATGGTATTTAACTTCTTTGTGGTTATGTTTTGATTCTTCGTGATGTTCTGGTTTTTCATGATGCATCTGTTGTTCTTCCTTATGTTGTTCATGCTTGTATATGTAGACGGGGTGTTCGGGACCATCATGTCGATGAATGTATTGTGAAGATTGAGCGGGTTCCTTTTTTGCAGAATGATGTTTTGGTTCATCGTGATGATGTTTTGATTCTGTGTGATGATGTTTTGATTCTTCGTGGTGGTTTGGTTGTTCGGGATTTGTGTGTTGGTCTTCTTTCTGTTGTTCATGCTTGTGTTTGTAGACAGGGTGAGCAGGACCGTCATGTCGATGAATGTATTGTGAAGATTGAGCAGGTTCTTTTTTTTCAGGAACATATTTAGATTCATCGTGATGGTGTTTAACTTCTTTGTGATGTTCTGGTTTTTCATGATGCATCTGTTGTTCTTCCTTATGTTGTTGATGCTTGTGTATGTAGACAGGCTGAGCAGGACCGTCATGTCGATGAATGTATTGTGAAGATTGAGCAGGTTCTTTTTTTTCAGGAACATATTTAGATTCATCGTGATGGTGTTTAAGTTCTTTGTGGTTATGTTTTGATTCTTCGTGATGTTCTGGTTTTTCATGATGCATCTGTTGTTCTTCCTTATTTTGTTCATGCTTGTATATGTAGACGGGGTGTGCGGGACCATCATGTCGATGAATGTATTGTGAAGATTGAGCGGGTTCCTTTTTTGCAGAATGATGTTTTGGTTCATCGTGATGATGTTTTAATTCTGTGTGATGATGTTTCGATTCTTCATGGTGTTTTGGTTGTTCGGGATTTATGTGTTGCTCTTCTTTCTGTTGTACATGCTTGTGTATGTAGATGGGTTGAGCAGGACCATTATGTTGATGAATGTTTTGTGAAGATTGAGCAGGTTCCTTTTTAACGAGATGATGTTTGGTTTCTTTATGGTGATGTGCCTCTTTTTTATGATGGTGCTCCTTACCCTTAAGAAGATTTTCATATTTGTAAATATGTGTTGGTTGAGCGTGACCATCATGGTCATTGGTTTTCAATTCTACATGCTGATGATTTTGCTCCTCTCGTTTGTGTTCTTCTTTTTGTTCATATATATAAACTGCCTGATGATGACCGTCGTGTCGGTAAATATGCTGCGATGAAGAGGCGTGCTTCGACGCTACAAGGCCTCCTAAAGCGAGCACGCATAATACCTGAAGATGATTACAATTATAATTAATTCATAAAATTTAGATTAACTTTTAAATATTGTAGCTGATTAGTACTCCTAATATAAATTGATATTATGAAGGCATAAGTTTTGTATGTTAACGTTTAACCAATTCTAATAACGTCATTTTAGAATGTGCGCAAAAATGAATTTCACGCAATGTAATTAGTTAATTACTATACCTAGTTGAGTTACAATTATCTCTTTTGCCCAAATTAGTCAATTAAGACACGGGTAAAATCGAAAAGTCACTAAAGAAAATTTTAAATGATGATATAAGTCCTTTTAAAACATAATTTAAGTCATTGAATTACTTTAGGTGCAGTTCAATTCATCAACTTCGTTATAAAGCTATTACACACTGAACAGTCCTACACATCTTGTCACTTATACTATCATTTTGTAAACTAGAAACAAGAGACGCTAGGCGGGTAAAGTACTTAGTAAATCAGTAAATTAGAAATAAGAAGAGGTAAATACCGTAAATTTATCCGACAAAATGTACAAATGTATTAAGTTTTATGATAAAATTACAATTCTAAATTGCACTCTCACGAAACTCTTACGACTATTAGGAAGCTAGTGACTAGTTACTAGCTGCATAATATTAAATCAACATTATACTGTACCCTGAGAATCATGATGTGGTAGCTCTTTATTTGTAGCTCAGCAAATGATAATTACCGAACGTCGAAGTTAACTGATACTTTTTGCTCATTAACCATGTCTTTTATATTAAAGACAAACACAAAGCAATATTGATTTCGTTTAAGATATTCGTACCTTCACTCAATAAAGACATTTAATAAAAATTCTTTGTAAATAATTATTTCGTAAATGCATATTTTTCTCAGGGCACCTACACTTATTACGGAAACGTAAATTTTATTTACGATTAAAGTATGTTCTATTGCATATACTCTTAATTGATAATGAAGAATTTGACATATTTGGAAGTGATTTATTGTTATAGCGTTTATTTTATTTGGACATGGCGATCAAAATGACCACACAGCCTTGGTAGTTGTTTAAACCGATTTATGTAGTTTAATCATTTATTTAGAGTGCATAATTCTTGGATGGATGAAGTCTGCCTAAGATCGGGATAATTAAGGATAATTAAATATAATTAATTAATTAAGCGGTGGATGGTGATAGGCTGATGATGATCATTATAGAATTCATAAACATCGTTGCACTTAACTGTCCTAAGTACTGATGCACCACTTAGAAGGATTAAGTAACTACATTTGATTAGCCAATTACAGAAGCGCGATGGAATTACGATAATAAATTTGAGGAATAGATATACAATTATAAGTATCCTTAAATAAGTTAGTATTAGTAATAAGATTTTAATAGAGTAGAAACTGAAGATTGTATGATGATATGAATAACAAGGTGAAGTTGCTGCAAAGTGAATGTAGAAATTACAAAAAATACACAGAAGTTTTAGAAAAGACTGTACGAGATCTTCAATACCAGTCACGCTCTTCAACGATCGAGATTCGTAATGTACCATTAAAATCAAACGAGTCGGCTGCTGATCTTACGAATATTATAACGAATATTGGGAGCACCGTTGATCCACCAATATCACCTACGGCAATCCGAGATGTTTATCGTGCCTCGGGAAATTCACCCAACAAAGCCATTATAGCCGAACTCACAAGTGTACAAATAAAGACAGAACTTATATCCCGAGTACGTAAATTTAATACTAAACATGAAAGTAATGACCATAAGCTTAATACACAACTCATAGGGCTCCCTGGGCAAAAGCATCCTGTGTATGTGGACGAACACTTGTGTTCCTCTGTGAAGAAACTATTTTATTTATGCAGGCAATTTGCAAAACAACATGATTACAAATTTTGTTGGTCATCTAATGGCAGAATCTTTTTACGGAAACAACCGGGAGATAAACAAATACTGATTAAATCCGAAACTACCCTCCAGGAGCTCCAAGACAGTAAATGACTACTACTACTCTGCCAAGTCATAATCTACCATAACTACTGCGTCATTCCTTGTATACTGCATGATGAATATTTTTGCTTTATTAAGTACTTTATATTAAGTCAGATAACAAACACTAATCTACACACAAATACACATATACCTCTAAAATCTACAAACACACTAATAACACAATCTTACATTGCTAAACCTGATAATAAAAGTGACATTGCTATCAAACCGTCATATATACAAAAAAAGTACACGTCTGCTGCTATTAATCTACAAACTCAAACATCTATCCTACACACGCACAGACTTTCATTATATATCATAGACATTACTCACACACAGCCTGTTGAAATCTATACTAATATTATAAAGCTGAAGAGTTTGTTTGTTTGTTTGTTTGTTTGAACGCGCTAATCTCAGGAACTACTGGTCCGATTTGAAAAATTATTTCAGTGTTAGATAGCCCATTTATCGAGGAAAGCTATAGGCTAGATATCATCACGCTAAGACCAATAGGAGCGGAGCACCAATGAAGAATGTTTCAAAAACGGAGAAAATTTATTACTATTGAGAGACGCAGACGAAGTTGCGCGGGTCAGCTAGTTAGTGATAAAATTTATAATAACCAGCTGACTCCTAAACGAATACCTATCCTACCCTCAGCAATGCCTCACAAATTGCGGATATACAACTTTACAAATGGCTACCTCAGTTTATAATATCTTGTCTGAATTAGACAATATAGATGTCGCGAAAGCTTACACGTGTGATCCAATCGAATGCAAGAAATTTGTTAGTAGTGTCGGCCCCTCTACGACTATTGTACATATTAACATACGCAGCATTAAAAAGAATTTTGACGAATTATTAACACTACTCACCTTGCTTGAAGTTGATTGCGACGTTGTCATTCTAACCGAATGCTGGCTTAGTAAAATCGCTGACCTACCAGTAATGGATGGATACAACTGTCACCCCACAAAAAAACCGAAAAACCAAAATGATGGGGTAGTAATTTATATAAAAAAACAATTACAGTACACAGTTGAGGAACCAGACTTTATCAATGGCAGTTCCCTTACTTGCAAAATTGGCAATAAACTAGCCATAATTGCCATTTATAGGTCTCCTTCGAGCTGTTCTAACCAAGGGTTCGATCTCTTTTTGAACACTCTGGATAATGTACTAAGCTCGGTTAGCAAGTACGATAATATATGTCTTATTGGTGATACTAATATAGACATAACACCTTCTAGTACAAATGAACGCTCTGCCAGCTATCTTACTCTTAATGCTACCCATGGTCTTCTTCCTGCACATTATTTCCCAACCAGATCAAATTCGTGTATAGATCATGTAATCCTTAAAACTATTAAAAAATCAACTGTGCTTGTCTTAGACTCACATATTACAGACCACCTCCCACTACTTGTTGCAGTCGAGACTGATAGGTGGGTCAAAGGAACGTTACCTGCTTTTAAAATTCCTAGCATAGACTATGATAAGGTCAAGTACGATATTGAGCACCATGACTTTAGTCACATCATGACTTCAGAGGATCCTACTAAAGCTACCATCGCTCTTGTTACTGCAATACAAAACATTGTAAGTGCAAACACAAGAGTTGTACATGTTAAAAAAAGAAATAGAAACCTAAAACCGTGGATTACCCCAGGTTTGTTAAGATGTATACGCCACCGCGATAAACTACATAAAGAAGCTAGAATGTCACCTAATAACCCAATTATACTAACAACCTATAAAAGATATCGTAATTTCTGCAACAGTCTACTTAAAAAACTCAAAAACCTACATGATAAACACGAACTGGATAAAGCAAAATATAATACAAAGGCACTATGGAATAAAATCAAGCATATTACCAATACAGAAAAGACATGTGCACCCCCTACGGAACTGCTTGACAGCAAATCTGATTTGAAAATAGCCATAAATAGTATTTGCAAATACTTTGCTACGATTGGCTCCGACTTAGCAGCAAAAATCCCCCCCCAAATGTCACAATTGCCTTTAAATAAAAGCAATCATAGTAGCTCCTTCGTAATTCTTGAAGTAGATGAGTCGGAAGTAGAGGCCACCATTATGAACCTTAGGCACGACAGTGCCACGGGCTGTGATGGCATACCGTCCTTGCTCTTAAGGGTATGTAAGAATACTCTTGTTTCCCTAATTACTCACATTATAAACACTTCAATAGCAAATGGAGTATTTCCGGAACCTTTTAAGAAAGCGCTCATTCATCCGATCCACAAGGGCGGGGACAGAGACTCCATCAACAACTATAGGCCTATTTCGGTACTTTCAGCCCTCTCTAAGGTAATGGAGAAGCTAATTAACGGAAGACTAGCTAACTACCTTAAGAAGTACAATATTATAGCTCCCAATCAATATGGATTTAAAAAAGGGGTTTCTACTCAAGATGCAGTCTTAGATCTAACAGAGCATGTAGCAAGAAAATTAGATGCAAAACAAAAATGCCTTGGTATTTTTATTGATCTGAAAAAAGCATTTGATACGGTCTCTGTCCCCACCCTTCTTATGAAACTGGAGTCAATAGGTATACGTTTAAAACCCCTAGACCTTTTTAAGGATTATCTTCAAAAAAGAAAAATAGTTGTTAAAATAGGTTCATGTATAAGTGATGAAGAAACTGTTACGTATGGTGTTCCGCAGGGCAGTGTGATCGGGCCGACACTCTTTCAAATTTATATTAATGACCTATGTCTTCTGCCGTTGCGAAAGTCAAATATCTTTACTTATGCGGATGATACCGCGATTGTTATCTATGGTGATACGTGGACAGAGGTCAGAACCACTGCAGAGAAGTCCTTGCAAACTGTTGCACACTGGCTTTGCCTAAATCTGTTAACCCTGAATGTAAGTAAGACAAACTATATGCCTTTCTGTATAAACAATAGGAATAAAATTGCAACAGACTTTATAATAAGGGTTCATACATGCTCTGATCCTGTCCACTGCTCGTGTGAGGCACTTACCTGTGTAAATCATATAAAGTATCTGGGTGTAGTGATTGATAGTGGATTGAAATGGTACGATCATATTGACAGTACCATTTTAAAAATTAGGAAACTTGTATATATTTTCAAATCTCTTAGATACTGCGCAGATATGGATACTATGAGAATGATATACCTAGCGATCTGCCAATCCGTTATCACTTACTGCATACCAGTGTGGGGTGTGAAACCAAGTTCATTCAAATAGAGAGAGCACAAAGAGCGGTCCTGAAGGTAATACTTGGTAAACCATTTCGGTATCCGACTCATTTATTATATGCAGATAGCAAATTTCTCTCCGTCAGAAAACTATTTGTGCTCCAAGCAACCCTTAAAAACATACTCAAGTTCCCCCACCAGATCACACAAAGCGTACAAGAAGAGTTTTATGCAGTGTGGAAAACCACAAAACTGCATTCGCCGGTCGACAATTTTATGTCAATAGTACTTTTATTTACAAAAAAATATATAAAGCTATTCCTATTAGTGGCTTAACTCCTCGCGAAGTGAAAAATAAAACAATGGCATTTTTACAAACCCTAGACTATGTACAAACTGAAGGACTACTTCAACTCCAGCAGTAAGCATCTGCCCACACCTACCTACGCATGCTCGCATACACGCACACGTACACACACACGCCCCCGCACACATACACACACACCCTCATACACACGCAGCCATACATACATACACACACGCGCACACACACACACACACACACACACACACACCGCATTATATTTCTAACCTCTAAGCCTACAATCTGTCTCTATAACAGCAGAACACTAACTCCCAAGTCACAGGAACACCTAGTTTGGGAGTTAGGGTTACTCTATTGGTGTGACCTTTAATTGTTAAGATGCTTGTACGTTTATGTGTATATATATATAAGAAAACTGTTAAAGGTTATTTATAACAATAAAGATTATTATTAATTATTAATTATTAACTTACAGTACGTGTAACGGCAATGGCAGTCCATGGATCGGTGTATTGTCTTTATAAGACTCTTTTAAGGAATCAGAACTCTGCACTGTGTCTTTGTATAAGCAAAGTATGTTTAAAGATATCACAAAAAGGTACTAACGTAGTTTACTCATCCACCACTTACTAATGAAAAAATATCTGTGTACCCCTTTTCAACAACCAAAAAAATGTGGCGTACGAGAACATACATATATCATTTTTGGAATACTTAACCTTTGTTCATAGAAACTGGCGTAGAAAGATAGTTAAAAATGGCTACATAGATGTCCGGTATACGTTCCAACCTGTACTGTATAGTACAAATCAAATGATAATTCAAGTTAAATACATAGTCGAATGAATTAAAACAAAACATTTAATATGGTCGACATTAAATCGGTAAACGATCTTTAGTATTCTTGATAAATTCTGGAGTGAGTTAATGTTGATATAGTATCTACTGATTGTATTGGAATTTGTAACCATCGCTATGGGGCTTTTGATTTTTTTCTGTAAATATGCACATTTGATGCATCGGTTGATTGCTTAGAATGTATAAAATGACACGAAGTGCACACTGTTCCGTAGTAAATTAGTGTTACGAGATTACTTTAATTTTATAATTACGGATGTCAGAGGAATCTGAATTTCAATTATTTTAAGTCCTCAATAAAAGCCTAATAATTTTATTACATTATTTGGGACACGTTTCTTTGTCTTTAGTACTTTGTTTTGGATTTTGTACCTTGTTTTAAAAACTTTTACTATCACTTAATGTTATTCCCACGCATTTCCTGTACTTTATTTTGCTGCTTGAGTTATTAGGCAACTTACATATTAAAGGTATTTTTACGAAACTTTTCATACTTACAAGAATTTATGGTGCGAAACTTTCTTACAAATGACTCAATTGCCCAAAAAAATAATATATAATTGTTGCATAAATCTTATATATATATATCAGTAAAAGTATAGTTCTTTTTCTTATATTGATATATAAAAGGCGGCTTCTTGTCCGTTATAGTATCAGTTTCTTTGAAAGCTTAGTGCAGTTAGGGCAAATCTACAAAGGAATTAGGAATAAAAAAAGCGACACGCAAGTCAAGGTGAGGTTGTGTCAAGGATTGTGTAATGATCAGGACGTACTGAATACGACGCTAAAAACACATAACCTCACCTTGAACCATATCCACAGATAACCAAATGATTATCCATTAGTTGGTTGGTTCTTGATTAACATTCTCTTTATTTTATTCTTATGATTTTGGTTTCTAATTCTAATTCGAAGAGTTTATTTTTCTTTTTGGTGCCTTTAATAAAGGCTTGACTATTAAAGAATATTCAATATAGTCGATGTTGACAAAGCTTGTAAATAAGTAATATAATTATACAATAACGTAATTCTCTTTTCTTAGTGACTATTCATTTATTTGAAATCATTTTTTGTTTATGCATACCTTTCTCTTGGTTTTTTTCATTGAAAAAAATAAAGAACATTAAAAAAACATTTATTTGGTTTATATTTTAGAACATTTTGAGCATCCTACCAGAAAATATACAGGTGGCCGGGCTGCAACGTGCACGGTGCAGCCCGGCCACAAACTATTTCTTTTTAAACAAGATATATTGGTGGTACATTTAATCTATTAATTGGTACAGCAAGAACAATAAAAGAACATTTAATTGATAGGTCTATAAATTACGAAATCGACTGTGGCCGGGCTGCAACGGAACACACAACTTAGCACGATAAACACGGCCATCACCATATCGATTATTATGTGAGTTACAATCATTTTAGCTATGGCCATAATTTCTAGCCAAGACTTTTTACTTACAAAATTATTTATTTTACATGTTTGCTATTATAGGCTTATCCGAAATACAAATTTGATTACAAGGTGGACGATGATTACACTGGAGATCATAAGCAACAACATGAACACCGCAACGGCCACGATACCGAGAGTAAATACTCGTGGCACGTAAAACACTTCGTGAATAAGAAACACCACGAGGAGAAAAAAGAAAACCAGAAAGAGACAAAAGAGCAACCACAAGTAAAACATCATTAGCAAGAAGATAAACATGACGATAACATATCTAAACTGCATCATGACTAACATGGACACCAAGATAAATCAGAACACCACGTGCTCATCGATTATTTTGTGAGTAGCAATTACTCAATAAATTATTTCATCAATTTTTTTTTTGTTTGTATGTGATTTATTTATTTAATACTTTCTTTTTAGGCGTATCCAAAATATGAGTTCGGATACAAGGTGGATGATCCTCACATCGGTGACAACAAAGAGCAGTTTGAATATCGCGACGGACATTATACTAAAAGTGACTATTAATTACATTTAAAACATGTCGTACCTTAAAAACATAATTATCGTTAAATTGTGTAAACAAGCTAATTAAAGAAGAAAAGAGAATTACGTTATTGTATAATTATATTACTTATTTACAAGCTTTGTCAACATCTACTATATTGAATATTCTTTAATAGTCAAGCCTTTATTAAAGGCACCAAAAAGAAAAATAAACTCTTCGAATTAGAAACCAAAATCATAAGAATAAAATAAAGAGAATGTTAATCAAGAACCAACCAACTAATGAATAATCATTTGGTTATCTGTGGATATAGTTCAAGGTGAGGTTATGTGTTTTAGCGTCGTATTCAGTACGTCCTGATCCTTCCACAATCCTTGACACAACCTCACCCTGACTTGCGTGTCGTTTATTTCAGCTTGAAGCTTAACTGTACCTTGAAATATAAATATGTGATTGGAGAGCTTCTTCTCATGAAGTGGTACTTGAGAAGTGGATGATGTTTTAGTTCATTGTTATGCTCCTTTAGTTCTTCGATAATCCGGACCTTAAAAACCATAACACCTTTCTACAGATACAAATTTTAAAGTAATAGGGGTTAACGGATGAAATTGCTGTTGTATAATAATAGTACTTTGAATTGACATAAAACCTCCATTATGTGTGATTTTCGTGTGAAACTTTTTTCACATGACACCTATGAAGTTTTTCTTTAAAAAAAGGTGCAACATTCGATTTTCTACTTTCAATTGTTTTCTTATTGAGCTTAGACGTGAAAGATAGATACTTCTAAAATTCGAGTCATTTTTGAATACGAGTTCCGACGCGGAACTAACGATGCAGAAACGGCTCGCAATATCAACGCTGCGTTTGGAGAGGAGACTGCTAATTAACGCACCGGACGTTTTTGGTTTAAACGCTTTCGTAATGGAAATTTCGACTTGAAGAACTAAACACGTGAAACACCGCTCACACAGGTGAATAACGCTGAATTGAAAAAGGTGATGGAAACCGATCCGAGTCAAACTACCTAGGCATTACCTACAATATTGACGCCTTTGTATGAAATCAAAAAGAAAAAAAAATGAAAAATGGGTGTCTCATGATTTGACTGATCTGCAGAAAGACGTGTTGAAACTTGTGTTGAATCGATACAGAAATGAAGGAATATCAGATCGAATTGTAGCATATGACGAAAGGTGAATTAAAGGTAAAATCCCGACGGATACCACCTGTCGGTGGCATGTCGGACTCGAACGGACTAAAATCGCACGCCGTCTCGGGTACTAATAGCCGGGGAACCAGGTATACCCTAGAAAGGAAGTCCCTGGTGCCCCGACATACCTCGGGTCATCTACAGACGAGTAGACGACCCCCCCCCCCCCCCCCCCGTATGGGAACCCCATGTTCCCTGTGCTCCCTGGAAGCGAGCGCGCTTCGCAACGCGCTCGCCGCCACCCGGCCTGCTTCTGCTAGGGTGACAGATGGCCTCACCTGTCACCCCCAGGCCTGCGCTTATGGAGGACGGAGGTCGTTCTGCGACCTCCGGCGCCTGAGTCGCCTGCGGTACCTGGCCCGTTCCCGGGCCTGGCGGGCCGGGAGAGTCCTAAACCTCTCCCGGTCCCGCTCCGCCGTCTCCTTCGCGAGCATAACTTGCTCGCAGAAGGAGACGGCAGAGTTCCACGCACTCTCGCTCCGCACGATAACCGCAATCCGGCTATCCGAGCGAGAGAACTCCCACTCCGATGGCCGCCACGAGGTCTCGCCTCTGCTCAACCCACGCCGGGCACTCTGCCAGCGTGTGGAGAGCCGTGTCCACGGTCTGGCCATCGCAGTGGTGGCACTCAGGCGTTGGCTCCTTGCGGATCAGACACAGGTGATCCCCGAAACATCCCTTCCCAGTGATCACCTGCGTCAATCGGTATGAGAGGGTCCCGTGACGCCTCTCGAGCCAATCCTCCATAACGGGTCTTACCGCCGCGATGACGGCGTGCCCGCGCAACAGTGCCCTAAAGCAAAGCTTACCAATAGAAAAGTAATGGTAATTGTTTGGTGGTCTCTCCATGGCGTTATTCACTATAGCTTTCCCAGGTTTGGTCAGGGAAAAACTGCGGATGTTTACTGTGCCGAACTTCAAACATGGTGAAATTGGTAGTGAAACAGCCCGACTCGAGAATCCATCTACGCCATTATTGCTCTATGATTACCCAAGACCTAACACTGTACGAGAAACCGTTATATCTATAAGTAAAAACGTTTTTAGTAAAAAAACCATACGTCATGCTCCGTACTCGCCCCAGAGTTTTATCGTAAAGGCGTAAATGAACTTCCGTTTAAATAGCAGCTTCTATAATATTTGAGTAATTTATTATTTTAATGACAATTTGGTAATAAAGAATAATAAAGCTATAGAATAATCAATTTCGTAAAAATATATTTTATATGAAAGCTTACAAATATCTCAATCAACAAAGAAAACGTACAAAAATTCATGAGAAGAAAAGCGGATGCCAGGAAAAAGCCATTACTGGTGATTCCATAAGTTATTTTAAATAATCCCTTAATGATTATACTAAAATACGTCAGTTAAAGTGTGAAACGTTCATCTTTTACACGATAACTTAGATTTTACCGAAATTCGTAACTTTAAGAGTAAGGTTATTCATACTGCAGTGTATTATAGTTTGACCCAAAAACAGGTTAAATTTGATTATATTGTATAACACTAAATATTCATGCTCTGCCAAGAGCGACACGACAGAGAAGAAACATTCATGTAGGTATATCAATTTCAAAACATGGTATATTCTTGAAACCAAAAGCACATTTTAAGCAATAGTAGGCAAATCTTATGTTTGAAATACATGAATATATTTTATGCATTCGTATTAATTAGTTTTTGGAAGTGAGTTTTTTTTCGTATCCACGATATGTTTATTACAAATAGAGATTTCTTCTCTTCCTTGTTGTAATAATTTTGAAATGGTTGAGTTACAAAGCACCGAAGGGGTAAATAAAGGTAAAATAAGTCAAATCTCTTGAAGTCAACCGGGGATTTAGTTATGAAAGATAAGAAACTTGAGAGAATATTCAAACAAAAACATAGTAAAAAATGTCGATGTAAGTTAGGTGCTATTGGTTTTCTTAAAGGGTGGGGAGAGTGTATAGGTAAACAATAACTCTAGCAGGCCAGGATCGCATAGCTGTAGATCTAACTGGCTCTCTAACTTTGAAATGAGAACAGAAATGATGAAATGAAAACCAATGAGAAATGAAATTATTCATTGAATCTAATATTAAGTATATAATTTTTAGTAAATTCAATCAATATAGTTCAGTTTGTCAACGATGATGCGCTCTATGATGTACTATAAAATTATTAAAGTTAAATCTACGCCGTAGACATACTCGAGAGCACAGAATTCACATAAAGATACCTAAAATATATCTGTAACAATAGCAATATTTCAGTTCCAAGTGTATGATATAATTAGTTATAATAAATATCATTTTTATTACCAATTAAAAGAACTTGCAATAGTTAATAAAATGTTTGTTTCCATAATAAGTGTAGGTGGCTTAAGAAAAGTATGCATTTACGAAATAATTATTTGCGAAAAAATCCTATTATAATGTCTTTATTGAATGTAAGTGCTGCTACTATTGTGACCGATATCAGAAATGCCTTGGGTTCGGATTTTAATATAAAAGTCGTGGTTAATGACCGGCAAGTATCAGTTCTCTTAGACGTTCTGTGACTACCACTAGCAGAGCTGCAACAAAGAGTACTACATAATGTTTCTGAGGGTACAACGAGATACAATATTTGTTTAATAGTTATTATTAGTATCGATTTCTCCAAAAGACTAGATTCATTTTCAAATTATATAATTTCAAAGGTTTTACTAATTAATCTTAAAATAGTAATCTAACATGCTATTTCAGGTATTATACGTGCTTGCACTAGGATGCCTAGTATCATCGAAACACGCGTTCTCATCACATCAAATTCATAGAGATGGGCACCATCGGCTTGTATATATACATGAACACAAAGCAGCAAATAAAGGTGTGCACCATGAGCAACCAAAACATTCTGAGCAACCCAAACATCATCAACAAAAAGAGGAATCGAATAGAATCGAAACACCATCAAAATAAAAAAGATCCTGCCCACTCCTCGCAGTACATTCACCGACATGATGGCCACGCTCAACCAACATATATTCACAAATATGAAAAACACCTTAAGAAAGAGGAGCACCATCGTAAAGAAGAAGAGCGGCATCATTACAAAGAACAAAAACCTGAGGGCGACCAACCAAAACATCATCATAAAAACAAGGAACCTGCTCAATCTTCGCAATACGTTCATCGACAAGATAATCACGCTCAGCCCGTCTATATACATAAGCACGAACATCATCATAACAAACAATAGCAAATGCAAATTCAAAACGAACAACTTAAACACGCCGCTGAAATGAAACATCAAAACGTTAACCACGAAAAAAAGAACACCATGTGGACCACTACGTTAGTAACAATTATTATTTTAAAATGTCTTACATATCTATAAACCATGTTAATATAATCAATGAAATAGTTTTCTAAAGATTGAGTCAGACAGTGGAAAGGTCGGAACAGCGACGTCGGGTGAGCGACTATAATGAAAGTTGATGGCGCCGGTGGTTCGGAATAGCTCCTATATATTAGAATTTACTCACACTGCATCTTGGTCTCGCCCAGCCTGCTACTTATCCAAGGCTTATAATTATTACTGTTTTTTTAATTCTTTCCTGAAAACACTAGTGTTAAAAATTAATTTACATTTTTATTACAGGCACAAGCCAAGTACGAGTTCGATTATAAAGTAGACGACCAACATACTGACGATCATAAGCAGCAACATGAGCACAATGATGGGCACGCCACCAAAAGTGACTACTCGCTATATGTTAAACATTGTGCCAGAGAAGCATAATCATGAGTCATCATCATCAACAGCCTTTAACAGTCCACTGCTGGACATAGGCCTCTCCTTAGAAAGGAGGTTTTGGCCTACTAATTAATCATGAGTAACACGAACCTAACCAACGCGGTTGATTTTGTTGATTAACTTGTTACTATTTTTTGTTAATCTTATGTTAGTGCGTTTACTAATTGTCTACTTGTTGTCTTTGTTAAGGAATAAATGTCATTAAAACAATGTCTTGGATCTCTTTCATTTATTAGAAAATATTTAAATTCATTAGAAAATATGTAATTTATTATACACTCTAAGACAATTAAATGTTTTAATTTTTCCTTGGTTTTCCTATGATTTAAAAGGCAGTCAAAAGTTGATAAATCATAACGTGTTAGCTATAAAGCTTACATTCTTGCTTGAGGTCTGATGTCTGAGGACCATCCCTGCTTTTTTGCTCCCTGCATCCCTGCTATTTACTTCGTTTAGATGACGGTGTCGATAGGAGACAAAATTGTAAAATTGCGAGTTTAAGAAAGTTTAAAACGTGTTGTAGTAAATATTCGCCACAAAACAATTGATCAGTCATTCTAACAGCTGCAAATACTTAATCTTTGTTTAAGTGTTTGTTACGCATTCATACCTTAATTGCTTAACATAGCACCATGCAATTTTATTCATTAGTTGTCATTGATACATAACAGGACTTATCTAAAGCTGCCACCATATATATTGACTATGTTGTCTGTGCTCCATGAAGCTGTATTTATTTTATTTAAAGTAAAGGCTGGCCAAGAGTTTAATGTGAATGTGTAAGATAACTAAATGGTTATCTTTTTTTTTATGTCTGTGTACACGAACGGGTAATTATAGTGAAGTAGTAATATTACGTGAAGTTTTTGGAGATCAATCAATCGGCATTGGCGTTACATCGCTTTTGCAAAGAAATCGCAATCGACTTTACGAGTCACAATTTCTAAATTTCTTATTCTGTCCACATTATTAGATCAGTTTACTTTAAGATCGTCCTTGTATTTTCAATTTGTTGTTGCTTGGAAATGTATATAAATTTATTCGGTCTTCTAAAGTGTAATAAAAAAACTCGTTTTTCATACTCAAAATTTAATTCCAATGGATTTATCCGATCTTCTGTTTTGATAAACCCTTTTTTTTAAAGTTGGACTTTGTTCAAACAATACTAATAAAGAGCACTAAAAATTAAAAATAATAATTACAAATCTAATTAAAAAAAATACAAAATAAGTGGGACCCTCAATATAACAGGTAACATTATAATAACAATAGGTACCTTGCAGTCCGTTTGAAGTCGGCGTATAGAAATGTCGTCGATGTCTTTGTAATAGTACGGTAAACGGTACATTTTAAATTTGCAAGGAAATGATATATATTTCGTTTGCCAGGAATGGCAATGCTGTTGATATCGCCATTAATGAGGCATTGTCCCTACATCGTCAATCTATTGACATTGTGACTGTATGTTAGTAGAATATCGATAGTTTGACCAATGTCAATGGCATCTCCATAACGTGTCAAAGGAATGACAGTGACTTGTACGTTAATATTAAATAGCAGAATTGAGACCCAGTACTACTGTAACTGTACTAACTAATGGCAAAATTAAATTAATTATATTTAACGACGGTTTATTCATCAAACCTACTTACTTTTGCAGAGTAAGTAGTTACTTCCTAGTTCGGTGTCTCCTTTTGTTAGTTTTAGGTTTTTATAAAAATATATTAAGGATGATTATGATGATATATCAGTTTTTGATAAATGTAGTGATATAAATTGTATAGTTGTAAATACTATTAGGTACTGATTCCCATATTGCAATGCTCATGTAAATTTAAATACTCATCAAGTTTAAATAGGCTAATCGGTAAAGCAAATTGTGTTATTGGAAGTACAGAATTATAATTCAATAGATATTAGGAGTAATATTTCTGTGAAGTATAATATTTAATTAGAGTATTATATAATAACCTCGACAAAAACTTGTCCTGGGGTCCGCAACTACAAGAAGTCAGTAGGAAACTGTTTGCTTCTGCTGGATCTCTGAGAAGGCTGCGTAACTTTTTACTAATTACGACCAAAATTGCGCTTTCAGAATCCCTTCTTCTCCCAATCCTTGACTACGCAGATACCAGCTATCCCGATCTCACCGAAGACTAACTTAATAAGGTTGAGCGGCTCCAAAACTTTTGCATAAGGTTCATCTTTGGATTGCGCAAATTTGACCATATTTCTGAATTTCGGAATAAGCTTAACTGATTACCCATTCGTCTTCGCCGGAATATTCATATCCTTTCACTATTATACAACATTCTCTTTAATCCCAACACTCCCCTTTATTTAAACGAACGCTTCAGATTGCTACGTGATACGCATTCAAAGACCTTAAGATCGTCAGAGAGCTTGACTTTGGAAATGCCGAAGCACACCTCGACTTTTATGGACAAGTCATTTAAAGTGCAGTCTATACGCTTGTGAAATGCATTGCCACTGCCCATCAGACGAGCACAAACACTGCCTTGTTTCAAAAGGTTGCTGAAGGAGCATTTCCGAAACTGCTAAGCGAGGGTCCCTTCACTCAGTCAGAAATCTTATATTTATCTGTCTCTTACTGCTATAGTCTCTGTTGAATTGTGATAGTACTACAATCACGTAATTATAAAACTTCACATAAATGTTATTTTAAATAAGTAATGTTAGAAAGTTATCTACACGTGCATTTAAGGTCCAGACGAACAAAAAGCAGACCCTAATAAATAAGTGAACTTTATAATCTCAAGTATTGCGAAGTGGATGACGGCCCATTATGAATAAAAGACTTATTATTGCGTTCTTAAGACGAATACCATAAAAAAGGGAATAGCCAAGGGTCCACGATAGCAATTAAAAACGGGCACATGTGCAAGACAGCACACGAATAAGTGTGAGTAAAGCTCTTAGTTAGGGGTCCTTTTGGGAACGATAAGGGATAAGGAACGGGGTAGTTGGTCTTGAGTAGTGAGACAAGTCGGTCGGTCTTAGGAGCTAGGAGGCAGAGGTTGTTCGTCAAAAAGCTGAACGTGCTCGGACGCGCGTATTGCAGTTAGTTTGAGTAAGTTAAATATATAGAACGTTGAGGACAGCTAGGTGAGTCTTTATTGGTTATTATGTTTATGATAATTATTATATTATACATATTTATATTCCGGTCTGAGTAACGTAGTATTAATTAATAATTTAGATGTAGTTTCCATGCAGTTTCTCTGCTAAATTTTACTTACGCATTTGGTATTGGTTAAGATATCTTGAATGTGATAGAATGATTAGTGACCCCTTTATAGTGCTCTACAGTGTGGTGAATCGAGGTATAACTGAGGCGATACGACCACCTTGGTTGATCAGATCAACCAGGCCGCGGTCCTTGCTACACGGTTATCCTTCGGTGACCTGTCATTGTGGTGTATTTAGGAGGAGGTTAGTGTAGGTTCAGTGAGTGCCGTGTACTTGAGTGGAGAGTGTCTTAATGGGCTTGTCCTGGGTGGTCGGTTTGCGGGAAAGCGCTGATGCTGTTGATGAATTGATGGAGATCGAGCGGTCCGAGTCCGCCGTCGGCGCACGCGTTGTGTCCGGTAGCATAAGGGTTAATGCCACATCAGACGAGCAGTATTCACGTGTCTGACCTTGCGGCCTTGAGCATTCAGTTGTAGAAGTTGATTGACTCACTTTAAGCTTAAGTGCACAATGGATGGAAGTCTAATAGGATAAGCACAACCAATACCAATGTATTTAATTATTTCATTTAGACTTTGATTCCCTCTTATCGCGGTCTTTTGTTGTTTATTCGAATGTTAAAAGCCACTGGGAAGATGTCCAGTCAGGGTCGAGTCTTACAGCCTGGCGCGGTTGGAGGAGCGTTAGACCTCCCCCACAGGGAGGGGAGCTGGCTATGTGTTTTATAGTTGAAAAACTGCTTTACTCAGGCTAGGGTATTTGAGGTACCATCACAGAATGTATATTTTGTGTAATTAATATATTGTGTAGTGATGTGTGTATGTGTTTAGTGTATATGTTTGAATTAGTTTGTATAATCTAATAGTCGTTAGTCTTAATTTCCAAAAAACTCCGATCTACAAACTGCAACCTCCTAGCTCACTCCTATTCTCCTTCTCCATCCAGCGGTTGCCTGGAAGAGATCGCGAAACGCGATAAGGCCGCCAATTGTACAAATTTTAATACTCTACTCTCCATGTTTCATTTATTAAACTTTAGATATAAGACACACCAATGTATACAAACTGATTTCCTCTTTTTTATTATGTTTTTTGTACAATAAAGAGTTATCTATCTAACTATCTAATAATACTCTCATATTCATTTTCAAGAAGTTTTTAATCCAATAACGTAACATGTTTCACAAAACAAAAATCAACAATCATAATAGAACGACAAATTTTGTAACATTTAGTCTATTGATGGTGATGATGTTTTGGTACTATGTGATGTGTGCTGTGCTTCACATCTGCGTGAAAACTGCGAAAAAATAAAATGTTATATAACACTTGTTTGCAATTTACACAACTAGTTTTACCATATTTATTACTCATTCTACATCTTTAGTATAAAAATTATATTAATATGTATTTAAATGTTAGCCACAGTTAACGGATAACTAGGTTCTTCTTCTCTGCGTGAAAATTGATACAACGCAATACAATTACAAAAAAGGTAGACATTATAACATGAATTTATAATAAATTCTTACCCAGAGTGTTTGTCAGCATGATAGTGTACGTGTCTCTCAGTACCATCAGGCTCATGCAGCGCGTAATAGCCCTTGACGGCGTCACCGTGGCGCTCCTCGTGCTGCGACTTGTGATCATGTGTATGAGGATCCTTCACTTCGTACTTAAAGTCATATTTGGGTGGCGTCTGTAGATACACAGTACTGTGTTAGTCATGTTACAAAGAGTGAGATACATACAGTCGACGTACGGGATGGTGATGTAGCTTACATAGTAGTCGTAGTGGTGATGTCCGTGGTGATCTTTGAAGGATACTTCTGTGTGGTGACCATCGTGTTTGTGGATGTGCTGCGATGAGTGAGCATGTTCTGCTGATACAACTGCTACAAGAGCCAGTACACATAAAACCTTAAAAAAAAGGGAATATTAATATTTTATGCTTTAAATAGTATTAAATAATAGTGTAGTACGGTTAAATCTGCTGGGGAGTTACATACCTTGAAAAACATTTTTAGTTTGCTGCTCTACAGATTCTACAAAGCTTCGGAATGGACTGATACTTATCTAAAACGATTGAGGTTTATATAGTAAAAATAAAATTATCAAGGTAAAACTAATTTCGCTTTTAAAGTGAAAATGGTTACGATCAATTTCATATGGACAGTTGTAATCATTTCGCAAAACGTACATGCAAGGAAGTCTGTACATAGTGGGATTTTGTGTGTTTATGAAGCTTATACGTAATTGCAATTGGATTACAAATATGAACCATAAGTGACACGCAACGCCTTTTATCGTATTATTCATTTAGACTATTGATTTTTATTACACTGTGACATACGAAAATCGTGATCCCGCCAGACTACCAATGAATCAGCAATTAAAGTAATTTGTATTAAATGATTACACTGTTCCATGCTTTCATGTTTCAAGTCTGCTCTAAGCCTGAAACAGTCCTTTAAGGCTTACATCACTCCATAAGATAGAGCATTTAAAGAATAATAGTTGTACAGAGTACGATTTACTTGTGTTCGTGGCGCACTGACACCAAAAAGAATACATTCCGGTATTACAACGTAAATTCAAGGTATAAAAAATTATTAAAAGATTTAAAAATTGTATCATCATATCTTAATTGTTAAAAATGTATGGGTAGTGTTCTATATTTTTACACTGTTGCGTAATGTTTGCCGAGATCTGCGCTTTTATATATCTTATGTTTTTAATATATGCAAAGGAAACGTTATTATATAATGAGCCTGTATCTTCCTAGATTTACATAGCTATCTATCTTTTAATACTTTTAAAACATTGTATGAACCATTGAGTTAAAACAACACTAGAGAAGCAAACCTCATTATCACACGTCGAAAAAAGTGTAACCCCTTTGGAACTTTGACGACGTAGCTTTGATACCACGAAACATTTGAAAGTAAACATATTTATGTCTCATTTACACGCGAGACAAGAACAACACCATCGCTCGGATTAGACAAAGACAAAGACATAACTTTACGATGGTGGGCCAGTGTTGACTACCGTATGAAATGTTACCCATAACAACCAAGAAACAATTTTTTTTTAAAACAATTTTGTAATAAAATAAATTAATTTAAATATTTTAAATAATATATTTCGAATTGAATGGAATAGGTATAAATAATAAAATAACTAGAAATATTTGGTTAAAAGGGTTTATATTCAGTGTAAAATCAAACTCCGCTATGAAGCATCAGTTCTGTATACAATTGTCTTTTAGACTCTTTTTTATAAGTTTGTGTGAATATTTTACTTTCATGATACAATCTTATTTTTACCTATGTATAAATAATGGCATTTAATAGTAAAAGTGAATGATCAACTTGTACTGATAATAAATAATCCCCAGGGTGCATTGCAAATTCTTTTAATATTTTAAAATACAAATAAAAAAAAATATAAAAAATATATTTTTTTTGTTTTTTAATTTTTTTTATTTATATTTATTGACTTTTTTATTTTATATATATATATTTTTGTACAATTGTTATTTATATTTGATAATTAATTAAGAAAAATGAATGAATGAATTAATTAATTCTTTTATACAAAAGTCTCTAACACTGCGAGCTTGGTAGAAGGTGAACGTTCAACGGGTCCCTAAAAAAAGTGATCGATTCAGCCCTAACAACTACCGTTCTTCCTATATTTTATTATTATTGACAAAATGTTTAAAAACAGTATAAAGCATATTATTTCATAAATTATAAATTCTCCCACTAATGTGGGAAAACAAAAATGATTTTTTAATGGTAACACTGATTCTTAATTACAATTATCTATGTTTTATTTCAATTATAGCCTTATTTACGATATTATCAATACAAAAACTATTATGGTTTTCGGATCGGATTCGTCGGAGTCGGATTTATTATGGTTTTGTGACCTGGAATCGCATTCTTTCACTACGCATTTACCCATTTTGGCGATTGTTACTGTCATGTGTCGCTATTGAACACTGAATTGACGTTTGCTACGCATATGCCTGTGGACAGATGTGCAGTAGCAACGATTTTAGGCGGTAATTACTCATCTATGTAAGTAATATATCAATGGTATGAACTCTAAAAGTAAATTTACACACAAACACTCTTGTCTTTATTCCATAACGGGTAGACATAGGCGAATTAAACGTCATTATTCTGACGACTATAACTTTAATCCAACTTACATAATATGGGGCAAGGCTATTGCCGTAAACCAGACACATTGTAATACTAAATAAATATACTTTTCTATTTCTAAATATGTACAAATTTTACGTACCGACATCGATTATTTCGAATTAGAAAATGTTACTTATGCAGTGTACTTGTAATTCTGAAAACAAGAAATGAAAGGAATCATTCTAGTGCATAGCTTTAATCAAAACGAATTTATAACGGCTTTGTCTTGACTTATTTTTTGATAGATTTGGTGGGTAAAATGTTACCGTTGGTGAAATTACCCATGGAAAACATGGAAGAAAGTGATTACTACTAAGGTAATATTAAACTATACAGATATTTACCGTTGTTTTAATTTACCAAGATTCAGTTCGTTAACAGAATTATTTTTTAGCTAAACACAAAAGGAAAGTGAATATGGCTATAATCATAAAAATATGAATGAATGCCCTTGATGTGACCTATATTCAAACAATTAGTCCTGTTTTCATTGACAGTCCATTAAAATAAAAAGCATTAAAACCTTACACCTACAAAAAAGTACTCTGCTAAAAATGATAGATACTTATCTATTTATTTTTTAATTATGTGCATGTTATAGGCTTAATTGTACCAATTCACAAAGCTGGCAATAAAGGCAATGTCAAAAATTACAGGCCTATGACAATATTGTCTGTTTTCACCAAGTTAATGGAATCTTTGTTATGTCCCTACGTATCATGGCATATTAAAAGTGTTCTCGCAGACTCTCAACATGGATTCGTCTCTGCTGACATGCACCAATCTTGTAGATTTCTTTGATGATATATCCCGTTCTTTGGGTAGTCACACTCCAGTGGATGTTATTTATACAGACCTTTCGAAAGCTTCAGATAAAGTGCCTCATAGTATCTTTTTACAAAAATTATCGCAGTTCGGTTTTGCTGGTGCCTTCTATAGATGGAGCTCGTCATACTTGCGCGACCGATCATCAAAAGTAGTAGTCAGTGGATACGAATCGGACCTGTTTCTTAACTAATCTGGTTTTCCTCAAGGTTCCCATTTAGGACCGATATTATTCAGTATATTCATGAACGAAATCATTTCATGCCTCAAAAACAGCAAAGCATACCTCGCATATGTATATACGCGGACGATTTTAAGTTAATGAGACCAATCTTGAAGAAATAGCGTTACTGCAATATAATCTAAACAGATTGGTTTGCTGGTGCAACGACAACAAAATGTTGACAAATGCTGTTATCTTCGCTTTACTCGTAACCGTAATAGTAAATTGTTTGGGGTTTATATAATATCTGACCAACATATTCAAGAAGTCGAATGTTTTCGGGACCTTGGTGTTATTCTTGATAAACAACTAAATTTTATTGAACATTTTGATCACATAGTCTCTAAATCAATCAAAATTCTCGGTTTTATAATAAGGAACAATAAGAACTTCAAAAATAAAGCTACTATAAAAGATTATACGAAAGTCTGGTTCGGTCTCTTATGGAATACTGCTCTGTAGTATGGCATCCGCATTATGAAGTTCGTTCCAATAAAATTGAACGTAGAACGTAGAACGTAGAATTATGTACCACTTGGCATATAAATTTAACTTGTCAAAGAAGCTAACTATTTAGTTACACAAACCTACTAACTAATTTCAACATAACATCATTAAAAAGGATTTTAGATCGATCTTTTTTAGATAAGTTAGTCAACGGTAATATCAATTGTCCTAATCTGCTACAAAAACTTAACATCACTACCACCCATAAACTTCCACGACTATTTAGATACTGCTTGTTCACACCTAAGCTATCCAAAACTAATGGCTATTTCTCTCCTTTAAATAGGCGGACCAGGCGGAATGTAATTCTATTAGTAAAAATAAAGATATCTATATGTTTAGATGAAGTTTTCCTTCTTTTAAAAATAAACTATTATTGTTGGGCTGAGTTATGCGTATGAGGATATTTGTTTATTTTATATTGTAGATTTTTAAGTAGTTATTATGTAAGAAAATGTCTGCTTAAGTTTTTTCTTTAAGTAAAGGAAAGCGTAAGCTCCCAACTCTCTTTTATTATTATGCTTTCCGTGACAACCTGTAATTAAGGCAGTACTAATGCTTGTATTATATATAACCGCCATCGTATTTCTTGATTTTAAGGTTAAAACATAAAATAAAATGTTTGTATATGTGTTGCAGAAACTGGACCCAAGACTCTTTCGAATTGTGCGTAATTAGTGCCATATTATTTTAAAATAAATATAATGCAACATTTAAGCAGTCTTTAGCAAAAGCTTAAAATACACTGCCACTTCGATATGACCTTACATAAGACAGACAGATGGTCCAAATTAATTATTGGATGTTTTTTTTTCAAAAAAAGCTGTATATTATATATTTCACAAGTAACAAATTTAAATTTCAAGTATCTCTTGATATTCAACACGGTTAGTTTTATTTGTTTTGAAAAGAAGATGCAATATACCAAATAACTCTGTAATAGAGTACTTTGAATATTCCGTTTTATATTCATTAGAGTTGAGGAGCAACGAACTACTTCAGAAGACTCCCAGACACCTTTGGGACACGCTCTGACAAAAATTTGAAGATGCAAAGTGTTAGTAGTTCCGTGCGAGAGCGGAAAAAGGAATGGAACTTTTGCTCATATTCACAGCTGTCACCATTGCAAAGTTGCCTAGACGTCGCCAGCAGTAGTTTAAATTATCAGCGTATATTGGAATAGAACTATAATACACTTATAATATTTATTTGTAACACAGGTAAGTATATTTTTGGATTTTAAAGTGCTATTTATTCTATTAGTAGTAGTAGGCCAAAACCTCCTTTCTAAGGAGAGGCCTATGTCCAGCAGTGGACTAGTATAGGCTGTTGATGATGTGATGATTTATTCTATTTCTGTTCTTTCGTAAACGGCAATCATCGAACATTTTGCTAGTTTTAGAGATCGTTAAGTGAGTGGTTGGTAAGTAATTTAAAACTGTAGTCCCCAAGCGTGGGAACTCTAGATTGAACACCCACATTAATATTTCACATGCACACAGACGCATCGCGAACTATTAGTAAAACTAATCAATATACTTTCAGTATTTCGTATAAGGTAATATTCATCACCACTTCGTCTTTGTAGATTGTTCATGAATGTCACAAAAAAAACGCAATGTATCGTGAAGCTCGCGGGCCCAAAGTGACTAGTCGGCGACAAAGGATGTGGTCCAAGTGTATGCTTTGTGGGTATTATATTGAAAGTATTCGTTTTATGGAGAAATCTGGTGACATGGGAAATGAAGGTTGCATAGATTTTATTTCATGTTTTATTTATTTATTAAAAAAAGGGTAAATACGGATTGAAAAAAAAACACAGCGATTTAGTCAAAGAATCTTTAATTCTTAAATTTTTTTTGAAATCATCTCTACGTAGACTCTAAAGTCATAGATCAAAACACATAATAACAGAAATGTGGTTTTGTTTATATTTAGCGAAACAAATATTTACCTATGGCAAACCCGTTTCCAAGGGGTAGAGCCTTAGCTCAGACTGTAAATATGTACACTAATGTACATATTTAAAGTTGGAGCGATGAGTCTTTAAGAACCATAAATTAAAGTAAGTATTTATTCATTTTTATTTTTTTTATAATAGAAATAATACTGTAATATGAAAATATATATTAACTAAACGAAAGTAAAGTAGAATAAGTTAAAATAATGTGATAGCGAAGTAACGCTGTTCTTAATATCCCGAACGAAATCTGTGTCGATCTCGATATGAATCTAAATATTGCTCTGTAACGATTAGTTACCGGTAAGCTGCGTAGTATTGGCCACAATCGAGGAGTCCGTCAAGTTATGCCATAATTTGATTAAAGTACCTGGAGAGTACTGTTTCTGTTTATTTTACTATCCAGTCCAACCATCATCTTATTTTAAGCAGTTACAGTTTATGTCCATAATAGGCTTGTGTCCACCCATAACAAATTGCTTAGTTTATAGTTTCAAATTATAAATGAAGAGACATAGATAAGAAATAACTGACTAGACTGGTTTTTTCTTATCTATGTCTCATAGATAAGAAAAAAACAGTCTATTTCACTTAAAAGTTAAAGATTATTAATATTTAAAAAAAAAACTATCAAAATAGGCATTAAGTGACGTGACAGCGAACACCAATCAGAAAGTGTTACCTGAAGCCACGCAAAACATCATTGTTGCTGTTGACGTTTTCATACAACAGAGCAGGTTACTCCTTATTGTTTTTCGTTTTTAGCATATTTTCTCACCTTAATACAGTTTCAGTTGACTCTGGACACAGATGTAAACAGTTTGTTTCGTAGATTGTGACGTCATTCAAGACGCCATGACACTATTCAGCGTTTTCAACGTCGGAAGAATGCGAGAAGCTTATCATAAGGAATTAGGGATGGTTCAATGAAACGTTTTAATCATGAAAATATTTTTATTAGTACTAAAATAACAAGTAACATCACAGTACGCCATAATAATCAGTTTAATGATGATGATGGTGTTTTGGTACGATGTGGTGCGTGCTGTGTTTCACGTCAGCGTGGAAACTGTAAAGAGTATGAGAATAATGATTAATATTATAAAGTATTTACAAACTGATTACTGGTTGTAAAAGTCGAATACATACCCGGTGTGTTTATCAGAATGGTAATGTACGTGTCTCTCAGTACCATCAGGATCATGCAGAGAGTAGTGTCCCTTCACGGCGTCCTCGTGACGCTCCTCATGCTGAGTCTTGTGGTCGTGTGTGTGAGGATCTTTTACCTCGTACTTGAACTCATATTTAGGAGGAGTCTGCGGAAACATATGTTAAGTATATAGTAATTAAACTTAATCAAATGTGTAGTACTAATCCTAGCGGACTTCAATACTTACATAGTAGTCGTAGTGATGATGACCGTGATGGTCTTTAACAGTTACTTCTGTGTGATGTCCGTCATGTTTATGGATATATTGTGCTGAGTGAGCATGTTCTGCTGAGACAATAGCTATCGCTACAGTTAGCACACACAATACCTGAAACATAAAATGGTTGATGTAGAAGAATCAGATCACAGAAATGTTATATTCATACTTGTAGGTAGGTAGGTAAATAGAGTACTATTTAAATATATAGACGGGCAGTAAAGGACGAGCAGACAAGTGATGGTGACTACCGCTGCCCGTGGTACACCTGCAGCTCAAAGTCACAAGCATGTTGCCGACCTCTAAGTTCTGTGATCAGTCACTTGTGATATTTCTAATACTTTATTAACAAAATATGCCAAACTTTCAAATTTGTTCGTCAGTTTGTGTGTTATCAATAAAATTATCTAATATCTAGTAAATATATTAGTAAATTTTTATACCAACTTTTTTTTTTACGGTGAAGTAATAGAATAATATTTTACCTTATTGATCATCATAGATTTTTGTTACAATGCAAATGTTACCAAGATTAATAGCTAACTGATACATGTAAAAAAAAATCGGGGCTTTTATAATGAAAAGTATAAGATCAAGGCGATACTGATTTCGTTGGTTAGTAGTAAAAATTACTTTTACAATACATGTATTTGTAATAATATCGTAAAATTTCATTCTCGTGAGAACATTACATTACCCTCTGTAATTTGTGTTCGAGATTACATAAGTTTGAGTAGTACTCGTAGCACGCATAGTGGGCACAATTGATACTTGACTAGGTTGTTCGGTCGTGTATGCTGTAATAAGTTGTAATAGGTACTGGTAGCCTAGTCAGATATATAAAAAAAAATTGACAGCTCACCTCACCATCCGATGCACAAACAAACGTTTTTGTACTCATGTTTTTATTAAGTGTTCTTGTAATTAAGTTTAAAAATACCCTCTCTTAGTGATTTTTGAAGTCGATTTAACTATTTTTTAAAAAGAGTTCATTTGGTTTTCAAACAAATGTTAAATTTAGTATACTGGTTAACTTTTTAATATAATTTTGAAAATAGAACAATGAATTTGAATATGAACTTAAATATATTGAAATAAAAATCCATATTTATTTTACATTTTACAAATTTATTTCATATAAATAAATTAAAAATAATCAATTACAAACAGTTCTAAATCGATAACAATAAGGTGTAGAGGTAGCATCAACTTTAGTGATGATGGTGATGATGTTCGGGAACTACGTGTTTAGCATGACCTTTGTATTCTACGTCGGCGTGGAACCTGATAACAAAAAAGGATAAATGTTATTAAAAAAATAGTGTTACCTGATATAAAAACTTTTCAGTTAAGATACTTACCCGCTCTTTTTGTCAGCATGATATTTCACAATCCTGACAGTACCGTCGGGCTGGTCCAGACCGTACTCGCCCTTAACGACGTCACCGTCGCGGTGTTCGTGCTGGTACTTGTGGTCGTGAGTATGAGGGTCTTTCACTTCGTAAGCAAACTCATATTTGGGGTGGCCCTGTAATAGTGTCAAAATACAGTTAATCGACTATTTGAAGAAATGACTCAAACACGCTAACATACAACAGAACAATCATAAGTCTCATACATAGTATTCCACGTGTTTAGTCACATGTCCGTCGTGATGTTGATTTAGGCTTTGAGATGAGAAGGCATGACCGTGATGTTCGTGATGGCCATGGTGTTCTTCGTGATGACCATGATGTTCTTCGTGATGACCATGGTGTTCCTCATGATGACCATAATGTTCCTCACGGTGCTCATGGTGTTGTTGCTCATGGTGTTCATGTTTGTGTTCCTCGTGATGGACTGGAGCGTGCTTGTTTTCATGGGCTTGATGTAGAACAATACTCTGCGACGAATAAGCGTGACCGTGATCATGGCCGTGGTGGTGATGATTTTGGCCAGCGACTGCTGCAGCTGCCACAGTGAAAAGGAAGACCTGTTTGACAATAAAAAATATTCAAACTCATAATTTACAAATTAATGTGGATAGTAAGTTAAGTATTTATTAATTATTATGTTATATTATTTATACCTTAGTCAACATGATTACTTTTTTCACTACACTACACTACTTGATTCACTTGAATGTGTAAATGTTGACTGATACTGAAATAAGATTTTTTGGCTTTATATACATACAGAACAGAACTTGTTCACGTATATGAATGCATGTTTTGATGAAAGAGTGGTTTTAAGCCAGTTTTTATTATTTGTTGGACAAGCTTTTGAAAGCACTTTTATTGAAGTTGACATTAACTGGATCACACTGAAATATACATTGGACTTTTTTATCTTATGGTTCTGTACAAATCATATCAATGATCTCTTGAAGGCCAACCAGGTTTTTGAATGGGTTAGAGTAAAAGTCCTGCGATCAAGTGGTTCGGGATACTACTAACCTGATACTAGTAATATCAATAGCCTTTACCTTAGAATACCACGAATACTACTGTCCGATTTTTTAGACCGTCATTCGCTTTTTTTTATATAACTAAACAGCGCTAAATGCTAAAGAAGGGAAAACCGGATTTGAACATCAAAAATTTAAACAATTTTTCGAGTGATTAGAAGTCTGGAGGCCTTACACAGGCCGACCATTGTTTTCCCCTAAAACAAGAGTATACTTCTTAGTAGGAATTTGGTATAATAATAATACTGCCGACCCCGAGTTCAGCTAAGCAAACCTTTAACTGAACTACAAGCCTTTAAACTAAGCAAACCCTTTTCACTACTATCTCAGCGAAAAAAAAAAGATGTTTGAGCAAACTCAACGTCATTTGAAAGCTGAAGACTTGAACTTTCACCAATCATATTATCCTATATAAATTAAGAAAAGTTCAATGTAAAAACTTGCTTTTAACTTACGACGTAAGAAATTTAACTTATATTAAGTTAAATTTACTTAAACATTTCCAACAAGTTGTATTGGTATAGTATATAAACGGTTGGGTTTTATTATGAAATCAGTAAATGCTCGATAACAACTAACGATAACAACTAACGAACTCAATGAATCCATACATATAAAATTACTTACCCTGACTGATTACAACCACTGGTGCTACAAACTTAAAAAAATTGCAGCTGTTGCTTTTTATGTTGTAAGCGCCCACTAAGATAGGGTTTTTTGGAAATCTCGCCCCCAATGGGGTTAAATAGGGAATGAATGGTAGTATAAAGCTCGTCAGTTTTGAAGTTAGAAACACGAAGTAAGAAAAGATCAGGCGAGTGAAGCCGCAGGTAATAACTGTTCAATGTTCATACAAGTACAACACAAACAGTACCACGGTCATACTTTTTGACAATAATAATAATAATGTAATATAATATTCTACCACATACACACAACGCCATCTAGTCCCAAACTGAGCAGAGCTTGTGCTATGGGTACTCGACAACTGATTTAAATACATATATACTTTTTTTTTTGTAATTACATACATATAGACCAAATCAAACATCAAATGTTCAGGCACACAAATGTTTGACTTGAGCGGGAATCGAACCCGCGACCTTTCGAATAGCAGTACGTTACACAAACCACTACGCCATCTGGTCGTCAACAACACATGAAGTAATTTTGTATCAAATTTATAGAGTATCATGGTTAGCCTGTGAGGGAGCCATACAGGGGCACATGGGCCAGCTCCACGGGAGTGACACCCTTTTTTTTTTCCGTGCGGAAAGTTTTTAGTGATGAAAAGAGAAAATAACTTATATTTTTGAAAAATAAATGGATGAGAATTAAGCCAAGTTACGTTACAGTAAAGTGAGCACGTTTAGTTGAAATTTCATTCCTCGTCATTTTAAAATCATAATTAGTCCAACTTAGCTACAAACAAATATTTCCATGGGAAGTCATTTAGTATTTTGAAGACGAAAGAAGAAAACTTGGATTCGCTAAAGTCTTCAAATTAGACTTGCAACGAATATTCGGTTACTATTCGGTATTCGGCCTATTCGGCTGCTTTTATTATATTCGGCCGAATACCGAATATCTACATATTATTCGGCCGAATACCGAATACTTAAATAATATATTTTGTCATTGAGAAATAATTGGTAAAATGAAAAATTAAAATCGATTGATTACGTATATATTCATATTTTCATTTCTGTTATAATCATTTAAGTAGTCATTGGTGCATAACAGAGGTACATAATCATCTTCTGAATAGGAAAAATGGAGGATTCTATGTATTTGAATTATTGTGGTAATCAAAATTTAGAAGGGTAAGGTTCTCATTTCTTTTATAATCATTTATTAAGTAGTCATTGGTACATAAAACAGGTACATAATTTAATTCACGTCTGTACAAATTCAGCCGAATACTTTTGCCTAATATTCGGCTATTCGGTAAGGGGCCTCGCCGAATATTCGGTATTCGGTATACTGCCGAATATACTATTCGTTGTAAGTCTACTTCAAATAACATCATTATTACAAAATATGTTTATGAATTACATTATGGAGTGTGATAATTAATAATTAAAAAATGTATTTAAGTGGGGAGACTTTTTTCACTCACAAGTATACAAACACAAAATTTGTATGTGTAACACAAACGAGCCAATCCAGGTTTATATAAAAAATACATTCGAATACAATCACGGCATTAAAAGGCGCGTCTTGATAATTTTAGCCACTTCGTTTTACAAAATCATTACAGTAAATAGATAGCGTATACTGGCGCCAAAAATAATTATACTGAAATAAAAGTTTTAAAGAAATAGACATGAAGAGTATTATTCTGAAAGTTTTTAGTTATTATCATAGTCTTTTAAATTAAACTAGATCAGATGTGAAATAAAATAGTACAAATGTTAAGATACTTTATTAACTCTAAGTAACAAACAAAATTTCAGTGTGTTCTTCAATAATGATAATGTTTTTTTTGATAAAATGTGGTGGATGTTATTTTCACGTCAGCGTGGAAACTGTAAAGAAATGCATGACCATGAGAACAATCACTGCTAAATATTTCAAACCGAATAGTCGTTGCAAAAAAACAAATACATACATGGTGTGTTTATCAGAATGATAATGTACATACATACAGTATTGTCCCTTCGCGGCGTCCTCGTGATGCTCCTCATGCTGAGATCGTGTGTGTAATGATCTTTTATCTCGTATTTGAATTCGTATTTAAGAGAAGTCTGTGAAAGCACACAAAACATCAGACCTAGAAAAATGTGGGGTAATAATTCTACCAAGTTTTAAACTAACGTAATAATCGTAATGGTGATGCCCGTGGTGGTCTTTGGCAGTTATTTCGGTGTGACGTCCGTCGTGTTTGCATGTTCTGCTGAGACCATAGTTGCGGCTACAGTTAGCAATAAAACCACTCACACCACATTTTTAGTATGGTATCTAAAGATGAAACAAAATTTCTTAAGATAAAAGGAAATCGGTTTTGTGTTTTCCTCCTGAAATCATGACGAAATATTTTACCTTTTTGATCATCATTGAGTTTGCAATGCAAATATTGTGTACAGGGTACTACTTGACTGAGCTGTTTCTAAAAAAGTCGAGTCTTTAATAGTTAAAATTAAAAAAAAAACAAGGTAACACTGATTTCACTAGTTCAGAACTTTCATAATACCATACATTTGTAAAAATTTCGTAAAACCTCATTCTCGCGAGAACATTACATTAATTGTTTAAATGACGACAAAATTAATTTTACTGTTATGCAAAAAAACACAGTTAACCATTTTACAAAAAAAAGCATTGTCGTAACAAGTATATGTAATTTCAGGGACCAAAGGGGCTCGTGTCCGACATGCCACCGACAGGTGGTATCCGAGGGGATTTCCGCACGGAAAAAAAAAAAAAAAAAAAAAAGGGACCAAAGGGGCAATTATTTATCAACAGTGATGAAGAGAAATCGTTTCTATTTAATTCTTAAATTAATATCGAATGACTTCTCTATTGGTTTGTAACAAAATTTATTACGTAAATATCTATATATAAATTACGTAAATAAAACTGAATATAGCGCCAGCAAGCAAGTAGTAATTATTAGTAGATTATTAAAAATAAAGATGTGCAAAGGTATGAGAATAATCTAAAAATTCCAAAATAACCTAAACACACATACTACAACAGCTAATAGACCTTATATATCACTTTATTAGGATATTGAAGGCAAATGACCAGACAGATCATCTGATTGAAAAGGATTACCGCTGCCCATCGACACTTGTAACTTACAAAGAGCAAGTATTTGAATACGCTCTTTTCTTGATGGAAAGGAAGTCGTATCGGTTCGGCAACACCGGTCTACAAAATGTTTACAGACATTGTTCTGTAAGTATAAAGGTTCGTTCTGTAGTACTTTAAAAGTTATTACATTATAATTAATACTAAAGATTTTGGACATCTGACACAAAATGCCATCTAGTTTCAAACTAAGCAGAGGTCGTACTGTAAAAGCCAAATTGACTGATAGAATACTTTTATACTTTTTTTTTGTAAATACTACATATTATACATAGAAAACACCCAAAATCCGAAATTAATATTTGCAGATCATACAAACATTTGATCCGACCCGGGGATCGAACCCGAGACCTCAGCACAGCAGTCTCGTACGCTACCACTGTACCACTGAGATAGTCAATTTAATTATTGTATTTACAGTTCTTATACTTAAAAAAAATGAAAGCTACATATATATACTTTAAATTAAAAGCGTATGTGTTTGCTAGAAGTCATGCGTCATGCGGAGGGATGAGGAAAATGTGGCGAAGAAAGTTTTAGGTATGAGAGTTGAAGGGTACAAGAGAAGAGGCAGATCGAAGAAGAGGTGGATGGACTGCGTCAGGGAGGATATGGCTAGGAAGGGAGTAAACAGTGAGATGACGCATGACAGAGTAGAATGGAAAAATCATACATACTGCGCCGACCCCAAATAATATTGGGAAAAGGGTAGGCAGATGATGTGTTTGCTAGAAGTAACACAGAATATTGATAAATCAGTCCGTGAGGTATTAAGTAACTTACAAAATTAAGGAAATTTAGCTTTTTACAGTTCTTTTAATTGAATTCAAATTTACCAAACCATTTATATAAGCCGACAGAAAAAGTGACATTTTATTTTGTATTTACCGTAAAACTAGCTTCGTTATCGCATATTTATTTTAGAATATTATGAAGTTTGTGAATCTAGGAAACCTGATTTTGATTCTCTTGTTCATAGGTTTAACTGTTTAAATGATTATTGAAATACAATAAATAAATACTTGTTTATGCAATGGTTAACAGGTGGCTGAAAATAAATAGTAAAAAAAAAACTTTCTATTGGCATAGAGAAAATAGTTTGCGCACAGGACTTGATGCTCAAAAATGCTTGTTGAAATAAAACTTCGTAGAATTTGTTCTTTTACAGTCAATGTGTATATTTCATGCGAATAAATTAAAGATAATCAAACAAAAACAGTTCCAAATGGATAACAATTAAGTGTAGAGGTAACTTCTAGTTCAGTGATGATGGTGATGATGTTCAGGAACGATATGTTTAGCATGACCTTTGTATTCTACGTCGGCGTGGAACCTGATAACAAAGAAAGGTAAATGTTAGTTAAAACATAATGGTACCTATTATAAAATCTTTGCAGGTTAGATACTTACCCGCTCTTTTTGTCAGCATGATATTTCACAATCCTAACAGTACCATCGGGCTGATCCAGACCGTACTCGCCCTTAACAACATCACCGTCGCGATGCTCGTGCTGGTACTTGTGGTCGTGAGTATGGGGGTCCTTTACTTCGTATGCGAACTCATATTTAGGGTGGCCCTGTAGAATAGTCAAAAGGCATGTTAAATTTATTAATCGATGAAAAACCAATAAAATACAGAAACAACAATACAGTAAAACATTAAATTTCATACATAATATTCCACGTGTTTAGTCACATGTCCATCGTGATGTTGATGGAGGCTTTGAGATGAGAAGGCGTGACCGTGATGTTCGTGGTGACCATGGTGTTCCTCATGGTGACCGTGGTGTTCCTGATGACCATGATGTTCCTCATGGTGCCCATGGTGTTGTTGCTCGTGGTGTTCATTTGTATGTTCTTCGTGATGGACTGGAGCGTGCTTATTTTCATGTGTTTGATGAAGAACAATGCTCTGAGACGAATAAGCATGACCTTGATCATGACCGTGGTGGAGATGGTTTTGCGCAGCAACTGCTGCAACCGCTACGGCAACGAGGAAGATCTGTTTGACAATAGAAAAACGTAAAACCTATTACATTTGTATAATGTAATATATATATATTATGTTAACGATGAAATATTTATAGGAAAAAAACATACCTTAGTCAACATGGCTACCTAATTTATTAATATTTAATCATTCAATATTATTCAATTGAATGTTTCAATGTTGACTGATGTTAAAATAGGATTTTTTTGGCTTTATATACATACACAGAAAAACTTGTTTGAGTTTAAGGGTACGTAGCTGAATGCATGTTTTGGTGATAAAGCAACTTGAAACCAGTATTTCTTTTTTGTAGGACAACTTTTCAAACTAATGAAATCGATCTTAACTGGGTCATACTCAAAAAAAAATGTTAATTTTATATCTCATTTCTTAATTCTGATTTATAATCACTTAAAAGTTGATCAGAAAGAAGGATAGAGGGTCAATAAAGAAGGCTGTATATTGCTTCAACAGCAGTTGTATTTCTATTTAAAAATAATATGTGGTAGTCTAATCGTATTACAGACTTGGAATGTAGTTTTAGAATATCAAATTGACTTCCTAGGCGCTATTGATCTGAAAACTAGGCGCATCTAGTAACCTGCCTACAATTATGTGAGTTACTACAGAAAGTTACAAGTACTGCCTTAAATTTATTAATTTTCTATACTGTCATTGATTAGATTTGTTAAAACAAGCCAAACCAAAAGCTAAATACTCATGTTTTTGTATTTCATTTTGATAACATGTTAATTTTAAGGAACACGTTTTTTAAAACAAAACAACAAATAATGCCCGTAAAAAGTTTTTAATGAAATTGGAATGTAATGTGACTTAAGTACATATTTTTAGCGTTACTTCAAAAAATTGTAAAAGTGAAATTTGACGATAGTTAACGCTTTAATTGTATCTATTTAAATATATTCACTGACTTACTGGCAAGAAAGGAAGTGAAACTATTTAAAAATAAGGGCCTAAAATAGTAAAAATAAGATAGAGGTGGTAGACAAAACATTGTCCAGAAATGCTATGTATCAGCGGCATGTATGTATGTGGATGTGGTAATAATAAAAATTATTGTTACATCTTTAGAAATATTTTTAATAACTGAGAGTAACAAGAAAAACAGTAGTATAATATGTCTGTACAAATATGAGTTTAATGATAATGATGGTGTTTTGGTATGATGTACTGAGTGCTGTGTTTCACGTCAGCGTGGAAACTGTAAGGGAAATATAAAAAGATGATAACAAACTATTTGTAAACTGATTACGCGTTGTAGAAGTCGAATACATACAGTATTATACATACAGTGTGCTTATCAGAATGGTAATGTACCTACGTGTCTCTCAGTGCCATCACGATCATGCAGAGAGTAGTGTCCCTTCACGGCGTCCTTGTGACGCTCCTCATGCTGAGTCTTGTGGTCGTGTGTGTTAGGAGTTCAACTAGGAGGCTAGTTGAACTCATATTTAAGAGGCGTCTGTGGAAGCATATATTATAATTAGACCTAACCAAATGTAGAGATGTCGATTATGTTGGTAGATGTATTGTGCTGAGTAAGCATATTCTGCTGAGAATATACCTGCCGCCACAGTTAACACATACAATACCTAAAACATAGACTGTTATGATCAGGATCTTATAGATAAAACACAGTGATTTTTTGATCCTTGAAATTTTATAATTGGTTGCTCTTAGCAACAAGGAAGCCCTTATTGCATTACATATTAGTCATTTTTATGTACCATACTACAACGTAAAACGTTGTACCAATAAAGAGTTTTCTATATATCTAATCTATCTATCTATCTATAACTGTTCTTTTTAAACAAATTTCCTTAAGGCAATATTTTACCTTAATGATCATGATTTAATATAAATTTGGTACCAAAGCAAATTCTTATAGTATTTTTAAATAACTAATACATATTTATGATTCATGCAAAGATTGTTGGACTCGTACAATACGTGCTTGTACATTTGTAATAATTTTGTAAAACAATCTCGTCACCACAATACATTAATTATTTGATGACGGTAAAAACAAATTATGTCAGTGCCAAAATGCGTTTGGGTTTTTTTTTTGGTTTAAAGGTATTTTTAAAAAGTGCGTTGAAAGATCAAGCCTATTAAATTGAGATATTCATCTATCCGCATGTTTTCAAATGTCCATCATGTAAATATTTTGTACTTCTCTACAAGTTGCAGCTTACCATATTAATTAACAAATGGAATTTGAAATTATTCATATCTTGATTTTTTTTGCCCTGCTTATTCCTGGCCATTTTAAACTACTTCAAATGAACTTACTGAAATACACAAATCATATACAAACGCAAGGCAAGACAATTTGAAACATTAGGAACAATAAATTTTACAGATAAAATATGTTATTGCAGATAAATTATGTGATGCTTGCAGTAACTTAGTATTAATTTAAAACCTAGAAGATATGAGTGATACTTAAAACTATGATGTTTAAAAAACATGTAGGTATTTATATGCTAATGAAATGAAAAGATTATTAATAAAGTTACATAAACTAGCGCTAACGTGAACTGAACACAACATACTCGTATATGTCATTGTGTCAGTGTTTTTATAACAAAATTAAGGATCTTTGATTTGCCATAGTTCTCAAAGTACAAATTGTAATTGAATAAAACTTGGAAATATGTCTAATTACATCACTGAAAATTTAAATTACTTCATTGAAAATTCAAATTTTGAAGCTTCATCCACAAGTAAGGTACTGAGTATTGAAAATATTCTGAAATGTCATCATCATCAACAGCCTTTAATAGTCCACTACTGGACATAGGCCTCTCTTTGGAAAGGAGGTTTTGGCCTACTATACCACGCTGGCCAGACAGGTTGATATTTGGTGTGTGTAAAGTTTTTCTTCTTTTTGCAGTGCTGTTGTCCTGCGTTGTTTTGTGCCCTTAGTCGGCTCTTACGACACCCACGGGATGAATAGGGGTAGTAACATTCCGTATTCTTAATCCGTCACTGCACGGAAAATGTCATGGTATCGGACAAACAATGATTACAGCAAAGTTCCTATTAACCGATTGTACCATCAGAAGTATATTTGTGATTTTTCATGCTATTTATAAACAATTAAGAACACATTTTACACTGGTTACCATTTATAATAGCTGATTCCTTGTTAGCACCAAAAAAGGGACTCACAATGTGCTCTTTTTTATTTTTAATGTATTGGAATAGAATAAAAAAACGTTGTAATGTTATGTAAATATATTTCTAAAAAAAATAATTAAATAAACAAACACAAACGGTTCTAAATCGATAACAATGAGGTGTAGAGGTAGCTTCGAATTCAGTGATGGTGGTGATGATGTTCGGGAACTACGTGCTTAGCATGACCTTTGTATTCTACGTCGGCGTGGAATCTGATAACAAAGAAGGTAATTAATATGTATGTTATAATTTATAAGTATAGGGGCCTATACATGTAACTTTGTAGTTATGGTACTGACCCTCCCTTTTTATCAGCGTGGTACTTCACAATCCTGACAGTACCGTCGGGCTGGTCCAGGCCGTACACGCCCTTAACAACGTCACCGTCGCGGTGCTCGTGCTGGTACTTGTGGTCATGGGTATGAGGATCCTTTACTTCGTAGGCGAACTCGTATTTAGGGTGGCCCTATGGTACAGTCAAAATACAGTTAAATCATTGTCCACTGAAATCATACATATAAGACAACAATACTTCAATACAATTAAACAATATAAACTAAACAAGTATCATACATAATATTCCACGTGTTTAGTCACATGTCCGTCGTGATGTTGATGAAGGTTTTGAGATGAGAAGGCCTGGCCGTGATGTTCGTGATGACCGTGACCATGGTGTTCTTCATGGTGACCATGGTATTCCTCATTGTGACCGTGGTGTACCTCATGGTGGCCACGGTGCTCCTCATGTTGGCCATGGTGCTCGTCATGGTATCCAAGGTGGTCCTCATGATAGCCATGGTGTTCTTCGTGGTGCCCATGGTTTTCATGTTTGTGTTCCTCGTGATGGATTGGAACACGCTTGTTTTTATGGGTTTGATGAAGAACTATACTCTGAGACGAATAAGCATGACCGTGATCGTGACCATGCTGGTGATGGTTTTGTGCAACGACTGTTGCAACTGCGATAACTACGAGGAAGATCTGTTTGAAAATAGAAAAAAAAATATAGCACGTGTAGGAAAATAACAATAATTAATTATTATTAAGGTTTGGTATAATGTTATTCATACCTTAATCAACATTTTTAATTTTTAGTATTATTCACTTGAATGGATAAATGTTAACTGATACTAAAATAAAAATACATTGGCTTTATATATACACAACAGAACTTGTTTGAGTACGAAACTGATTTTATGTTTTGGTGACAATAAAACTTCAAACCAGAATTTTTTATTTGTAGGACAACTGCTTAAGTGTTTTAATTATGCAATTACTGAGCTAAGTCGTACTGAAACATCTTTTTTGTTAATATGTTATGTTCTGCCATATAAAATCACTACAATGAACTCTTAAAGGTTTGTTGAGAAATAGTTAATGAGCCGGTAAATGAAAGAATTTCTTCAGCAGCAATAGCCATTTTTTTTAAAGTGTTGAAACCAACTCGGGCCGTCACCCCACCTAAAACCACACGGTGTGCCACTCTGTGCCTGAAATAGAAGGGATCCGGGCATTTCTATTATTGAGACATCCGCACCTTTCCATTCGGTTTTTTATCACCCCACCGGGGTTTGCGGCGGGGTGGTGTAACGGAATTGGACCACCGCTTCATGCCCACCGACCTGAGTGTGGCCGCGGGTGGACGGGACGGGTTTTCCCTCCACCCGCCATAATGACCGGCCGCGAGGAGGTGACTTCCGCTTGACTTGCCGGACTCTAGGAGGGGTCCGGATGTCTAATATTAGCAGTTCTCGAATCTCTCCCATAACAGGCGCAGAGTGGCACACCGTTTATTTTTAATCGGTCCGATTCGACGGCCCGAGGGGGTTTCCACACGTAAACAAAAAAAAACACTGACAAATAAGATCTGGCATATAAGTATAAGTTAACTAGAGAAGATAACAATAGAAGCAATATAATACACATATAATATAACACATTTGAAATATTGTAATCTGTGTTTTTTGTTTTAAATAAAGATTTTTTATTATTATTCTCTTTATTTATTTTATATACATATTATTTACATTTTTAAACATAAACTTTATAAAAAATTATAAAAAAATACATTTAAAAATATAAAAAATAGTAGACCACCGACATCGGGTACAGGGACCAAGACACCGGTGGTTAGGACTCCAAAGATAGGAACCTCCTCACTATACGAGCCGTGTCAAGGAGGACTGCCTTCTGCATCAGACCCTTGATCCAACCGTCCAACGTGAGCCTCTTAAGGTCGAGGTTCTTGGCTATCAATCTGTGAGCAGATACGACTATCGGAACAATGATCACTGAATCTACATTCCACATATCGACAATCTCTTGAGATAAATCTAAATATTTGATTTGTTTTTCTTTTTCAACTTTCACGAGATTCTCGTCATGAAGAACGGCGATATCAACAATCGTTCGACCAAAAAAGCGTTCCTGCAATGTTTGTTTCATGTTAGATTCTGGTATTCCCAACGACTGTGATATACCCAGATACTTGTAAGTTTCAGTGGCAGACAGAGATCTGAGTTTTGTTGAATCTGAAAGCTCTATTCCTTCAGATTCAACTATCACACCCTTCTTTACATGACTGCACACTTGTCTACACCAAATTTCCATTTTGATAGAATTACTAAAGTTTTCCGTCACCTTTAGTAACTTTGTCAATTGTAATTTGTTGGAGGCTAACAGTTTCAAATCATCCATATAAAGAATGTGAGATATAACTTGATCTTATTATTATTATTATTAAGCAATGTATAGTATTGAACTAGTAGTAGTAGACTAATAGGTATATATTAATAGAAAATGTTAATTTTTAGAGTTGTAATGATGAAAATCTAAAGCTCTGAGGACCACATACAGGCAAAATCAGTCATTTTTTGACAGTATGTACAGATTTAGATGTATGCAGAACATTAAAAAAGTTTTCAGGGTAAATAGATTTGTTTGCTATCAAAGTTTCTCTTCTAAAAACCATTATTACAAAACATTTTTTTTATAAATAAGTTTATTTTAATTATTTTATCTCTCTTCTTCTGTTGAAGTATACACATTTATCAATTTATTATGTGTATAACCCGATTCATAATGATTTGACTTACAATAATCCTTCGTATCATCAGTTTTTTTTTTAAATATTTTAGTGTAAGTTTGTAGCCGCTTTTCTTCTCAGGCTGACCGGCTGACCCAGTGGAGAGATTCAAGAGATTACCTCAGGGCGCCTTGTATGAGAATAGAAGTATGTGCGTGTGGGAAACCTATGGGACTCTTTAGAGGAAAACAACTTACACCTCAGTTATACATACGTGTATATTTCAAAAAAAAACTTGATTACATTTACAAAAAGAAATTAAATAAATTAATCAGTGAGGGTGCAAAAAAAAAGAAAAAAAGAACCGCAGCGGAGCGCGTTAGAGCCGAGCTGATGGTGCTCGGAGCCTTCTCGTCTTCACTCTGGGAGGTCCCTTCACCTTCCGCCCGAGTCGGCTATTTATATTAGATATTGATGAAAGTTAAACAAATTGCATTTATAAGTTTTTAAGTGAGTACGTAACCCTTGGGTACGGCTGTCCGCTTGCGTCGTGAGCCGCGCAATCACCAGCTTTGCCAGAGGGTACCGAGAAACTTGATTCTGAACCAGAAGGCCACAAACGAGCAAGCACGCCGTCTGAGACTGACCGTCTTGACCCCGAAATCTGGGACCCTACGAATGGATTAGCACTCATATAATTAATCAGGTTCCAGAAACAAATAGGTAAAAAAAGAATTAAAACCTTACTCACCACTCTCGTGGGTAGATTTGAACAGATAATATATTACGAAAATTAAATCACACAACAATCAAAACACTATTTAAGATTGGAAGACACAAGATAGCAGAGTGTCTCCCGTGGCTGAAAGCCGGACATATATATCCTCGGTTCAGGAAGCTTCCAGACTTTATCCCTACTCAACATTTTACTTTGACATTTAAATTTTGAAAGAAAGCAACGCTTACAAAATCAAAAGTAACTCCTTCCTACCATAGCAGAACACTCTCAGCACCTATACAATTTGTCATGACAGATTAACAAAACAGATTAAAAAAGTAAGTCTTTTTATTAATCTATCATGTCTCAAACAAACGCCATCTAGTGGACCGAAAGTGAACGAAGAAGATCAATACCGTAGCTACAAACTACTTTAGATAAATCAACAACAATGCGATGCGGCCAACAGGAGTCGCTTTTAACAATACCGTACGCATTACAATTAATGTACAAAAAAATAACTGTTACAAGTTGCTGTAAGTTATGTGACCGACGTTGCTAGCAACATTTAAAAAAACACTCTTGTCAGGCCCTCTGTCAGACAATATACTAAGAATATTTATTTAGTGCAATGCAAATGTTGTTATTACTGACTAGTACCTATTGCATTTGCAACATTTTTTGTTGCAGTAGAACCTAAGTTTATGAATCTTTTAATTACTCCTAACTTTTTTTAACTGGAAATTGATGCTAGTGATTCGTTATACTTACGAGTACAAGGCTAGTGGCAAGTGTCACTACTCTTCAATCAATTCACTTTTACGGTTTTCATTTTAATTGCTTAATTGTTTCAGTACAGGTTCGAATAAAAAAAATGCTATAAAATAAGTTCAATTTACTTAATCTTTCTAAACTTATAGTTGTTATATTTTTATATAGTATAAAATAAACATGATGCTTAAGTTGGCTGAGCATTGTTAAATTATTTTTCAGATATTAGGTTGCGTTTCGGGATTCTTGTTCCCTAAATATTTAGTAACAATTGTTACTTGACTGATACTGAGAACTTACTTTATGCGATTGATAAATAATTTAAGTAAAAGTCTCGCCTGCTACTTTTTATTTAGAGATATTTTTACTTAAATTTTGTTCTGTTATAATCTTTAAATATACCTTAAAGACTACTCTTTGAATCTGAGAATGTGCTGTTAGTATTATGTGCTAGTTTATATGATATGCAAATTATTTTTCTTCACAAATCGTTATACCTCGAACATCTATGTTTATATAGGAAATCGAGGTCTACGGAATCGTTAGCAATGTTTGAAAGCAATGCACTGTTTGTTATGTTGTTTAAGATTTACATTCTCTTAATCTAAATATATTGGAAAAATAGATAAAACATTAAGTATTTAGTGAGCCTGTTGCTCGAGTCACAGCAACCTGCGTTCCAACCACTGATCGAGATAAGGTAGCGCCCTAGTTTCTTGGTTTTTAAAGGGCTGGTCTCTGAACCTGTCAAGGTTCTCTGATTTGTTTGCTGTTGGTCTCGGAGTAACCGCGTGCTTGTAGTCGGAAAAATAGAAGATATAGGATGCAGTAACCTTTTGTAATTTCACTTACTTTACACATAATGGCCGGACAAGAGGTAAGAAATACTGGCGCTGAAAGTAATAATAAAGAAGTAAAATTTGATAGATAAAACGTTAGTTAGAAACGCTGGCATGATATTTAAAATTAGTTTTGTTGAAGTACACCTTAGATGTGGTAAATACAATAAAATATTACCATTATAAAAATATTTTTATTTAAAAGTAAGAAATAAAACTGCAGTAGGTAATAACAATTTGTACAAATATCAGTTTGATGATGATGATGATATTTTGGTACGATGTGGTGTGTGCTGTGTTTCATGTCAGCATGGAAACTGTAAGGAAAATAAGAACAATAAGTTATTTAAATAATGTCTGTTAAATGATTTAAAAGTTGTAAAATCGTTGTACATACCCAGTGTGTTTATCAGAATGGTAATGTACGTGTCTCTCAGTACCATCAGGATCATGCAGAGAGTAGTGTCCCTTCACGGCGTCTTCGTGACGCTCCTCATGCTGAGTCTTGTGGTCGTGTGTATGAGGATCTTTTACCTCGTACTTGAATTCGTATTTAGGAGGAGTCTGTGAATGTATATATATATCATCAGTATTCGTACCATAGTGTTATATTACTAGACACACCATACCATAGTGCACACACACCATAGTGCATATATTTTGTTTTTATGCTCTCTTTTCGCTACGACAACGCTTCGTAACACTCGGCCGCCATACGCTCTAGAGTAAAGTAAAGATGCTCACTCGCTAAATTTATAGAGATTTGCATAGACTCAATTATGTTTGCTACATTAGTAAACAAAGTGGAAAGTGCCTAGAAACGAATTCGTCAGCAAAGACACCACGCCTCTTTTTTCATTTAAGTAAAGCTGCTAACTAAGTCTCTGCCTTTTCTTATAAGATTCTCATCACCTCGCTCTGCCCATCTTGCGTATTATGACGTTGACTAGACAAATCATAGCAAAACTTTGAAACTAACATAGTAATCGTAGTGGTGATGCCCGTGGTGGTCTTTCACGGTTACTTCGGTGTGATGTCCATCATGTTTGTGGATGTATTGTGCTGAGTGAGCATGTTCTGCTGAGACTATAGCTATCGCTACAGTTAGCACACACAACACCTGAAACTTAAAATGGTTGATGTAGAAGAATCAGATCACAGAAATATTATATTCATACTTGTAGGTACTCTATTTTAATATATAGACGGGCAGTAAAGGACGAGCAGACAAGTGATGGTGACTACCGCTGCCCGTGGTACACCTGCAGCTCAAAGTCACAAGCATTTTGCCGACCTCTAAGTGCTGTGATCAGTCACATGTGATATTTCTAATACTTTATGAACAAAATATGCCAAATTTTCAAATTTGCTCGTCAGTTTGTGTGTATTCAATAAAATTATCTAATATCTGGTAAATATATTAGTAAATTGTTATACCAACTTTTTTTTTTAAGGTGAAGTAATAGAATAATATTTTACCTTATTGATCATCATAGATTTTTGTTAGAATGCAAATGTAGATTAGTAGCTAACTGATACTTATAAAAAAAAGAAAGAAAAGTATAAGATCAAGGCGATACTGATTTCGTTTAAAAGCAAATGTTTCTAAGGTTTTTAGATAACTGATACATTTCTTAAAAAAACGAGGCTTTTATATTTAAAAGTAAAGCAATCAAGGTAATATTGAATTCATGCGAATATTGTAGAACACTTACGATTCGTACTCGTACATTCTCTCGTAATAATTTCGTAAAACAATCTCGTGAGCACATAACATTAATTTTTATGGTGATAATATTTTTAAAATGTAATTACAAAAATAAAAACTGTCCTCTTTAAATGAATTTGTTTTACCGACAAAGCTCGAATTTCAGGACTGTGAGATTGTGATTTTCGTATTTCTATATCTGCGTACAACCGATTATTATTTATTTAATTCACCAACAGTTATATACAATATAATTTATTACAAGAGACACACAAATTATTCGCCTAAAACTAATTACATAACTAATAACAGGTGAATACAACACGCACAACAATATCGTCTCTAGTAGTGTGTCTGTAATTCTTTTCAGGTTATATTTTATAATATAACTCGACGACCGATTCAGTTATATCTGCTGCTAGCTGTTTATTCTAAATTTACTGTAAATTGAACTCGATTAGGTTTAATTATATGTAGATGTATTGTGTAATAGTTATTTTTCATCAGCATTTTTGTAAAAAATGTATAAACATTAATATTATAACATTAGCCTTTATTGCCGTATTTACCTAGTTTAATAGTCCGGAAAAAGAATGGATTCAGTTTTAATCATGATAAGCAGTATATCGATAATGAACGCTTTGGATGTACATTTTAATTAGATTTTTAACACGTTTTACTTGTTTTATAAATTTTCGTACCTAAATCAAACTTTGTGCCTATTCGTGTGTGTGGTTTGCATGCTAATGCTGTAATTACGTATCTTAGAGCTGACCTAATGATGGAGCTGGATGGAAGTGAAATTGGAACTCTTCTAGAGTCATGTGTTGACGAGTCTAACACAGACAAAACGTATTTTTTAACTACATTTTTATAAAGTGACAGAATTAAAACAAAATAATCGTCAAACCTGGTTAGTATTCTCAAGTGATTACAGATAATCGCGATAAATATATTTTAAAATTTTGTTGAGCATACTACTTGTTGGGCATCGAAATAAACAAAGACCATTCTATGAGAATTTACATCTATATTTCACATAAATAAATTAAAAATAATCAAACACAAACACTTTTAAGTCGATAACAATAAGGTGCAAAGGTAACTTCAAGTTTAGTGATGATGATGATGATGTTCAGGAACGATGTGTTTAGCATGACCTTTGTATTCTACGTCGGCGTGGAACCTGATAACAAGCAACACATTTACATGAAACTTAGAAGCACAGATACTTTTTCAATTTCTTTGCAGGAATCGTACTTACCCGCTCTTTTTGTCTGCGTGGTATTTCACAATCCTGACAGTACCATCGGGCTGGTCCAGGCTATACACGCCCTTGACGACGTCACCGTCACGGTGCTCGTGCTGGTACTTGTGGTCGTGAGTGTGGGGGTCCTTTACTTCGTAGGCGAACTCATATTTGGGGTGGCCCTATGGTAACATAAAAATACAGTTAGATCACTGTTCGTTAAATCACTAGAAATAAAATAACTTTCTACAATACAATCACAGGTATCATACATAATATTCCACATGTTTAGTCACATGTCCGTCGTGATGTTGGTTGAGACTTTGAGATGAGAAGGCGTGACTGTGATCTTCGTGATGACCGTGGTGTTCCTCATGATTGGCCTGGTGTTCTTCATAGTGACCACGGTGTTCCTCGTGGTGACCATGGTGTTCCTCATTGCGATGATGGTGATATTCCTCATGGTTTACTGGAGCGTGCTTGTTTTCATGGGTTTGATGAAGAACTATACTCTGAGACGAGTAGGCATGACCCTGATCATGGCCATGATGCTGATGGTTTTGGGCAGCGACTGCAGCAAATGCCACGGTGAAAAGAAAGATCTGTTTGATGATAGAAAATGTAAAATACATATTTTTATAAATAAATATTATTGGTTAATGTTTATTAATGCAATTCATACCTTAGTAAACATGATTACTCTTTTAATAGTATTCACTTGGAAGTCCCAATATTGACTGATACGTAAATCAGATTTTATTTCATTTATATATGTTTCAGAACTTGATTCAATACGAACTAAAAGTGAACATGCAACTCTGGACCTGTCTTTTTAATTTGCAGGTCAACTTTTTCAAACATAATAAAATAAAACATTTTTGATTTTTTTTTCATTTTCATCTTTCAGTTTCATTACTATATTAAGCCCTCTCGTAAGTAAGTATTAGTATAAGAAGTCGTTATCATTTGCCTTTTTTTGGCAAAAGCATATTAGAGGTACCACTAGACTTTCGATTATCTGCCTTTGGCTTACGGCAGAAACTTGAATTTGTTGGGTCTTATTAAAAAGCTCTTGGTTTGATTCCCAAGCCCTGCACGGCCCAGATCCTCGATACCGAAAACAAACAAGACCACGTAGCCACACATTCTACTGAAGATACATATACAACAATGGAGACCAAATGTCAAAAAGATAATTTGTAGAGGTTACGGTCTTCAACAATGAGAAACACGACAAGAGGAAAAAATATTTCCATTTACATTACGGTTATGTTTTCACTGTTAATTAATATTATAAACTAACCAACATATTGCTCCGCATAAGATAAAGTATGCAGGACTTTGAGATAAATTTGAATTTGTGTCCTGTGATGTTCATGCGTTTGAACTTGAGTTCTGATTAGAACAATTTTCTCGGAATAGTTATGGGAGAAATAGTTTTAACACGTTTTTCGACGAATATCAATCATCTTTTCAGCAGTGTTAAAATTGGCGACTTTTACCCACGATTTTTTTTACTTGTCTATTTCATATTATTGATTATACGTACATTACTATGAGACAATAATCTTGATTTCAAATCTGATTGTCGAAAACAAAGTTGACTTTTTACAAAAAAAATATCATATTATTTTTGTGATAGATTTAGCAAGTGGAACAAGTTAGCACTAAATATCACACGGAAGAAGTCGCAGGCATAGCTATTCATCAATAAATAGTTGATTATAAGCACAGGTACATACATAATATATATATATTTATATCTGATAACATAAACTCGTTCCAATCAGTGCAAGTGCAAAGAAAGAACTTGCTTGTAAAAAGTGAGTATTAAAATCAATTTACTTTATTACTCAACACTCGTTGTTTTGGTATAAGTATTTAAACCGATGTCTTTTCGTTACACGTTTCCTTTTCGTTACATTCAGTACACCCGCAATTTTCTTAGTCACTGCCCAAAACCATCATCACCACTTCCATGATCACAGTTATACTTACTCGTCTCAGAGAATGTTCTTCATCAAACTCATGAAAACAAGGACGCTCCAGTCTATCACGAGATACACTACCAATGATATCATTAGCAACATTAGCACGGTCACGTAGAGGAACTATATGGTCACCATGAGTAATATCAGCATGATCACGTGGGGGCACACCATGGACATCACGATCAACATAGTCACGCATTCTCATCGCAAAGCCTCCACCATCATCTCGACAGGGATGTGACCAAACATGTAGATAATATGTACGTAATATGAGTATTGTTAAAGTTTGATCCAATCAAAAATATAACTACTAACTAACCGAAAGTGTGCATACACAAAAAAAGTAAAACGATCAAGGCTCAAATTCCATCCCTGTGTAAGATTGATAAGTCATTCTATTTGCTAAAAAATTACAAAGTTGTGTGAGTGCGTGAGTGTGTAATTTGCGGGCTTGATTGTTCTGTCGATGTTAACTATGTCTTAAATGTGAGACACCCCAAATATGAGTTCGCGTATGAAGTTCAGGACCTCTACACCCTCGACCACAAGTACCAGCATGAGCGCATATATTTACGTTATTTGTCATCAGGTTCCACGCCGATGTAAAATATGAAGGTCATGCTAAATACATAGTTCCTGAATAGCATATTCACTGAACGTCACTAAATTTTTAAGCTACTTCTTTGTAATGTGTTATCTTTATTACTATGAACTTGGTAAATGCAGGTTATTTTAAATACTTTTTCCAATTCCTGAATTTAATTTTTGTATGGAATCAATTCCTTATCTTGGGAATGATTATTAAAATTTTAACTTAAAATTTAGCAATGCTGTGCATTTAGTAGTAATTTTCTACTTCTTTCTAGTTGTTTTAAGGTTATGGTGTTTTGATTACTTGCTTGGACAAATGTTTTCCGATTCATAAAATTTTAATAAAAAAGTCAGGGTTTTAAATAGTACTACATAGAACTTGGTAATAAAACAAGTTCTGTTGAAAATCGTTGCTTTTGTTCTTACCCTAATTAAAGGTTGTACTTACTAAATGAATTGATTTGGCCATACTTTTGCATATATTACCAAACATTTTAAATTAATGTTGTTAATAATTTTTTTATTTATATTGAGAACGTACTCGTATATTGTGTATAAGGCTTGAGATGACAGGTTTTAAATTTCCTATAGTGTTTATAGATGACTTATTATTTTTTTCCTATTAATCATTAATTAGCCTTTTTAAGTCTAAAGCCATAAATGAACATAGTCATATTCATGTATTTTTTTAACTAGAGAAATATGGTTGTAGAAAGATTTTATGGTTATATCATATTTTAGGCGACGTATTAAGAATACAGAGTGTCACCACCCCTATTCATCCCGTGGGTGTCGCAAGAGCCGACTAAGGGAAAAAGCTACGCAGGACAACAGCACTGCAGAGAGAAGGAAAACTTGACACAAACCCTATACCAACCCGTCTGGCCAGCGTGGTATAGTAGGCCAAAACCTCCTTTCTCAGGAGATCCATGCTTATGTCCAGCAGTGGACTATTAAAGGCTGTTTATGATGATGCTGCTGCCGTTGTATACCATAACATATGTTAAACGAGTACAGCAGAATAGCAATGAGTTGCATGTTAGGGTCGTTATATATATAGCTAAGTATAATCATATGATATAATAGAATAAAATAGAAAGAGTATAATGAAGGCGCTACCATTTTTTCTATACCTACTAATAATGTCTACTTGACGTCATATCTATGTCACTTCTACCCTACAGAGGTTTTTCTTAATAACTAATGAATATTCAAGCGTCCACTTCATAATATTACTCCTACACCGAATATTCGAACATATCCAGCGGATTAACGTTGGAAATTTCCAATTATGTAGTCTGTATTTGATTGATCGATTGTACGTGTATTAATCTGTATATGCATGTAATTTCAATTTCTCTCGGCGTTTCTTCTCAAGGCTTATTTACGGAATTTTATTTACACAGAAGCTTTTGCCAATGAACAAGAATATTTTAACAAAAGAAACAATTTTAAGACATAAGCACAACTACAAGTGAAGAATAACCAATTTACAATTGTTTTTATCTTCTCATGTTAACTGTTAAATCAAAATAATTGTATATGTTGTAACTAAATAACTATTTGATTAATTTACATAGAAGTGATTGGAGAGATTATAATGTCGTAATGCTATAAATAGAATGTAATAATTCATAAATAACATAATGTTAAACATGCTAATTTAAACTTTTCACAAAACTTTTAGTCTAATCGTAAATTTACATTTTAAGAGATACACATGGATTGTACTTACATTTTCTTTTTGCGCGTCCGCTTCAAAAATGTTAATATACGAGTATGTGATCATCAGAACTGATAAGAATATTAAAACAGATCATTGTTAGGGTTCGGTACCTCAATAGGTAAAAAAGGCACCCTTGTAAGATCACTTTCTTGTCCGTCTGGCCGCCTGTCCGTGTGACAACGGGTAGACCTAGCAAGTTGTCTACTGTCTGTCTGAGGTACTAATAAGTACTGAGGTCTATGGTCCCTATTAGGTGTATAAAAATCAAGGTCCTGAGTCTACACGATAAAAAAATATGGGCAAATTTCGATAAAAAAATATGGGAAAACTTGTAAGTACTAAAATTTACCTTAATTTTCAACTTTATTTATTTTTCAGAATTTTCTCTTTACTTGTGCTGTAAGACCTTGCTTTTAAGCAAAATTGACAATTCTAGGTCAACCCCGGAAGTAACCGGAAGTAGTAGGTTTTGGGTCGAAAACCTATATGGTAGTTCCTTGTTGACTTAGAATCACAAAATTTGACAAAAAGAAACGTCTTACTTGTCGTACTTACTTGGTACTTACAAATTTTCGCTAAACTCTACGTAAAATCTGGGTAGGTACGGCACCCTCGGCGCACGAGTTCGACTCGTACCTGACCGGTTTTTTTTTAAATCCGTCTAACAGTTAAGTCTGTCATAGATAGCCAAAAAATATATATAGTATGTTATTCTCTCTTGATAATATATGAAAGAAGAAACTGAATGACTGATTCACTGACTGATCGATGAACACGCAGCTGAAACCGCTGGGTCTAGAAGCATGAAATTTTGCACAAACGTTAATTAGGTGACGTAGGTGTGTCCATCCAAGGGTGCAAAATTGGGGTTGGAAATTTATATGAAACTTCGTTATTTTTGGTAGTAGCATTTTCAAACTGACAGTAGTAAAAAAGTTGTTTTACTTATTTTGAAACTACTCATAAAGAAGGGTGCAAGTTTGTATGGGGGACATTTTTTTTAACTTATCGATGCCAAATTCTCAGTATAATTTTATTTTCCATCAAAAATAATAATTATTAGTCATCTATTTCTTTACTTTTGAAAACTACCCCTGTAAGCGATTAAATGGAGTTGTTACAAAACATGCATAATTACGAGTATTATAGTAGAGAAAATCCGAGCATTCCAAAGATTTGTGCAAAGCCGGGGCGGGTTGATAGTTAAGTATAAAAACTAATCAAAATACTTTCTAAAATTTAATTTATTTTACCTTGGCAAATTTTTGTGTTAATCTTAGAAAATGACCATTTAGAGTTACTATATTTAATAGATGTTTGTAAGTAGCATAATTTCATAATACATTATTATCGTAGAACCCTATTGGTTTACGCGGCGCACCCTCCGCACCCTTAAAACTTGCAGTCGGGTATTCTCATAATACGTTATCAACCATCGTTGTCAAAAACCTTGATGAATTACAATCAAGTTACTCTATCCATTGGTCATTATCAAACAGACTGACGAGGAGGAAGATTTTATTTTATAGTATGTAGTAAAAAAACAAGTTTTACTGAGTAAGGTTCATTGAATTCTTCTTAAACCTGTTTGTCGAAACCTGCTACTCATTACAGAACGGTATTTTAATAAGACTTGTCGACCTTGTGTAAAAACGAGATCACATATATTACATGTCATGGTCTTAATTTGGAGCATTCGTAACTGACCATACACAATTCATTGTAACGTATTGTGTACTTGCATGTAAATAAAGTTAAAAGAATTACTAAGCCTGAAGAGTTTTTCAACTTACTAATCAATTAGTCTCATATATTATGTCTTTCTTTTCCGCAAGTAAGTTTGCTAATATTCTATCTGGAGGAGCTCTTCATATGTGATAGCAGCTCGATAATAAAATATAAAACTTCTTCCTTTTTGAAGGTGATTAAATACTAAAAAGTTAAACCATAAAACTTTTTTTTGTTTGAGTCGGTTAAAAAGTAGTGAGGTAGGTTTTCGTTAAATGATCGTGGTTGCTCATAACCTGAAACAACATGGGCGCAAAGTTTGGTTTAGAAATTTAAATTCTTAGTTTTTTTTTTTTAAAGAGCTGTATTGAGGTAATTACCATCTTTTGTTGATTATATAATAGTCGACACGATTATATTATGGGTATGTGTGACGTGTTCACATGGATGTATATCATGAATAATGTTAACACGTAATGTTTTATACCTTACGTGTTATTTATATGAAACTTCGTTATTTTTCATAGTAGCGTTTCCTTAAACCGAAAATGTTCCTCTAAGAACGGATTTTTGGAAAATTCATCCCTAATGGGCTAAAATAAAAGATGATTGGTTGACTAGAAGTTCGAAGTTTAAAGTTAGAAACACAAAATAATAGTAGGCAAAAGATAGTTAGTTATAAATTTTTAATCATAAATTATTTCAGTATATAGCTTAATGCTTGTAAATTTTGCAGGGATCTGTCACACAAAGATAAGCGCTAAGTGAAACAAAAATATTGGATGCACCAATTAGTGTTATAGTCGTGTGGTGACGGATTCAGAATACAGAGTGTCACCACTCCTATTTATCCTGTGGTCGTCGTAAGAGCCGACTAAGGGAGCAAACTACCCAGGATAATAGCACTGCAAAGGGAAGGAAAACTTGACACAAACTCTGTACGAACTCGTCTAGCCAGCGTGATATAGAAGGCCAAAGCCTATTTTCTAAGGAGAGGACTATGTCCAACAGTAGACTATTAAAGGCAGTCGATAATGATGATGATGAAATAGTTATCGCTCAAGGAATAAGCGGTCTGGAGTTGACATTATGGTTTATCTTAATAAGATTAATTTCCTTAAATATTATATAAATATTTATATTTACAAAATCTTATTTACATAATGCGATAAACAACAACATTTAAAATTAAAACAGCAATCAATTACACTAGAAGATTAGATCAGTGGTGCTCAGGAGCGTAGTGCGTGAACCTCATATTTGACATCAGCGTTAAATCTGTAAATTGGAAATAAATATGATATTTTAAGTGTAAGGGTTTTTACACTTGAGTACTTATACGATTAATGTTAAGTTAGCAAGCAGATGACAGGCATATGTTATGATATTAATTCTTAAAAGTAGTTTTACAAGATCCATGCTACCCTACAGAATTGAGTTTGAGTTGACTGCTTACAGCTAAACCTCCCTCTAACTTGTTCTATTTAAGTGAGAAAAAACTTGAATTCAGAATTCAGTGAGAAAAAACTCCTTGCAGCTATTATTCTTAAATATATTTATTTTAATTAAAACGAATAAGTACCGCGTACTAGAATACATTAGAGTTATTACAGCATAGAAAATCTATTACCAATATTATTATGAAACAACATAGTGAAACCCCCTATGATCCCCATAAAAATATAAACCGTCCAAAGTTTGTCAGACAAAGAAGTCTTTTTACACATCATTTGTACAACGTTTGTATTGTTTTCTGGGTCCGTTCATTTTTAACAGTGTAAATAAGTTGATATCTATTTATGGCCTCAATAGAAACGATTGCTAAAAAAGATCACATCCTGGTTGAAGGGTCTAGATTACCGTGAAACGAAAAATCTTCTGGCGTTGTTGCCGTATTGGGTTTTTGTACGAACATCTAATTTCTATTACGTAATCATAAGTAAATATTAAGTTATTAAAGATACATTAAAACAAACCCTCATATACACAAATACACATATACGAGTACATTATCGCAATTTACAAATACAGGTTCATTTACACACCACTATTACTTTATAAAATTTGGCCTAATAATGTTTAGTTTTGTATAATATATGACTAGAATAGTTTCTATATAATTTCTGAAGGGAGTGGCACCACATGCTGAGACACAGGTCTGACCTAGTTCGGCGCTGGATGCTGTTCATAGTTCTATTGTCATATATTTTCCTAGTCGGCGCCTGTGAACAACAATCTTGCAAACATTTTTCTGGCAATAAAGTTATTATTATAATATTATGCTATTCTTAATACTCACCCAGTCTTTTTGTCAGCGTGGTACTTCACAATTCTAATGGTACCGTCAGGCTGATGTAAAGCATATTCGCCCGTCACGACATCACCATCGCGGTGTTCATGCTGGTACTTGAAGTCATGGGTATGAGGGTCTTTAATTTCGTATTCGAACTCATACTTAGGGTGGGCCTGTAATTCAATAATGAATTGTAGTTGAAAATATTTACAAGCAAAGGACATAATTCTTAATACTCAATGTTTAGTTTCAGTCAACATACATAGTAGTCAACATGGTGTTCATGATGGCCGTGGTGTTCATTTTCTTTATGTTCCTCATGTTTGTGCTGTTCTTCATGTCCTTGGTGGTGGTGCTCATGATGAGGTTCATGCTTAGTGTCGTGGGGCTGGTGTAGTACTATGTTCTGTGAAGAGTATGCATGGCCATGATTATGGTCATGTCCATCCTGGGGTCGAGCATAGACCGTCGCGATGACTGCTGTGACTAGAAGTACCTGTTAAACAAATAGAGTTAATAGTATATAATATTTTGAATAGATTTCAAACCTACTTATCATATTTATCATATGCTATTTTCAGCTGAATGTTGCTTTCACTACCTTAAACATTTTATTATTTTGTCCCAGTACTTTACTTTTGGAGTACTTATCAGTAAATGATAAATATGTGATTAAATTATTTCTTTTTATACAGTCTAAACGTTTAATGAAATTGATTTTTTAAGTAATATTTAAACAAGTTTTACACATGTGACCGATTTGGATAAGTTTATAACAGATAAAGTAAGGCCAGCCTGTCTCATTGCGTAAATGCTTATTAAATTGTTTATTCTGAGTCTCAAAATCTTGATCCTTCCAATAAATACACTGTCTAAATTTAAATCTGCAGTTTCAAGTTTAACGCCCAAGTAACTAATCATTGGTATAAAAATATTACTTTTTACGAGACGGATATACTTTTATAAGTTTTTTATCAATTTTCATGTTATATTAATTGAAATATAATAAAAATAATAATAAAAACTTCACTCTTCTCACACACGGCAGTCTGGTGACAAACTAGGCAGAGCCTGTATAATGGTAACCAATCTTCTGGTAAACATACTGAAATATTTTTAAATACATACATATTATAATATCATCATCATCATCATAAAATAATAATATAATATAATAATATAATATAATATAATCCAAATGTCTAAATTTTGGAAAAAGTAATAGTCGGTAGGTGCAGGGTCTGGTGAGTATGGCGGATGAGGGAGAGCTTCCAACCCCAGCTCTTGCAGCTTAGAGACTGTCTGTTGCGCAGTATGGGGTCGTGTGTTGTCGTGAAGGAGCAGTGGGGACGACCGATTGACTAAAGCTGGTTGCAGATGTGACCACCAGACTTTGCACCTACCGACTATTACTTTTTCCAAAATTTAGACAACTTTTTAGTGGGTAAAAAATTAAATTCCCGATAGGCAGTACAAAATGCCTTTGAAGAGTTTGTTGCCTCCCGTCGAGCCGATTTTTACAAGAAGGGCATCAATAAACTGCCAATGCGTTGGCAAAGATGCGTCGATTGCATGGGTGATTACTTCGAATAACAGAAATAAAAAAGTTTGAAAAAATAAGTACTTTCACTTATTGCATACAAAACGGCAATTTCATAGGTAAAGACCTAATATATATATCTATATGTGTACCATGCCTCAGGGATCATTTCGCACAAGCATTTCCAGTAGTATACCCATTTTCAGCAGTGACTGCTGTTGGCGGGCATTCACTTCTTCTTCATCATCATCATCTTCGAGGCTAGTTTTCTCTCTTGAATGAAATTTATTAAACAATCTAAAAATGGTGGCCTGAGAAGGAGCCGACTCACATGAAGCTGATTTTAAACGTTCTAAGCTGAAACCTTCAGATAAAAAAACATTTGAAGTCGTAATACTCGTATATCATAGCACGCAAATGTTCTCGTTTAAGAGTCATTGTAGCAGACGAAAAAGCGCGAAAGGGTGACAGTATAATACTTTTTTTTTATTGCTGTAAATGGCTTTTTGAGTTCGGTTTTAAAATAAATTTGACTTTTAATAATATATGACACATATGCGTTCCATTCTCATATTTCGAGCATCTCAACACTCATATAGTGACCTACGTTAGATTATCCATTAATTTTTCATTGTTAAATATCCCAGTATGTTCATCTCTATCAAAAGGTGTTAAAAGAACTGAATATTTCCTTTGCTCGTCTTAAAGCATAGAGCAGCAGCGCATAAAGAGTGTGCGCAATGTGCTACTTTCTTTGAATCACATACCGGATGTTCTCAAAAAAACCAAGGCTAGTGTATTAAAAATAGTAGATAAACATAAGTTACGATACAGGGAGTGCAGAGAGGAATATCAACTAGATTTATTGTGTCATTGATATTCTTCTAAAAACAAAAATAAAATATTTAACAGCGTTTTTCTTGAAATCTGATTTAATCTAGTTATTACAGTTTTCATAAAGACGGCAGGGACGGGAGTCAAAGGATCTTATAATAACTAATTGCAATTTGTTATTCATTGGTTTTGACCCAATTACTTCCTGCATTTTTTTCTCAAGTACTGTTATTCCTTAACGTCACATAGTCCAATAAAATGAAACAAAGGCATAGACAGTAAAATAATTGTATTTACAAAACATAATTTAAACCATGCAACAATTAACAACCTTGAGAGTTAAAACAGAAATCAACTATACTAGAAGTGATCAGTGATGATGGTGGTGCTCAGGAACGATGTGTTTGGCGTGACCCTCATATTTGACATCAGCATTGAATCTGTAAATTAGAAAAATATGTAATTATATATAGCCCTTTCATTGTTAGTTAATTTATTAAAAAATGAGCTTTCAGCATGATGTGCTACTACTAACAAGGTTTGCTTCGACTGTCCAATGTTTACTCTTTAATATTATATCGAGCCTGGTGTAAAAGTATAGGGTGCTTCAAAAAATTGAGTATTCATTACATAATTTCATAATATCTTAATGTGGTTTGTAGTTTAATATAATATTCCAAATAGCACTCACCCAGTTTTTTTGTCTGCGTGGTACTTCACAATTCTGATGGTACCATCGGGCTGATGTAAAGCGTATTCACCAACTACGACATCACCATCACGGTGTTCGTGTTGGTGTTTGAAGTCATGGGTATGGGGGTCCTTAACTTCATATGCGAACTCGTACTTCGGGTGGGCCTGTAATTAGTTAATAAATTTAAGTGATGTTCTACTACAGGTCATGTGTGTCAAATAGATGATAAGTTCATAAACAATAATTGGTTTCAATCTACATACATAGTAGTCGACATGGTGTTCATGATGGCCGTGGTGTTCATTGTCTTTATGTTCCTCATAGTTGTGGTGTTCTTCATGTTTCTGGAGGTGGTGCTCATGATGAGGTTCATGCTTAGTCTCGTGAGCCTGGTGAAGTACTATGTTCTGTGAAGAGTATGCATGACCATGACTGTGACCATGTCCCTCTTGGGGTCTTGCATAGACCGTCGCGACGACTGCAGTGATTAGGAGTATCTGTTTAACAAATAGTAAACCTGTATCAAATTGTTTAAAAAAAAAAGACCATGGGTCAAAATATCATCATACTTAACTAATTAATTTAAAAAAAATTGCTTTTATTACCTTAAACATTTTGTAGTCGTTTTTACTCCTGAGGAACCAAGTGGTCAGTGATAATTCCTCGGTCGTAATTTTCTTTTTATACTTACACTACAAAGAATTAATGAAGTGGATATTTTGCGCAATATTTTAACCAGTTTCATACATATTTATGACAGATTTCGGTTAGTTAATATAACCTTGAGAAAGGCTTGACTGTTATTACTTTCTTTGATTACAATAATATTACATACGTGGATGTTTAATACTTCAATACTTTATTTCAGAAGAAGCCTTTTTAATGTAATATAAAATATAAACTAAGTATAGATACTCAAAACATTTAGATATACGAGTACTTGTACTATTAAAACATTGACCTGCATGTATTTTCTTGAAGTATCAATCTTTGTTAGGCAATATAATAATTTCTTTAAATTCAAGGGGGATCATGTTACTCAATACAGACCAAGAGATCCTACGAAAATAATGATTCGAAAACATCTTTAATGAAAAAGAATGTGTATCACATGTGCATTTAAGTTTTCAATAAACTTCCTAAGAGCCTTAGGGAACTTCCATTTAAATATTTTAAAATTAAGTTAAGAAAATGGCTAGTTGATAAGTGCTTTTATACAAAGAGTTCATGCAATATAAAACTGATGTATATGATCATTTGTAGATTTAATAAATTAGATATAATAATTCAATGAATTTAATAATTTCTAAATTTAATAATTTCTATGTAATATTTTTTTTTGACATTTTGTTAATTTTATTAGTTAATAGTTATCATTAGTTAATGTTTTGAGTCTCTATATAAATATTCGCATGCCTAGTACAGGCAGAATATAGCTTGAACATTATACACCTTTGTAAAATCTGGTACCACCTGTATTCTGTGCAAATAAATGTTTCTTTCTTTTTTTCTTTCTTAACATCCTTTCTAAGGAGAGACCTACGTCCAGTAGTGGACTACTAAAGGCTGTTGATGATAATGGTGATGCTGTACTATTACAAGTAACTGTTAGCGGTTTTACAGTGACTGTAAATATAATAAGTGTATTATATAATTATGTAAATAATATGTATTAGGGGGCACGGCGGGGCCATCCTTTTCTCGTAGCTCATCAGGTCATTTTCAACATCCTGTAATTTTGTGCTGGCTAAAGCTAGAAAACTCAATTTTCAGTAACATGCGACAATACAACAACAACAATACATGCAATACAAGGTTACTTTTGTAGTTATGTAGTAACATGGTATATAAATAGTAGCAAGGTATAGGTACAGTGCACTATAAGACGTTAGTAAAAATATGAATACAGATATAAATATGCGTAAAATATACATTTAGGAAAGAGTATGGATGGATTAAGTATAACCCATTTGCTCAAACTCCCTCAAAAAAGTATGAAGACTACGTTTCCATGACCGCAGGTTTGGAAGAAAAATATAATTATAAAAATAAGACCAAAAGTAACGTTAAGGATAAATATTGACGTCAGTCTTGGTAGCGGTTCTATGTTTGGTATAGTTCAAATAATAAAACTTGACCCTGATAATAGAGATATAATTTAAAATATATCAAGTCGTTGTAAATATAAAAACAATAAAGAGACCTAATAATGATACGGTCACTACGAGTATGCTATGTTGTTAGTTAAGCAATAGTTATTAAGTAAAAATACATGACAAAATTGTTAGACAGATGTTTCCATTGATAGTTAGGAGCATCAAACCTAATCTGCTTAGCTCTCTGGAGCTAATATGGCGAGAGAGTAATCTTCATTTGAATATAATTTGTTCCTCCTCGGTTAAATAATAAGCAATATTATTGTAATTGTAAATTGATGTTTAAGACTTGGCATGTGCATTGTCGATATCACTACAATCATAATGATAGACGTATATGGATAAACAACCTTAGAATATCATCCTGTTTAAATACCAAAAAATGGTTCTTTTTAGGTTTGGAGGAACTTAAAAATCATCTGAGTCAAACATTAGATGAATTCAGATGGGCCGGCTAAGTTGTATAACATTTTTTTTGGGCATTTACTAAATTATGTTAGTCTAGTTAGTCAAAGTCGATGTCATCGATGTCGAAATTAAAACTATATTCTCTCCGTCTAAGATAAGATCTACGCCATAGTTCTTGTATTATTTTCAACCAGATCGACTGACGACCTGACGAAGGCTAGGACGAACTAGATGTCGAAGAGAGGGGACCGTGTACTATGGTGCCCATATCCAACAGCAGACGACTTATTTATCAATGATTTGATTGAATCAGAAACAAAACACTGCTTATAATATTAAACACCTACGTAATACAAGAATGCAATCTCAGTCAAGTATTTCTTAAGGTCAGATTAACTAACCAAAATCTGTCACATTAATGTATAAAACTGGTTCAATTATTGCGCAAAAAATTTACCTCATTGAACCTTTATGTTGTATAAAAAGTAAGAATATGATCGGGAAATAGTCACATACTGCTTAGTACTCCAGAAGTAAAGAACTTCAACTAAAATGTTTAAGGTAATAAAAACTACCACATTTAATATAATCTAAAAAAAATGCATTCCCATACCTACAAAGCTTTCATTCAAAAGATGTTTTTACCAGTTGTATTTGATATTGGTTTAACAGGTACTTCTAATCACCGCGGTCGTCGCGACGGTGTATGCGAGGCCGCAAGAGGGACATGATCACAGTCAAGGTCATGCATATTCTTCACAGAGCATAGTACTACATCAAGCTCACGAGACTAAGCATGAACCTCATCATGAACACCACCACCAGGAACATGAAGACTACCACAAACATGAGGAATATAAAAAAAATGAACACCACTTGCACCATGAACATCATGTCGACTACTATGTATGTAGCTCAAAACCGAATATATTGCAGGAGGTTGACATTTACTTTCAGACAAGACAAACTAAAACTTATTTACTAATTACAGGCGCACCCTAAGTACGAGTTCGCATATGAAGTTAAGGACCCACACACCCATGACTTCAAACACCAGCATGAACAACGCGATGGTGATGTCGTGAAGGGCGAATATGCCTTACACCAGCCCGATGGTACCATCAGAATTGTTAAGTACTACGCTGACAAAAAGACTGGGTGAGTATTCAGAACAATATTATAATAGAAATAAATCACTAGTTGCATACGAGTGTTATAAGTGTAGTTACACATTATAAATATGAATAAAGCCTAATTCCATTTATGATACGAAGAAAAATTTGTATTTCATTCATGGGTGTAAAATATATTTACCGTCTGCAAGCTGATAATTAATTAACAAAAAGTCAACCTATTAATTTAAATAATAAGTTATGTTGTTTTTTATCAAAAACTAGTGATAGTGAAGCCATAAAAATATTTTTTTTCCCAAATTACAGGTTTCACGCTGATGTCAAATATGAAGGACACGCCAAACATATTGTTCCTGAGCACCAACATCACCACTGATCTCTCTTCTAGTCTAATTGATAGCTGTTTTTACTATTAAGATTGTTGATTTTATGATTCAAATGATGTTTTGTAAATACAAGTATTTTACTGCTTACCGTTTTCTTTAATTTTTTTATTAGTACCAAGCTACTCCATAAAAGACAACGCCTTCCCATGCCTTTTGTTGGTCTTCTTTTCTGGTAAAAGATATGATAAGAAATTTTATCTTATTTTTTGTCAATAAATCAGTCATCATCATCATCATCATCCTTTAATAATCCTCTGCTGGAGGCCTCTCTTTAGAAAGGAGGTTCTGGTCTACTATACAACGATGGCCAGATGGGTCGATATAGGGTTTGTTTCAAGTTTTCCTTTTGTTTGCAATGCTGTTGTCTTGCGTGGTTCTCTCCCCCTTAGTCGGCTCATATGACGCCCACAGGATGAATGCCACTCCGCAGACAAATAAGTAATTATTTCAAGACTCATTGATTCATATGAAAACAGGTGTTGAACGGAAGAATTTTTGGTCGAACGATGAACCTTTTTCATGGCTTGAAAAAGGTTCATCGTTAAAAAGTTTTTTAAATTTTCGTAAGCATCCGTAAGCATACGTCATGACGTAGTAGTAGCAATGTCAGTACAAGGATTGCACTTCGAATCAATAGATATTGAAATTTTAAGTACATAAAAGAAAAGTACATAAAAGGTAGGTCTTAAGTTTATAAAACACTAGCTGACCCGCGCAACTTCGTCTGCGTCTCTCAATAGTAATACATTTTCTCCGTTTTTGAAACATTCTTCATTGGTGCTCCGCTCCTATTGGTCTTAGCGTGATCATATACAGCCTATAGCCTTCCTCGATAAATGGGCTATCTAACACTGAAATAATTTTTCAAATCGGACCAGTAGTTCCTGAGATTAGCGCGTTCAAACAAACTCTTCAGCTTTATAATATTAGTATAGATTTCTAGAACAATAACGCTAACAGTTTATCTAATAATAAAAAATAATAATATTCTACCACATTCACACAACGCCATCTAGTCCCAAACTAAGCAGAGCTTGTACTATGGGTACTAGATAACTGATATAAATACATATATACTTTTTTTTTGTAAATACATACTTATTATACATAGAAACATCCAAACCAAATCAAACATTAAATGTTCATGCACACAAATGTTTGACTTGAGCGGGAATCGAACTCACGACCTTTGGAATAGCAGTCCGTTACACAAACCACTACGCCATTCGGTCACCGAATCTCAACTTATTGATAACACCTTCGTAAAATAGATCACAGATGAACTTCTACATTGTTTAACTGTACATGTAGTGATCCACTGCTGGTTAATATAAATAGTAGGGGTCGAAATTTTGTCCTACTGATCTATCACTTAACCTTTACATTTGTAATAATAAAATTAGTTTACTTTTCTAAGCATTTGTTCTTGTATTATTTTTGCATGCAAGATAAATAATATTTTAAATGAACTTATGGTATTGATAAGAAAAAATCTACATTGTTTTTTGAAAACCTAGGAGCATATTGATACGAGTGAACGCTTGGCTAAATGAAAGTTAATAAATTACTGATAGGCAATAAGTATAAAATGAATTAATTGTATGACAGTGGCGCTGTGACTATTAAGGGTCGATAATATATTCTTAAAGATGTATTCATTAAAACAAAACTTTACAAGTAACGTATGACAACCCGCTTTGTATACCTTACATAGTATCGCTTTATCAGCATTGCATAATGTGTTAAATATCACGTTTTGCATTGCAACCAATGAATTACTTAGTACTTTGGTTTCGTCCGTTTTTCATACGATAATAACTATGGCGTAGATCTTATCTTAGACGGAGAGAATATAGTTTTAATATCGACATCGATGACATCGACTTTGACTAACTAGACTAACATAATTTAGTAAATGCCCAAAAAAAATGTTATACAACTTAGCCGGCCCATCTGAATTCATCTAATGTTTGATGATTTTTAAGTTCCTCCAAACCTAAAAAGAACCATTTTTTGGTATTTAAACAGGATGATATTCTAAGGTTGTTTATCCATATACGTCTATCATTATGATTGTAGTGATATCGACAATGCACATGCCAAGTCTTAAACATCAATTTACAATTACAATAATATTGCTTATTATTTAACCGAGGAGGAACAAATTATATTCAAATGAAGATTACTCTCTAGCCACATTAGCTCCAGAGAGCTAAGCAGATTAGGTTTGATGCTCCTAACTATCAATGGAAACATCTGTCTAACAATTTTGTCATGTATTTTTACTTAATAACTATTGCTTAACTAACAACATAGCATACTCGTAGTGACCGTATCATTATTAGGTCTCTTTATTGTTTTTATATTTACAACGACTTGATATATTTTAAATTATATCTGTATTATAAGGGTCAAGTTTTATTATTTGAACTATACCAAACATAGAACCGCTAACCAAGACTGACGTCAATATTTATCGTTAACGTTACTTTTGGTCTTATTTTTATAATTCAATTTTTCTTCCAAACCTGCGGTCATGGAAACGTAGTCTTCATACTTTTTTGAGGGAGTTTGAGCAAATGGGTTATACTTAATCCATCCATACTCTTTCCTAAATGTATATTTTACTCATATTTATATCTGTATTCATATTTTTACTAACGTCTTATAGTGCACTGTACCTATACCTTGCTACTATTTATATACCATGTTACTACATAACTACAAAAGTAACCTTGTATTGCATGTATTGTTGTTGTTGTATTGTCGCATGTTATTGAAAATTGAGTTTTCTAGCTTTAGCCAGCACAAAATTACAGGATGTTGAAAATGGCCTGATGAGCTACGAGAAAAGGATGGCCCCGCCGTGCCCCCTGATACATATTATTTACAAAATTATATAATACACTTATTATATTTACAGTCACTATAAAACCGCTAACAGTAACTTGTAATAGTACAGCATCACCATTATCATCAACAGCCTTTAGTAGTCCACTACTGGACGTAGGTCTCTCCTTAGAAAGGATGTTAAGAAAGAAAAAAAGAAAGAAACATTTATTTGCACAGAATACAGGTGGTACCAGATTTTACAAAGGTGTATAATGTTCAAGCTATATTCTGCCTGTACTAGGCATGCAAATATTTATATAGAGACTCAAAACATTAACTAATGATAACTATTAACTAATAAAATTAACAAAATGTCAAAAAAAAAATATTACATAGAAATTATTAAATTTAGAAATTATTAAATTCATTGAATTATTATATCTAATTTATTAAATCTACAAATGATCATATACATCAGTTTTATATTGCATGAACTCTTTCATTGTATAAAAGCACTTATCAACTAGCCATTTTCTTAACTTAATTTTAAAATATTTAAATGGAAGTTCCCTAAGGCTCTTAGGAAGTTTATTGAAAACTGAAATGCACATGTTATACACATTCTTTTTCATCAAAGATGTTCTACAAAATGGAATCATTATTTTCGTAGGATCTCTTGGTCTGTATTTAGTAACATGATCCCCCTTGAAGTTAAAGAATTTATTATATTTCCTAACAAAGATTGATACTTCAAGAACATACATGCAGGTCAATGTTTTAATAGTACAAGTACTCGTATATCTAAATGTTTTGAGTATCTATACTTAGTTTATATTTTATATTACATTAAAAAGGCTTCTTCTGAAATAAAGTATTAAACATCCACGTATGTAATATTATTGTAATCAAAGAAAGTAATAACAGTCAAGCCTTTCTCAAGGTTATATTAACTAACCGAAATCTGTCATAAATATGTATGAAACTGGTTAAAATATTGCGCAAAGTATCCACTTCATTAATTCTTTGTAGTGTAAGTATAAAAAGAAAATTACGACCGAGGAATTATCACTGACCACTTGGTTCCTCAGGAGTAAAAACGACTACAAAATGTTTAAGGTAATAAAAGCAATTTTTTTTTAATTAACTAGTTAAGTATGATGATTTGACCCATGGTGTTTTATGTCAAACAATTATCAGCGTTTAACAGGTTTACTATTTGTTTAACAGATACTCCTAATCACTGCAGTAGTCGCGACGGTCTATGCAAGACCCCAAGAGGGACATGGTCACGGTCATGGTCATGCATACTCTTCACAGAACATAGTACTTCACCAGGCTCACGAGACTAAGCATGAACCTCATCATGAGCACCACCTCCAGAAACATGAAGAACACCATAACTATGAGGAACATAACGATAATGAACACCACGGCCATCATGAACACCATGTCGACTACTATGTATGTAGATAGAAACCAAATATTGTTAATGAACTTATCATTTATTTGACACACATGACCTGTAGTAGAACATCACTTAAATTTATTAACTAATTACAGGCCCACCCTAAGTACGAGTTCGCATATGAAGTTAAGGACCCCCACACCCATGACTTCAAACACCAACACGAACACCGTGATGGTGATGTCGTAGTTGGTGAATACGCTTTACATCAGCCCGATGGTACCATCAGAATTGTGAAGTACCACGCAGACAAAAAAACTGGGTGAGTGCTATTTGGAATATTATATTAAACTACAAACCACATTAAGATATTACGAAATTATGTAATGAATACTCAATTTTTTAAGGCACCGTATACTTTTACACCAGGCTCGATATAATATTAAAGAGTAAACATTAGACAGTCGAAGCAAACCTTGTTAGTAGTAGCACATCATGCTGGAAGCTCATTTTTTAATAAATTAACTAACAATGAAAGGGCTATATATAACTACATATTTTTCTTATTTACAGATTCAATGCTGATGTCAAATATGAGGGTCACGCCGAACACATCGTTCCGGAGCACCATCATCATCACTGATCACTTCTAGTATAGTTGATTGCTGTTTTAACTCTCAAGATTGTTAATTGTTGCATGGTTTAAATTATGTTTTGTAAATACAATTATTTTACTGTCTATGCCTTTGTTTCATTTTATTGGACTATGTGACGTTAAGGAATAACAGTACTTGAGAAAAAAATGCAGGAAGTAATTGGGTCAAAACCAATGAATAACAAATTGCAATTAGTTATTATAAGATCCTTTGACTCATGTCAAAATATAGTATCTATGTATATGCTGCCGTCTTTATGAAAACTGTAATAACTAGATTAAATCAGATTTCAAGAAAAACGCTGTTAAAGATTTTATTTTTGTTGTTAGAAGAATATCAATGACACAATAAATCTAGTTGATATTCCTCTCTGCACTCCCTGTATCGTAACTTATGTTTATCTACTATTTTTAATATACAAGCCTTGGTTTTTTTGAGAACACCAGTATATGATTCAAAGAAAGTAGCACATTGCGCACACTCTTTATGCGCTGCTGCCCTATGCTTTAAGACGAGCAAAGGAAATATTCAGTTCTTTTAACACCTTTTGATATGTTTCAATAGAGATCAACATACTGGGATATTTAACAATGAAAACTTAATGGATAATCTAACGTAGGTCACTATATGAGTTTTGAGATGCTCGAAATCTGAGAACGGAACGCATATGTGTCATATATTATTAAAAGTCAAATTTATTTGAAAACCGAACTCAAAAAGCCGTTTACAGTCTGCTACAATGACTCTTAAACGAGAATATTTGCGTGCTATGATATATTACGACTTCAAATGTTTTTTATCTGAAGGTTTCAGCTTAGAACGTTTAAAATCAGCTTCAGGCGAGTCTGCTCCTTCTCAGGCCACCATTTTTAGATTGTTTAATAAATTTCATTCAAGAGTCAAAACTAGCCTCAAAGATGACGGTAGAAGTGGATGCCCGCCAACAGCAGTCACTGCTGAAAATGGGTGTACTACTGGAAATGCTTGTGCGAAAGATAGATGCTGAATGACCTAGCTGACTCTTCTGTACGCATCGGCCTATGGATGAAATCGGATTAAACCAAAATCATGTTCAATGAACATGTACTACTGGAACCGATTGCGGTACATGGTGCGGTTCTCGAAATTGTTCAAAATTATGTGTACCTCGGGCAGACATTGCAGTTGGGTAGAAATAACTTTGAAGATGAGGTGAACAGAAGAATTTATTTGGGTTGGGCAGTGTTTGGGAAGCTACGGCAAGTCTTCTCATCGAACACACAGTGCCTTAAGACGAAAATCTTCAATAAGTGCGTCGTACCCGTCATGACATACGGAGCCGAAACGTGGACACTTACGGTACGGCTGGTCCACAAGTTCAAAGTCGCTCAACGTGCTATGGAAAGGGCTAAGGTGGGCGTTACGCTAAGAGATCGCATCAATAACGAAATGATCCAGCAGAGAACTAAGGTTACCGATATAGCTTACCGGATTGGCAAGCTGTAGTCGCAGTGGGCTATCCATATTATTTATCCAGAACCGACAACCGTTGGAGAAAATGAATTCCAAAGTGGAGACCGCGTCTCAGCAAACGTAGTGACGGACGCCCACAGGCCAGGTGGAGTGAGCTGGATGCGAGGTGCCCAAAATCGATTCAAGTAGCGTGCAATGGGAGAGGCCTATGTCCAGCAGTGGACTGCGATAGGCTATAATGACACAAAATTTAATCATCTAGTGAGGAATAGATGTAAGTATATTTCAAAAAACACAGAGATTTTTCTAGAACTATTTTAATAAATTAAGTATAAAATTACTTACAAATGAAATGTGATGCAATCCAAAACACTGTCAGAACAATTTTAAAACAATAAAAAAATGCAAATTTTCATCCTTTTCTTCTTAATACCACGAAAATATTCCGATTTGCGATTTGTGACACAAGTGCACAATACGGACGCTGAGTGTACTAACTTTAAGCTACGCCAAATATGATACGGTCCGGACCTAGTTAGAATCATAGTGCACAGTTACGTAGGCCCTTTTTTTTTTTTTTTTTTTTGCGTGCGGATATCCCCTCGGATACCACCTGTCGGTGGCATGTCGGACTCGAACCGACTAAAACCGCACGCCGTCTCGGGTACTAATAGCCGGGGAACTAGGTATACCCTAGAAAGGAAGTCCCTGGTGCCCCGACATACCTCGGGTCATCTACAGACGAGTAGACGACCCCCCCCCCCCCCGTGTGGGAACCCCATGTTCCCAGTGCTCCCTGGAAGCGAGCGCGCTTCGCTACGCGCTCGCCGCCGCCCCGGCCTGCACTTATGGAGGACGGAGGTCGTTCTGCGACCTCCGGCGCCTGAGTCGCCTGCGGTACCTGGCCCGTTCCCGGGCCTGGCGGGCCGGGAGAGTCCTAAACCTCTCCCGGTCCCGCTCCGCCGTCTCCTTCGCGAGCATAACTTGCTCGCAGAAGGAGACGGCAGAGTTCCACGCACTCTCGCTCCGCACGATAGCCGCAATCAGGCTATCGAGCGAGAGAACTCCCACTCCGATGGCCGCCACGAGGTCTCGCCTCTGCTCAACCCACGCCGGGCAAACTTAGGCCCTATCCTCTTTGTATTTGCTCCGTGACTTTAACATAATTTGACACATTTGAATAACGAAAGGTAAAAGCAATAATGAATTGAAGTTTGAAATAAAAATATGCGTGTAAACTCATTCGAATATGAAAGTCATGTCAAGTCAAGTCAATACATCTTCAAAATAAGCTGTTTTTAATAACTTTAGTAACACAATTCTAGAAGTAAAATACATCTTTAGATGCTATTAAGTCTATGTATTTTACTTCAGGTACAGATAACGAAAACAAAGATACACACAAAAAGCACTTGTATTTACAAAACATCATTTAAACCATGCAACAATCAACAACCTTAAGAGTTAAAACAGCAAGCAATAAGACTAGAAGAAATCAGTGGTGATGGTGGTGCTCAGGAACGATGTGTTTGGCATGTCCTTCATATTTGACATCAGCGTTAAATCTGTCAATAAAAAAATATACATGCTGCTTAACTTCATAACTAATAGTTAAAGTACTATTGGAGCTTTAGGGTTTTATACTTCTAAATTAAATACTTATAAATTTGTATTTAGACTAACTAATATAGTATTTTTAATTTATCAAGCCTGGTCTGAAATTTCACTCTGTTTTTCAAAATTGTAGCTTTATCCACGTCCGATTTCAAGAAATTTGTAATAAGTTACAGTAGTTTTCATTTTAATATTACGTTCTTTGAAATACTTACCCAGTTTTTTTGTCAGCATGGTACTTTACAATTCTGATGGTACCGTCGGGCTGATGTAAAGCATATTCTCCCTTCACGACATCACCATCGCGTTGTTCATGTTGGTGTTTGTAGTCATGGGTGTGTGGGTCCTTAACTTCATATGCGAACTCGTACTTAGGGTGTGCCTGTATTTAGTAAATAAGTTTTAGTTTATCTTGTCTGAAAGGAAGTAGCAACCTCATATAATATGTTTGGTTTTGAGCTACATACATAGTAGTCGACATGTTGTTCATGGTGCCCGTGGTGTTCATTTTCTTTATGTTCCTCATGTTTGTGGTGTTCTTCATGTTCCTGGTGGTGGAGGTTATGATGAGGTTCATGCTTAGTCTCGTGAGCCTGGTGTAGTACTATGCTCTGCGAAGAGTATGCATGACCGTGAATGTGATCATGTCCCTCTTGCGGCCTCGCGCACACTGTCGCGACGACTGCGGTGATTAGAAGTATCTGTGAAACCAATATCAAACACAACTCATTACTGATAAGTAAGTTGTTCAGTAAGTTTCAGTATTATTTAAAAAAAAAAAATATCTTGAATTAATATTTTCTGAGAGTGATTATAAATGTGGTGTATTAAAAAAGTTACTTTCGTTACCTTAAACATTTTAGTTTCAGTTCTTTACTCGTGGGGTACTTAGTAGTAACTAATAATCCCTTAATCGTATTTTTTCTTTTTATACCTCTTAAAGTTTAATGAGATTGATTCTTTGCGTAATATTGAAACCAGTATTATAAATGTGACGGATTTCGGTTAGTTAATTTGACCTTAAGTAAGGCTTGACTGTGATTACTTTCTTTTCTTCTGAAGTAATAATATAATTTATAATTGTACAACCTTTTTTTTTTTTTTTAACGTGTGCAAATCCCCTCGGACCGTTACCCCACCGGGGTTTGCGGCGGGGTGGTGTGTCGGACTCGGACCGACTAAAACCACACGGTGTGCCACTCTGCGCCTGTAATAGGAGGGATCCGGGAACAGCTGTTATTAAGACATCCGGACCCCTCCTAGCGCCGGCCCGCTCCTGTTGCGGGCCCCGTCTCAAAATTTTCCTCTCTTTAGGCGACGTCCGGCACACGCGGTCGCCGCCCCCTCGCGGCTGGCCAAACTAATGCGGGTGGAGGGGAAACCCACCCCGTCCACCCGCGGCCACACTCAGAGCGGCATGAGGCGGTGATAGGCGCGCCTCCGCCGCCCGGTTCGCCGGCGGCGGATCGGGTCCGAGTGGAGGTCGTCCTCCCGGGCCTTCACCGCCGCCTCCTTCTGCGAGATTACTTCCTCGCAGAAGGTTGCGACCGCGGTAAAACAACTGTCGCTACCGGCCATGGAGCGTACTACGGCCGGTAGCGAGAGATCCACTCCGATGACTGCAGTGAGGGCCCGGCGCTGCGTCGCCCATGCGGGGCAGACCGCCAGCGTGTGCTGGGCCGAGTCCGGAAGGTAAGGGTCCCGTGTTGCCGCCCTGCCCATTCGGCGATGACCGGCTGGAGAGCCTCCACGGCGGCCAAGCCAGCGCGTGGAGTCTCCAGCCGGAACGACCAACGAGCCATCGTGGCTCGGCGAGCGGCTTCGCGCCACTCGCGCACGTCTTCGGGCGGAGGGCGAAATCCGCTCTCCGCCCGGGAGTCAGCCACTCGCCGATAAACTTCGGCGAGCACTTCCGCCTCCA